TCTTACGTGGCCCTGTTGAATCTTCACTGCAGCCTTGTGAAATGGCCATTTTCATTCCCATTTATTGATGCAGAAATAGAAGCTCAGAGAGGCCAAGTGATTTGCCCAAGGCTGCACAGCAGTTACGTTGCCAGTCAGGGTGTCCAGTCAGCTCTAAGTGGTGTGGGGTGACCATCACCTGTTTCCTCAGATAGTTTTGATTTATCAATAAAATGTAATTAAAATAGTAATCTTTCTAAAAAACTATAAATGTGTCCCAGAAATTTGAAACCTGTGCATCCAAACTACATCTCCCAAGCACCTCTGACATGGGAAGTGGCCCAGGAATCCTTTGTTAAACTGTTTTTCCATGTTTGCTTCGGAAAATATGGCCAGTTATAATTACGGGTGCACAAGAGTTCAGAGGAGCGAGAGCAGCGTGGGCTGGAGCGGGTTGGAAAGGACTGGCACTGAGCTGGGAGTGGAGCGGGGGGGGGGGGGGGGGGGGGGGTGGGGGGGGGGGGCTGAGAGGATCCTGGGGTGGAGCCGGGCAGGGCCTAATTCACAGCCTCCAAAAGCCTCCCTCAAGGACCTGTATCTGGTCCATTCACCAGGAACACTGTGAGGCGTCTCCTTGGACCACCATCCCACCTTCCCACCGGGGTCTCTAGGGCAGCCCAGGCTCCAGGCAAGATATGCTTAACCCACAAACCTTTGCTCCAGCCCCTCCACCTTCACCCCAGCCTTCCCAAGGAACTGGGTAAAGGGTTGTGGGGTGGGGCCTGAGGCCTGTGTCCTGGCCAGTGGGCCCAGCAGGGCCAGGCACCCTGGGTTTTGAACACTTGGCAGCAAGAGGACTGATATGACTCCAGCCAATCTGCTCCCACCCCCTCCTGCTGTTGGGCCTGAGGCCCCAGCAGCTGTCTGCAGGGAAGGGTGACGAGGAGGGCCAGAGGTGACTTCCCATCCTGCCCTTCTCCCCCTGCTTGGGCCCGACCCAGAACTCTTACCAGCTGTTGTCAGCAGCTGCTTGGCTTTGTTCCAGAGCCAGCACTGGGCACCCTCCCCCCATCCCCACATCTTCCCACCCTCCTTCATAGCCACTGCTCTTGGGGTGGGGGGATTGGTACCAACATTGGGGAACATGGTCACATCCCTTTGTGCCATCTACAATTGAAAAAAATAGGATTTAATACTCCTAATATTTTTATGAAAGAGAGAGCATATTCTTTTTTTTTTTAAAGATTCATTTATTTATGCACACAAGAACAGGGGTATAGGCCAGAGGTGGGGATGGGGCGCAGTGAGAGGACTGACCAGAGACAAGGTGGGGAGCAGAACAGGCGGAGTGACTGAAATACACTGCTGAGGGGAGCAGCAGGCGAGACAGGAGAGGTCTGCTGTGCCATGTGGATCAGCTCCCTGGTCCGGGATCAAACTCTTGCTGCAGTAGCATAGCTGCGGATTGCTTCACAGTGCTGACGTTTAACCTCTTGCGCCACCAGGGAAGCCCCAAGAGAGAACTTATTCAGAGAGACCTAGTGAATTCCTTGAAGTCACACAGCTACTTAGCTGAGTTCAGGCTCCTGCTTCCACCTCAGTGTTCTCCCTCTTCCTTTCTTTGGGGTGTATTTGTGTAGGATGACAGAGGCTTTGGGGTCAATGGGTCTGACTCTCAGTGTGGCCATTGAGTAAGGACCTCAGGCTCCTTAACCAGCTTGAATGGAACTTTCATTTTCTTGCTTCTAAAATAAAATAATAATAATACCCACCTCTTGGGATCGTTGAGCAAATTCAATGAGATAGTCAATGTGAAGAACTTAGCATAAAGTATAATGGATAAAGCTAATCTACTTCATAATGTAAATACACTGAACATTCTAATTGTCCTTTATTTTGACCATCAGAATGCACATACTATATTTTGCTATTATAAATAACACAGTGACTATGCCTATACAGAAATATTTGGAGATCCATTTGATTAGCCTCCAAGATAAATTTATGGACAGTCAAATTACTGCTTCTAAGAATGTGAGCATTTCAAAGGCTTTTAAGATACGCCTCCAAATTGTTTTTTGGAAAGGAGTTATTCTCCAGATCACACCACAGTAAATCACCAGTCCCAAAAAAATAAAGAACATGTTTTTTCCTAGTGATTTTCAGAAGTGAGAGTTTATTGTTCAAGTTGTATTTCTTCATGTAAGTTGATCAAACACTTTGGCATCTTACTTAACTTTTCATTGATGCATATCCTTGCCATTTTTTTCTATTGGTGCCTCTGTGTTTCTCTAGTTGATCTGTACAAAATTGCCATTAGAGACCATTTTAAAAAAAAAGAACTATGATGGCTTGTCTATACTGCCATTTCAGTAATGGAAATTTACCTACTTGTCTGATCCATATTTTATCTTACAGGAAATTACAATGTAGTATATTTGAATGAAACACATTCCAGTAGGAAAGAATTGCCTAAATTTAAAAGTCCATGTATCTTTTGTATATTAATGGGCATAAGAAAAGCACAAAGTTCAAGACAGTTCAGTTAATCTGTGTCCCCCTGATTTTAGTAGAAATACTACATAATTTGATTATTAAAAAGAAAAGAACTTAGCGTGTTCTAAGTGCAAAATGAGAGCCACTAATATTATCACAGAGTATTAGCCACCTGTGTGTCCAGCACTGTGGGTGGTTGTATGGCAACTATAGACACATTCCACAAATATTTTTATCAGTTGAAAAAATTTATTAATTTGGCACCTACATGTGTGTCAGGTGCTGAATAATGAGCAGCGACAGAACAGAGTAGAATGTTCCTGCTTACATTCTATCCCACATGGTGGCTGGGGAGACGTGACTTCATCTAATAATAGAAACCTCCGGTCACTTTTACACACACACTGGTATTATTCACATTTTTCAGATGAGAAAACTGGGACCCAGAGAAGATTGATGTCAGAGGAGGAGCCAGGACCCAGCTTTTCTGAGGGTTTTGGGTGGTGGCCCTGAGGGCTTCCTGGAGGAGGTGGCACTTGGCTGCATCCCGAAGGACCTCAGGGCCTGGCAGGAGAGATTGGGAATGGTATGGGATGCAGCCACCACAGTCTGGGCAGCAACAATTTCAGGAAGGTCTTGTCCAGGTCAAGGCCTCCTTCTTTTTTACTTCAGGGACAAAGCCCAGCCAGGACTTTAAATACCCAAGTGGCCCAGAATAGCCCCCATTGTCCAGGCTTGCAGCTGGGGGACCCAAGAGGATCCTGAGGGAGCCTGATCCTAGAAATGGGGAGCAGGAAATCTCCAGCTACTTCCCTATATGGTGCCGGTGGTGTTTCTGGAAAGACACTTCCATTTGGCTCCTGTAGGAAGACCCGCCTTGTGGGAAGGGCGGAGCAGCTGCCTGAGTTCTGCGTGAGCAACGTGCAGCTGAGGGGGGAACCTGGTGGGTGGGGGACTTCCAGGGAGGGCCGTGTGCCCCAAGTGAAGGTGCTCCTTTGTGCGCAGGGGATGTGTGCATACTGGCCCTTCGGCTTCCCCCCACCCCCTGTGGGTGGGCCTAGCCCAGGCCCCCGCCCAGGGCCTCCTGGCACCTTCTCCTGCTCCAGCTATTTTGGGCACTGGCTGTGTTTAGGCTTGGGGAGGGATGGGTAATCCAGCCCAGATCAAGGATGCTGGGGTGGCTCCCCGGACCGCCATTCCAGACTCCTGACTCTTTGATCATTGCCGTAGCCTCAATCCCTGACTTCAGCCTCAAAGGGTCATGGTCAGTGGACTCAGGAGAGGCCAGCCCCACCGACAAGGGCAAAGAAGGGCACCGGACAAACCTTTACTCTCCAGACAGTGCCTGCTCTCAGTATAAGGAATAGTTGTGCTTCTTCTAAGCAACTGGTTTGTTTTGACCTTATGGGACATGAAATCCAGGGGCTGGTCAGGTTTCCTTCTTCCCATTGGTCACTGGAAAGCTTGGAGCCAAACGAGCCGTCACTTTCCCAGAACTCAAGCATTCGGCCTATGCCTTTCTGCTGCTTGTCTCATCTGGCTCCATGTCTGTCCTACCTGCGTTCCTCTTACATTTGTTTAGTTTACATTAGTCTCTTACATTCATTTTCTCTTGCTCTTATGGGCGCCTCTTTATAAGCTGCTTGAGTCTTTGTGGAACAGGGTGGTGGGGGAGATAAAAATAGATGAACAGTGAGGATGAGGGCAGTCATCCTCTGGCTGGGCAGCCCCCACCGTTCGCTCCCTGTGACTGGGTTTCCACTTTGTAATTCCCTGCTCCAGCCCCACCCTCTTTATTGTGGTGGTCACAACCCAGAATTTTCAGGATTTCACTCTCCTTAAACGTGGAAGCCAGAAGAGGCCTTTGCATCATCTCAGTTGAGAACTTTTAAAACTTATTATTACTGTGCAGCGAAACCCTTATTTCAGTCAAAATAGTGGTAACACTAGAAAAGCTTGTAGTAGTAATACAAAATCATAGTCATAATCACAGCAAACACTTACAGAGCATTTTCCATGTACTTGTGCTCTTTGTCCCATTTTACATTTTTATTTAATCCTCAACAACCCCATGAAGTAGCTGCTGGTACTGTGAGTCATGTCCATCTTACAGAGGGACAGATGGTAACTTACTCATGGCCTCAAGCTTAACCGGGGGCTGAGCCAGACATTAAAGAAGGTCAGAGCATAAAATGAAAATTGGATTTGCTCTGAGTTTGAGCATTTGAGAGTTCTCTCACCTGGAAACCGGAGATCTAGACCCACTCCATTACTTGGCTGAGGGAGCTTGGGCCCAGAAAGGCAAAGGATTTAGCCAAGGGAGTGGGTGAGCTGAAAGCCCCTTCTCAGCCCCTCCCTGGCCCACAAGTGGCCCAGAAGAGCACACGCCCCACCCCTCGCTGCCTCTGGGGCTCCCAGCGAGCTCCAGCCCCCTTCTCTGCAGCTGAACCCTCCCCTGAACTCAGCTCCTCCACTCCTGCGTGGCTACTCCCTGCGTGGTCCTGGGGGATGAGGGCCCCTCTTCGCTGGGCCCCCCTGTCTGCCTCCTCCGCTGGGGCTCATCACCTGAGAGGGAAGGCTGATGGCCAGGGAGGGAAGGGGCAGCTCCTGTCTGGGTTTTCTCAGGCGACAGGGTGTTACCGTGAGAGAACAGGCCCCGCCTGTCACCAACTAGCTGTCACCTGGCCTGCGTTCCCTCCGCCAGCACTTCATTTCATGGGGCCTTGGGCCTTTTGCCTTCAAGAAACAACCCCTTCTGTCTTTTCACAACCCCTGTGGGGTCACATCTTGTACTTCTAAGGCTGTACTTAGGGAGAGCTAGTTTGCCAACTGGCTGAGGGAAAGGAGTGCATTTGGGGTAGATATTGCTAAAATGCATTCTGTGGAACCCCAGTCCCAGGAGCTCTGTGTGAAAAAGTGTTCCAACTTAAGCAAGTTTGAGAAGCAGTAGTCTCTGCTGCCCTCATCTTGGTGTTTGAGACATCTTGGACTTAGGGGAACTGGCTCAGCCACGTTTAGCAGCCATTACCAGATGTGTTTGTCTGTGGGACCTCCCCCATTCCCAGTCCTGTCCAGTCACTGTGCTCTGGACTTTCCTCTTGAGCAGAGGGGCTGGGCACTTCAAAAGAAAGGGCCCTCCCTTTTCTTTCAGCTCTCTTGCCCACAGGCTGTCTTCAGCTGTGGGTTCAGGCCTGCCTGCCCCTCCCCCCCTCCAGGAAGCAGATGAGGAAAGGCTGGGGGCCAGGGGGAGCTGGCCTCCTTGGCTGCAGCTGTGGGGCTGCCGCTCCAGCCTGTTTTTTCCTGCTGCTGATGCCCACAGGAGCGAGTGGGAGTGGAGTCACCAGGGCCTGGCTGCCCGGCACAAGGCCTCTGAGCCAGAGCTTCAGCCCCTGCTTGCCTCAGAGACACCGCCCACCCCCCAACTCCGAGATGCCGGTGGGCAGCCAGCAGGTCTCTCCTCAGTGATGGTGAGCAGCATCTGTTCCCCCAGATGGACTCCAGCTGGAAAGCCTGGGGCGTTAGGGATGGTTGGGAGGAGCACTCAGGTAGCAGAGATCCAGGATCAGGACCTAGGGTCTGACTCAAGCCCCAACGCCTCTAACGGACAGCAGGCAAGTCACCCTTCTGAGCCTTGTCTCCTTTGTAAACTCCATTCGTGAATTAATTCAACAAATATTGTTGAACATTTATTATGTGCCAGTTAACCTTTAGGTGCTAGAGTATAGCAATGAGCAAAATGGATAAAGTCCCTGCCTGATGTTCTGCTGGGGGAAACAGGTGATAAGTAGGTGTGTGTGTAAATATAGGTGAGCACGTGTCAGTGAGGTGCTCTGAAGCCGGGTAAGGGAAGTGACAGCTGGTTCTAACAGATTCTGGGCTGGGATGTGGTCAGAGTCAACAGAGGTGACTCTTTGCTGCAAATGCAAAGAGGAGCTGGAGAGGGATGGAGCCTAACTGAGTGTCCCAGTAGGGGATGCAGCAAGTGCAAAGGCCCTGAGGTGGGAAGGGACTCCGCGTGTTTGAAAACTGTGGAGGAGAGAAACGTGCAGGAAATGGGGAGTACACAGAAGAAGGCTGGAAAGGTGTGTCATTGTGTGTGTGTGCATAGGCAGGTTGGCCAGAACGAGGGTTTTTCTTCTAACACGTCAGTGAATTGAGAACAATGGAAAGGTCTGATGTAGTGGGTTTACTCAGTGATCGTTATTGTTAGTGTTGTCTCATTTCAACCAAAATTTGTGGCACAGCCTCCCTCCTCCAGAAGGTCTAGCACTGTGCTAGAGGCTTCCTTCATGAAACCTGTGGATGCCGGAGGGCCAGGTTGGTGCGGCCTTGAAGTCCCACTGCTAATGCACCAGTGCTCCATGGCAGCAAGGCCACCCCGGAGCCGGAGAATTTGAGAGCCAGGCTGTGCTGAGGGCAGGAGGCAGGCACGTGAACACCGCAGGCACTGCTGGCACCAACAGTGCTTGGCGGATAATGTTCAACCCTCAGGGACTTTCTTGCTGGGCGGCCCGGCCCAGAAGCAGCTCCTGCTTGGCCACCCTCATGCCTTGGCGGCACCTGGCAGACGGGTGGAGCAGGGCATTTCCCAGTGGCTTCCTGCTCTCTCCCTGTAAACTGGTGGGCAGCTCACTCAGCACGTGGGGCGGCCCATTCTTGGGGTGTCTATGGGGGCTGGAGGAGAGTACAGGGGCTCAGGAAGGACCGGGAGGACTGCGCTGTGACCAGCACCGTGACAAAGCACATTGCTCTTCAAGTGGGAAATCCCATTTGGGGTTGCTCTCCTTTGATCCCCTGCCACCTAGCACACATGCCCTGCTGCACCAAACCTCATCCAGTCCCTCCGCCATGCCGTGTGCCCTCTAGGCCTGCGTGTGCCCTGCCTGCTGCCGAGTGCACTCTCTCCTCCTCTACCTACTGTGGCGAAATCATCTCTCAGACCCAACTGGTTGCCATTTCCCTGGGAAGCCCCCCAATTCCTGTCCTGCCTGGCTACGTGAGGAGGCCTCCTCTGGGCTGTCCCAGCACCCTCTCCTTCATCTGCAGAGCTCGCCACACATTCGGTGTCATCACCTGGTTTAATGGACTCGTCCCCCTAGGAACGTGGAGCTCGATGACTGTCTTCTCCCCTGCTCCCCCCAGGGCCCTACACCTGGTAGGTGCTTGATAGGTAGAGGTCAGCGTAGCTTGAATTGAGTCTTTGGGGGCAGGTCTCATTGATGACCCCTTTTTACAGATGATGAAGCAAGACTGCCCAGCTGGATAGTTGCTGAGGTGGCCTGGAATCAGGGTGTCGAGCAGAGTCTGCCTTCCCTGCCCTGCCAGCCAGTCTCTGGGACTCAGGACAGAGAGCCCTGCCGAGTTATGGCAATAGCAGAGCCTTTGGGGGCATGTCCCAACTCCATGTTGGGACCTTTGGGACAGCCTGTGTCAGGTCCACCAGGGAAAGGGCTGGAGCGATTTCAGGTTCTCCAGCCACACATGGCTTTTCTCCCACCGGCCTCTCCCAGCAGTGCTAGGCTGGAGGATAACCAAGCAGGGTTTACTCCAATTCTATCACTGAAGGCACTGAGGCCTGGTTGCGGGGATTGTGTGATCCAGCCCCACTTTCCCTTGGGATGAGGTGTCATGCTTGATTTTACTGATGGGGAAACTGAGGCTCAGAGATCATCGTGGCCATTCCACGGCTGTGTGATCTTGGGAAGCCCTTTGTTCTGTCAGATGGGCTCATGTCTACCTCAGGGTTGTTAGTAAGTCACTCATTCGACTGAAGGGGTCTACTACTACAGAAAATTTTTGTGTTTTATGTTCCAAAGATGCTGTGATGGCCAAAACTCAAGGAAATCACTCCCCTTCCGGTGCTTTTGTGCTCATCGACTGAGATGACCGGTGTCAAGCCCAGCACAGGAGGCAGAGGGACTGGCTTGTTTGCAGAAAGGGGAGAGTGCCGGGGGGCTTGTCCCAGACCACACGGGGAGTTCAGGGAAGATCTGGGATGAGAGACCCCAGGCCCCAGCTTCATGCTCCCTTGTCCTCTGTTGAAGGCCTCACCGATCCTCCCCTTGCTGGAATGCGGGCTGTTCTAGGTCCAGCTGGTGTAAGCTGACGCGGGGCAGGGGTCAGAAGCAGGGGCCTGCCAGCAGCTGTGCATGGAGCTAGCAGAGTACAGGGGAGGCTGCTTTCAGACTAGATTCCCATGACCGTAGCTGCATGACTTAACCTCTCTGAGCCTCCTTTCTTATCTGTGAAATGGGAGTGCACCAGCCTGTGACTCATGGTTTGTGGGTTTGTGTGAGATAAACCTTGTAAAGACCTTACTTATCTCAGCACCTGGCGCAGGGATGAGCCTGAGCCATTCTCCTTGCTTGGGGGATCGTTCCGCCTGGCCAGCGAGCTGGCCAAGGGCCTTCACCCTGGGAGCCTGGGTGTGGGGAGCTGGCAGGCCATCCCAGTGGCACGGGCAATGCATGCGTGCCAGGGGAGGCTGTGGCCACCTCCTTTCCAGCCTGGCACCTCTCTCAGCCTGCCAGGGGATTAAGGGCCTCTTGGCCTTTGTGTCTGCTCACTGGCCCCTGGCAGTTCACACAACAAAATGCTGCCCCGACAGATTCCTTCCCCTTTGCCATCTGCAGCCCGTGGACAACGTGCTGGGCAGCCAGGGATGCACAGGGCACCTTGACCAGCCTACGGGGCCTGAGTTGTGGCAAGAAGGGGGGAGCGTTCATTGTGGAAGTACCTGGAACCCTGCATCTTTGTGGTTGTCTGGGTTGGTGTCTTTCCCTGGAGATTTGGGGGCTGTGGGTTTTGGCGTCTGCTCATTCATCTGCCTTGGATGAGGAAGGGGCACTGAGGAGGAGTCTATTGGCAGGAGGCAGGTGGGCAGGCAGGGGCTCGTTTGTCCCCAGCCTCCGCACTGTCTCTGGATTTTGATGGGGTGAGCTCACCAGGCCCAGATGCCTGGAGCCTTGCCCTAGGCAGCTGCAGCCCCAGCAACTCCCCTCCCCCCCACCACCCACCACTGTGGTGCTAGGACCTTACTGCCCAGCATGTGTGTGTGTGTGCGTGCACGTGTGCGTGCACACGTGCATGCACGCACATGCACGCACACACACGGGATTTAGCCCCAGGCCGTTGGCCATGGGGAGGGGGCTCTGACGGGCTGCCCAAGGCATGCGAAGAATGTCTCCGGAGAAGCCACTGGTCTTCACCCAGTGAGTCCCAGAGTCAGTCTCAGAGCAAGCAGATAATTTGAGCCTTGGAAACAAGCTTTGCTCCCACCCCCAGCCAGGTCCTGCCCAGCCAGCCAGGCCAGGGCCCGGGGTAGAGCCAGACATCCACCTCCACCCCAGACCTGAAGGCTGATGCAGGCCTGGACCCACACCCCACATTCCCAGGCATCATTCACACCACCTCTCGCCCTTACCCTGCACTAGTACCCTTGGCATGGTACTAATTATTGTGCTTATTGAGCGCTTACTGTATACTGTATACGAGGTACCCCACTGAGTGCCTTACGTGCTTTTCATCCCACTTACAAAGATGCTCTTCTCAGAGCCTCAGTTTCTTCACCTGCAAAATGGAAATAATACACACTCACAATCCTTTAACTGAAACATTTGAAGTCAGATGTGTTTTTGGAATTCAGAAGTTTTCAAGTTGGAGAAAATTGACATCAAGCATGTGCCAGCTGTGATGTGACGTCCTCAGCAGAGGCTGGGGCGACACCCCATAATCAAACACATTAATATTGCTGCCTCAAATGTATAACTGTTCACCCTACGTGGACTGAATATGCTATTAATAGCTTCCTGTCAGTTCAGGTCAGGACTTGGCGCCAAGTGAGCTTGCTGTAAACTTCTTTTTCTTTTTTTTTTTTTTTTAAGATTTATTTATTTATGCAAGAACTGGGGTATAGGCCAGAGGCATGGGAGGGTGAGAGGATTCACCAGAGACAGAGCAAGGAGCAGAACAGGCAGACTAACTTAAATATACTGCTGAGGGGAGCAGCGGGCAAGGCAGGAGAGGTCTGCCGTGCCATGTGGGTTGCTCCTTGGCCGGCCAGGAATCGAACCTGTGCTGCAGAGGCTGCGGACAGCTTCATAGCATGATGCTCAACCCGCTGTGCCATGGGAGAGGCCCCAATTGCTGTAAACTTTTTTTTTTTTTAAAGATTTATTTATTTATACTAGAACTGGGATATAGTCAGAGGCATGGGAGGGTGAGAGAATTCACCAGAGACAGAGCAGGGAGCAGAAGAGGCAGATGGACTGAAGACACTGCTGAGGGGAGCCTCAGGCGAGGCAGGAGAGGTCTGCTGCACCATGTGGGTTTCTCCCTGGCCAGCCAGGAATCGAACCTGTGGCTGCAGAGGCTGCAGACAGCGTCACAGCGTGGTGCTCAACCTGCTGTGCCACCGAGAAGGCCCTGCTGTAAACTTCTTTAAAAAAAAAAAAAAAAAAGCGCACTTGATTTCCCAAGCTCTTTGGATTTCCCTTACTTCAGAGGAAGGATAGTGGCCCCGCAGGGCCGCCCTCCCCGGGCTGCTCCGAGGATCGGTTGAGCTGGCCCCACAGCACGAAGGACGTGCCTGATGTAGAGCAGGCTGCCTGGAGTCTGGCAGTTCTGTGCCATCTCTTTCCTGTACCGCTGTCTTCCTACAGCTTTGATTTTAGTCACACCAAAACCCACATCTATGTGTGTAGCCTATGAAAGACCCACAATCCTCACTTTAAATCACCTTTTAAAACCAGGTGAGAAGGGCCTCCCCTGGTGGCGCGGGTGGTTGAGCGCCGCACTGTGAAGCTGTCTGCAGCAGCCTCTGCAGTGTGGGTTCAATCCTGGCCGGCCGGCCAGAATCCCACATGGTGCGGCAGACCTCTCCTGCCTCGCCCGCTGCTCCACTCAGCGTGTCTTCAGTCCATCTGCCTCTTCTGCTCCCTGCTCTGTCTCTGGTGAGTCCTCTCACCTTCCTGCTTGTCTGGCCTGTACCCCAGTTCTTGTATGCATGAATAAATAAATCTTCAAACAAACAAACAAACAAAAAATAAAACCAGGCAAGGCGCCTCTGTCCCTTGTGTCCAAAGGTCTCTATGGGACCTGGATCTGGAGTCCCTTGTACATCATCATCCTCACCAACTGGGCCTGGACACAACCCAACCTCCAGGAGCAGGGGCCTCCCGGACATCCCTCACCTATCCGGTGCCCTACCTGTCAGCCCTCTTCCTCCCTATACCTGTGTTCAGGGAATGCATGCCCGATGGAGGGCCACCCTGTCGACACCCCCACCAAGCAGTTGTTTCCAGCATGCAAGAACAGTCCTCTGGCCTTGACCTAAATGAGTCAGCTGCCCTTCTCCCCCTTTTCCCCACCAGGAACCTCTGGAAAATCCCCCTCACAGCTTGGCTCCTTCCTCTCTGGCTCAGGTCTGACTCTGGACCCCTCCTCCCCCGCCTCCCCATCCGGCTGCAACGCCTGCCTGAGTACAGGGTTCCTCTGGGAGGAAGCCTGCTGCATCACTACCGGAGACGGGCTGGGGGCAGGAAACCTGGGTTCTATTTCTGCCTTTGACCTTGGAGCTGTTGATGGTCCTCCTTGGAGTCTTAGTACCCAGCTGCATGGACCCAAGAGCAGGCATTCCCCGGTCCATCTTGGGAGCTGCTTGGTTGGGGGAGGACACCCCTGGATTTTCTGCCCCTACCCTCTGCATAGGCCTCGTGGCCAGCCTGGAGCCCAGCACCGGCCCTACCTCCTTTCCTGGCAAGCAAGGGGTGGGAGTGGAGAGCCCCGAGTCCTGGCTCTGCAAGCCACTCACCTGTGGACTTGTGCAAGATCCTTCTCTGGCCCTGTTCTCTCTTCTGTGAAACGGGGCCATTCTCACCTGCCAGAGGATCATCTGACACTGAGGCTGAGGAAATGTTCTGTAAACTGTAAAAAATCATGTGGTTGAGGCTTTGCACAGTGATTCCCAGTGACCTGTGTTCTGGCTCGCTGCACAGCCCTGGTTGCAGAGGTGATGTAAAAGCACAGTGGTCAGCGCTTGGGCCTTGGCACTGGACCACAGGCTTGGAATCCCAGCTCTGCTACCTGCTAGATGTCCAGGCAGGTGACCGGTCTCTGCTCCGTTAGCCCATCAGGACCGTGCGGCTGTTCAGCGCCTGTCACCTGGGCTAACCCTTATAAAAGGAGTGCCTGTGCATTGTGAGTGCTCAGTAAATGTTGGCTCTTTCTATTCCCCAAGCAGACCCTGGACTTTCCAGATAGGAATCCAAGTTCCCTTCTATGGCTGAGTCTCGGGCTCCTTTGGCTCTTTCCTGGACCCTCTTTCCGGTCTGGCTCCATCTCCACTCCCAGATGTGAAATACAACTGCTGCAACCTTTTGATCTTCAGCTTTTCAAAAAGGAAGTCTGTGCTCTTTCTGGCTTGTCCCTTGCTGCTGGCTCTGATTTGATTCTGGACCCTCTGGCTCTGGGGAGGGGGCTGCCAGGAAGGGCAGGCTGGCACGTGGAAGGGCCCGTTCCCTGGATTTACCCGGATGGGGAAGACTTCTGTCCAGGTCCCAACATGCTCTGGATTCTGTCTCCCCTTTCACTGCAGATGTGTGTTCCTGGCATTTTTTCCAAGTTGAATCTTAGTTTGCTATTTCCTGTCCAGTCCTGAGCCACCCCACACACCCCCTCCCCCACCACCCGCCTCCATGCAACCCTATACACCCTCCCACCCCACTGCTGCTCCCTGCGAGAACCTCCCTTTCCAGACTGCAGTGCCTAGGGGGAGCTAGGATCTTTGTGCCCCCCACACACCCTCCATGACCTTGCTGGTATGGGGGGGCAGGTGGCAGTGGCACAGAGGGAGAGGGAGAGCCCCTCCAGATGGGGAGGCTACAAACCCGCCTCTCTAATCCCCTCTGCCCAGTATCAGTGCTGCTAACCAGCCCTAACCTCACACTCCCCTTAGGTCAATCAGGACCCACGCCCCACCCCAGGAGAGCATTGCCCTCTACCCCTACCCAGGAGAGGAGGGAGAACCCTTGGCATGGGGCTGGTCTTGTGGTTCTTAAGCTGTGAACATCAGAGCCCCTGGGCACCCACAATTCTAACCCTCCTGCCTGGGCTGCAGAGGGCCTGACTCAGTGGCTCTGAGAAGTGTCACAGGAATCTGCATTTATCACCAGCTCCTGGAAAGTTTGAATGCTCTCATCTGGATACAAACCCTGTGGACACAGCCCAGAAGTCTACTGGCCTCCAGAACAGGGATGGTACTTATCCAGAAAGGGAGTGTGTGGAAGGGCAAGGGAACAGGAGGCAGGATTTGCCCGTGGATTGTGGGGGGAAAGGGCGTTAGACCATAGTAGGGAATGAAACATGGGCAGTGCAGACCTTATACAAGGCTCAGCATCTTCACGAAACATGGTATCCAGCCTCTGCCTACAGAGAGCTCTCAGCCTAGGAATGGAGATTGCCTATACCTGCGTGGGGGGGGGGGGTAACCCTCCAAAGCAAGTCACCTTCAGGAAATAGCCAGGATTGATAGGACTGATTTTTGACTGTTCATTCATTCATTCATTCAAATATTTGTTGAACAGAGGTGCTGAGAAGGTAGAGAGGTTTTAATAACAGGCCCTACCTTCAAGGTGCTTCCATTCCAGTGAAAGTGCAAACCCAGTGTGTGCCCAGGAGACCCTGGAGCCCAGCCTGGGCCCAAAGGTGGCTGTGAAGGGCAAAGATTTAGGGCAAAGTCTCCCAAGGAGATTTCCTCTTTAGTCATCTTCATTGAGGTATAACGTACATCCAATAAAATATGTTCTTTTGAGTGTACAGTTCAATTCTGAGAATGAGATGCATGTACCCAGAAACTGTGGCTTCCAGAGTTTCCCTGTGCCCCTCCCTGGTCAGCTGTACCCCAAGCCCTGGCCCCAGGCAACAAGTGATCTTCCTGTCACTGCAGTGGATGGTCTTCCCATCTGGCTGCTTCCGTTTAGCATAATGTGTTTGGGACTCATCCTGGTCATTGTGTATGTCAATTATCTTTTTTATTAATGAACCATTCAAGAAGGTGATGTTTAGCTGAATTTGTCTTTGCCAAAGAAAGAAGAGTCATCACTTAGCAAAATGGTTTTAATTTTACCATCTGTTTATTTAAGGATTCATTCAAACTCGGTGAATTTGCAGGGTTGGGCTCTGAAGCCTCCAGGGGCTCATGGGATTTGGGGCTGAGTCAAAATCAGTGGTTCAGACCCAACCTATCTCTTAGCCAAGCCATGTCTGACTTAACCACCAAGAAGGGCTTTGGGTGGGATTCTGGGCCCCCTTGAAGTGAGGGGCCCAGGGCTTGGCGGCAACTGGAGCGGGTAATAAAGTCTGCTGTGTGGTCTCCCACAGGTGACCCAAGGGCTGCGGGCATATGATGGCTTGTCTCTGCCTGAAGACGCGGAGACGGTCACCATGGGCCGGGCTGGCTGGAGCTATCCAGACCTTTCTGATGATGAGGACTTGCTGGCTGACGAAGCTGAGGCATCTGGAGGTGAACAGAGGGTCTGGTAACAATAGGTGGAAGGGTAAGGGACAAAGTCAGGATTCTTCCCAGTGGTCCTTAAAGATGCCCCAGGAAGTTTGCCTGAGGTGGTACCTCAAAGGATGGGCTATGAGCTGTGTCCGTCCTGAGTCCTGGTCCCCTTGATCCCAGGATCCTCCGCTTGCCTCTGTGACCTGGGCTGGTGGCTGCTCCTCTGTGCTGCAGACCACATGCAGCCCTGATGATCAGGACTGGGCAGGGCAGTGGTGGGTGGTGCCCAGTGAAGTCACCTCCTGTCCGCTCCTGGAGGCTGGTCTGAACTGGCCCTCCTGTCCACATGCTCTTCCTTGGAGGCTCCACGCTGACTTTTATAGGCCAGCCCACCCTAGGCATGGGGAGAGGTGTGGCAACAGTTCTATTTTCATGGCCTCCACTGCATGCCAGGTGCCCAGGACAGTGCCTGTCACCCAGGGGGTGCGCCACAGACATTTGTTGTTACTGAATACATCTCTTTTGCTTGCAGAGGGCCTGGGCAGTGGAGACCTGGGCAGTGGGGACTTCCAGATGGGTAAGTTGCTAAGGGCATCCCATAGACTGCCCTCCGGGGAAGCCTCAGAGGCCCAATCTCCTGGGCTGAGGGCCTGAGGTCTCCTTGGGGTTGCGGTAGGGTGGTTGGTACGTCCCTGTAAGGTTGGAGATGGCCAGGTTCTTTGCTGGGAAATGTCCAGTGCCAATGGGGCCTGAAAACCAGCTATTCTCTCCTCCCAGGGTGGGCTCAGCTGTGGGGTCCTTCTCCAGAGTCCTTTTGGGGGTGACTGTTGCAGAGCTGGGGCCCCAGGCAGAGCTGGGGCCGCAGGCAGAGGCTTTCAGGCAGGTCACCAGGACTGGTAGGGGGAAAGTCAGCCGCGCCCTGACCTGGGAGGGAAGCTGCTTAGCTTGGGTCACCTGCTGGGAAGCCGAGGGTCCCTGGGCTGGGTGGGAGGGCTGGGCTTTGTGGAGGGAAGAGACTCAGGTCCGTCAGCTGTCCACTCTGCTAGCACATGGAGTTGCAGTTAGAGTAGGGGCTGGTCCAGCACCAGGACCATGGCTCAGAGTCCATGCTCCCTCCCATCCCGGGATTCTGGCTTGAGAAGGAACTGCCCTGTGACAAGGTCCTGCAGCTCCACACGGCTACTGCTGCCCTCTCTGGGAGCCAGCACCTGGGTACTCTGTGGTCAGGACCAAGGATGGAGCTGGGTCCCAGGGCAGCCCCGAGACATCCAGTGCTGCCCACCCCACAGGCCTGGGGCAAGTCTGACCTGGGCCTCTGGGGGTGAGGGAAGGGCGGCTGCTCTTCAGCTGGTGGCATCGTACTTGGCCAGAGCAGAAAGGAGGGTGGGCGCCTGGGAGGAGTGGTCCTGTCTGTGACCTCCAGCACCAGGACGTACGTTGCCTGAAGCTTTTCCACATGTAGTGTTCCGCAAGTTTCAGGATGCATGGGGGGCTGGGTACAGCCCTGGAGCAGCTATCAGGTGGGCCTCAGGCACACGCCCCATACCCCAGAATGGCCTGGGTTGGGCTGATGCTGCCAGGCCTGCCGCCGAGGCCGTGGTCCAGTTCTCCCCCTGCATCTGTGGCAGCTCTGCCCACTCTGAGTGGTGTTTGCCAGCCCATCTCCCCCTTGGAGAAACAGCTGTGAGGGCAGGCGAGGCCAGAGGTGGGAGAAGGGGTGGGGAGGTGGGGACAGCTGCTGGGCAGGCCTAAGAGCAGGGCAGGAACTTCTCCTGTGAATGGGCCCATCTGTGAAAAGATGCAGGACCTTAGACCCTCCAGGCCTAAGAGCTGGCTCTGGCCCGCCACCCCTGGGCAGGTCCAGGCAGATGGGCTGAATCTCAGCCCCGGGGGCAGCAGGTGTGTCTCCCTGACTCCCAGGGTCTCCGTGCACCTGCTTCAGCCTTTTTTTTTTTTTTTTTTTTTTTAAAGATTTATTTACGCATACAAGAACTGGGGTACAGGTCAGAGGTGTGTGGGTGGTAAGAGGATCCACCAGAGACAGAGTGGGGAACAGAACAGGTGGATCTACTGAAATACACTGCTGAGGGGAGCAGCAGGCAAGGCAGGAGAGGCCTGCTGTGTCATGTGGGTCACCTCCCTGACTGGGGATTGAACTCGTGCTGCAGTGGCTGAGGGTAGCTTCATAGTGCTGTGTCTTAACCCCTTGCGCCACCAGGGAGGCCCCTGCTTCAGCCTTGCCCATGGGCAGCACTGTCTGGGAAGGTGCCATGCCCCTGCTGGCCCCGGTCCAACCCCAGACCAGACCTGGAGCATGGTCCCTGAGACGCCACCTCCCTCTGCTGTCCCTCATCAGGGCCGTGATCTCTCGGCTCCGCCTCCCTCTCCCTGTAATTCCTTTCCTTCCATCTTCTGACCTGTCTCTTTCTGTCTTTCCCATTCTTGACTGTCCAACTCTGCCGCCTGCCTCCATGTCTCGCTGGCCTTGGCCTGTCTCTCCTACTTGTAACTCTGTCTTATCTGTGCCTCATCCTGTCTCTGTCTTTGTCTTAATCCCTCCATCTGTTTGGCTTCACGTCTCGGCCTCCATGTCTGCCTTACCTCTCTTCCTTTTGCTTTGTCTTGCCTTTTTTCCCTTTCATTCTCCCCCTAATTCCTGTGTCTGTCTCCATCTCTGTCCCCATCTCTCTGTCCCCATCTCTCTGTGCCTCTATCCCTGCCTCTCTCGCTGTCTCTGTTCCTCCCACCATGTCTGTCTCTCTGATCCTCAACCTCCCTGTCTGTCTGTCGCTGCTCTCCCCACTCTCCACTGCTCCCCTCTGCAGGCCCCGGGCCCTCCTCAAGCCCCCCTGCCGTGGCTGGCATGATGGTTCCGGAGCTTGATGAGGAGTCCCCTCTCAGTAAGTGATGCTGCCAGCTGGTGAGGACTTCTTCTTCTCTGTCCCTCTCTCAGCTCCTCCTCCTCCCTCTCCTTTCTCTCCAGCCTGCCTTTAGCCACATGCGAGACTCAGAGGCACCTCCCCGCAGGGTCTGGAACCAGGCCTGCCACTGCCTCACCCCACCTTCTCCCTGCCTCTGCCAGGACATACCAGGCCCCACCTGGGCACATGGATCTAAATTCAGACTGAGATCCCTCCCCCACGAGGTGCTGGTTACACAGGGATGGGGGTGTTACCCCCCAACCCCTCACGTCTTAGCAACTTTTATCAACTGATCTCTGGTCCACCCAAGGAAACTGGAGGGATCAAAGACTGGGCTTGGGGGCCTGGGTGTGTGTGGGGCGAGTTCTGTTGAGCAGGGAGTGGGCATCAGATGTTGGGGGTTAATGGGCTCTGGAGATGGCTGGTCAGGTCTGTGTTCCCCAACCCACCTGGGTGCAGGGAAGCTTTGGGCCTCTCACCCCTCCAGCCTCCAAATGAGCTTTCCAGAGAGTGTTAGAACAAGGGCCAGGAGGGCGAGGGCTGACCAGGAAAGCACCCAGTGGATTCTGCCACCACCAGGCAGCCTCGCTCCTTCCAGCAGCCTCAGCTGTGGAGCTGGTGACTGAAATACTTGGGCCTCACCTTCTGCCCCCACCCTAGGCACTGGCTATAGGGAGGCAGCTCAGGGTGGGAGGGGTGGTGCTTGCCCTGACCTGCCTCTGATCTGGAGAAGGCAGTGGTGGGTCAGGCTGGAGGGTCCATGCCCTTCCCAGGCCCTAGGAGAAAGGGTCTTTGTGGAGGCCCAGCCTCCTCCCCCGGGAGTGGGCACATTCCTGGGCAGAGGCCCTGCCTCCCAGCCTATGCTGGGCCATGGGGCTGAGGCCAGGGGCTGGAGTTGGGGGACTCTCAATGGGCCTCTGTGCCTGTTCACAAGGGGCCTCTGTGGCCACGCTCACGGCCCCAACAGTCTGGCCCTCAGAGCCCCACCCTCCCTGCACCGAGAAGCCAAGCCCATCACGGTCCCTGTGGTTGAGGCATTGCCTCACGGCCCCTCCCTTGGTGCAGAAGTCCACTCTGACCTTGCTGGGCCGCCCTGTCCTGACCCCCAGGCCTCAGTCCAGGTCACCAAGGGAAAGGGTCTTGGCTTGGGAGGGGAGTGGTTGCCGACTGGAAGGTCAGGCCTAGCTCAGACCCAGCCGAAGCCACTCCCTGCCCAGCAAATCCTCCATCACCTCTCTGAGTGCACATGTGCCTCAGAGACTCTGCAGCTGCTGTTCCCTCTGCCTGGAATGTGCTCCCCAAAATCTCCCATGGCTCACTCTCTCCTTCAAGGCTCCCCTTTGTGCAAAGGCTTCCCTGGCATCCACTCTGCCCCGCCCTCCCTTTCTCCATAGTCCTTGTCGTCCTTGCACCTCTGTTTTATCTCCTTCATCGTCCCATTAGAAAGTGAGCTCTGTGGGGACAAGACTTGTCATTTGTGGGGTTCACTGCTCTGTCCCCTGCCCCTAGAACACTACTTGGCATATAGTTGGCCCTAGTGTAGATTTGTTAAAGCAACACATGACCCTCACAGATGGGAAGTAACGTAACCGAAGCCATCCCTCAGGTTTGCTACAAGACCAGAGATAATAATCCCAGGTCCCCCTACTACTACGTGGGGTGCATGTCAAGTTTTAAGTACTTTATCTTCCTTACAACACTCTAGGGTGAGCGTGACTAGCATCCCATTTAGCAGTTGAAGACACTGGCTCAGAGAGATTAAATAGCTCGATCAAGGTCACACAGGGTGACCAAGTAGCATATTTGCTCAGAGACTGCTGAGCTGCACTGCTTCTCATGTAATAATAGTTTCTATTATATGGCACATATGTGCCAGGCTCTGTTGTAAGCACTTTGTACAGATTGTAAACTTGTTTTTAATTCATATTAACCTAGCATTTGTAATTTATGCCTTAATTTACAGACATCACAAGACTTAAGGCATAAAAAACTTGTGCATAGGGCCTCCCTGTTGGCCTAGGGGTTAAGTCTCAGTGCTGTCACTGCTACAGCCTGGGTTCAATGCCCGGCCAGGGAGGTGACCCACACATGGCAGAGCAGACCTCTCCTGTCTCGCCCGCTGCTCCCCTTAGCAGTGTATTTCAGTGGATCTGCCTGTTTTGCTCCCCACTCTGTCTCTGATGAGTCCTCTCACCCCTTGCACTTCTGGCCTGTACCCCAGTTCTTTTTTTTAAAACATTTATTTATTTATGCATATAAGAGCTGTGGGATAGGGCCTCCCCGGTGGCGCAGCGGTTGAGCGCTGGGTTACGAAGCTGCGCGCGGCCTCTGCGGCGCCGGTTCGATCCCCGGCTGCTTCCCGGCCACCAGAGGAGGGTCCCACATGGCGCGCAGACCTCTCCTGCCGCCCGCTGCTCCCCTCAGCAGTGTACTTCGGTCCTTCTGCCTGCTCTGCTCCCCGCTCTGGCTCTGGTGAATTCTCTCACCCTCCCGTGCTTCTGACTGTACCCAGTGCTTGTATAAACAAAAAACAAACAAACAAACCAGCAAAACAAATAAATAAAGCATGCCTCTATAAAAAAAAAAAAAAAAAAAGAGCTGTGGGATAGGCCAGAGGTGCAGCAGGGGTAAGGGGAGGAGGGATGAGGATTCACTAGAGACAGAGTAGGAAGCAGAACAGGTGGATTGACTGAAATACACCATTGAGGGGAGCAGCAGGCAAGACAGGAGAGGTCTGCTGCACCATGTGGGTCAGCTGGCTGGCCTGGGAATAGAACTTGTGCTGCATTGGCTGTGGATAGCTTCCTAGTGCTGAGACTTAACCCCTTGCGCTACCAGGAAGGCCCTACAACCCAGTTCTTTGATGCAAAGATAAAAATAATTTTAAAAAACTTGTACATAGTAGGTCATCAAGAAAGGATCAGCTGTGTGTGTTTGTGTGTACACTAGTCTGTGTACACCACAGGCACATGGCATGAACTGATTTAATCTTAATTCAGCATCTGCTGCTTGTCAGTCTCTCTTCTAAGCACTGTGTGTGTATGGATAGCTCATTTGCCACTCATATGAGTTTGTATTTATAGCTTCTTCATGAACTCATGGACATTATGAGATTGAATGTGTATAAAATGTCACATTTAGTGGGTATTTAAGAAACACTGGTTGTGTGTGTATGGTCACACCAATCTATATGAATTGATTCGGCCATCCCTTATTAGTCATTTACTGTGTACTGGGCACTACACGAGCCTGGGGATCCAGGGGAGAATGACACCCAAGGTTCTTCCCCACATCGAGTTCATGGCGCAGAGGTATAGGCAGTAACAGCCTCTGACACTCCAGCACCTGCCCCATGCCAGCACCGGTGTGAGTGCAGAGCAAGATGGCACATGTGACAGCATTCCAGGGGTTCCCTGTGCAACCCGATGTGGCAGATGTAATAAATACCCTCTTTTACTGAGAAGGAAGCAGAGATCAGAGAGGTGAGGTCAGTGCCTGGGCTGTGGCTGATTTCAGGACCCATTATTGCTACTGTGATGTCCTCGGGTCCAGGTATGAGCAGGCAGGAGCTGTGCAATGCGGGGTGGAAGGATGCTCTGATGGGGGGAGCAGAGGGGCAGGAGGAGCCAGAGGAGGTAAGGAGAGCAATTCAGGCAGTCATTTTGAAGGAGGTGATGACTGAGCTAGACTCAGAAGAAGTTGGAGCTATGGGAGAGTGGGAAAGCAAGTTGGGGTCACTCACGGGAATCCCCTCTGAGTAATCTGGACCAATCTCCCCCGGAAGCCACTCCTTCTCCTGCCACTGAGCAGCAGGGGATCCCTCTTCTTCCCCATCTCCTGGTTTCTGGGTCAGGACATTTTCCCATAGATGAAACCCCTCATGTGGGTTGGGTCCTCGGTCCTGACCCCTGATCTGGCCTGCCAGGTCCATCAACACACCTATTCCTATGGGCCGTGCTGGACATAGCTGTGGACACACAAGTGTCAGCCTCAGCAAGAAATGTCTGGGCATTGTGCCTCCATTTCCACCCACTTTTCCAAATGTCTGAGGCCACCACATGCCAGCTGTGCCCTTCCTGCTGACACCCTTCTCCTTTCTGCAGTTTATTTCCGGGCCCTGGTAAATTTCACTCGCTCCATCGACTATAGCCCTCAGCTGGAGGATGCAAGCTCCAAGGAGTTCCTAGAGGTGTCCGAGGCTGTGGTAAACACGGTGAGGTGAAGGGGCTTTGGGGCATGCCCTGGGTGTGGCGGCAGGGTTAGGGTGGGGTAAAGGTGCCTGGAGGCTGATGGTGCTGTGTCCCTCTCCAGCTGGAGGCAGAGTACTTGAAGATTCCTGGAGACCAGGTTGTCAATGTCGTGTTCATCAAGTGAGAAGGGTCCCTGGGGGCTGGTGAGGGACTGGGGAGTAAGCTGGTAGGGCTAACAAGATGGGCAGAGGCCTGGGCACCAGGAGTGGAGGCAGGAGGGGCCTAATGGGATGAATCCCCATAGGTGGAAGTTCAGGAGTTATTGGAGGGATGAGCTGGAGCTTAAGTTGTCCTGCTTGGGGTACGGGCCATCCAGGAGCAGGGGAATCACAGCTCAGGCCTGAGCATCAGGCAGGGAGCTAATGGAGGAGCTGGGATGGCAGGTATCTTTCTCATCCTGTCTCCTGCCATCCCTAGGAAGCTGGACAGCTGGGTCTTTGTGGAACTGGACGTGGGCTCAGAAGGGAATGCGGACGGGGCTCAGATTGAGGAAGTGCTGCGCTCGGTCATCGCCAATGGCTCCATCGCCTCCTACACCACCTCTCTCCAGGGATTCCAGTTCCGACGTCTAGGCACAGGTAATCCCATGCCCTCCTCCAGCTTCCCAGGCTCATGGGGGCTCCCTCTCAGTGTTCCCACCATGGAGGCTCCTAATTTGGGCTTACCCACCACCAGGGACAGGGTACCCACCACCTCCTATACCTGGCGCATCCATCTCAATGGCAGTCTTGGCTTTGGTGGAGCATTATCTGTCTCCTCTAACATGTGTCCTTCAGACAATTCTGCTGTCTCTCTGTAGACCTTTATATTGAGACAAGAGGTAAAAAATTCCTTTCTTCACACAGTATTTTCAGGTCCAAAGCACTTTTGTGTCTAGTAATAACCATCAATTGCTCCCTGAGCACTGACTAGATGCCAGCCACTCTGTAAGGCCCCTCGCAGCCTCCCAAGCTTTCTTAACAACTCCTGTGAAGTGGATATTCCTCCTGCTTTAGACACGAGGCTTCTGAGACCTAGGAGGGAAAAACAACTTGTCCAAATTCAGATAAGCATTTAGTAGAATAACCAAAATTTAAACCAAGCCTTGTGTCTATGCTAATCTTCCAGAACCTGTGATAAGATGAGATGAGAAACTGAGGCTCAGAAAGACTAGGAAACTGGCCCAAAGTCACACAGCATTAGATGTGAAGGCCTGGCCTTTATACTCAATCAGCCCAGGTTTCTTTTCATTGTTCGTCTACTACCCATTTTACTCCAAGTGTTTTCTTCTCTAGACCAGGCTATAGCCCCATCTCTATCTCGGTTCTACTCCCTGGGAGTGGAAAATGTTACCATCCCTGTCTCTGTGGAACCCAGAACTGAACAAACTCCATCCCTTCCCTGGTATAGCCCCATCAGAAAAACAGTGAAACCATCACCTCCTTCATTCTGCACATAAAACCTTAGTTAATGTGCCCGAAGATCAAGTTTGCTCTTTTGGCATCCCTGGGCCCAGGTCTCAATATTGCTGGGGGTTCAGCCCTCTTTTCCCTCTTTTTTTCTTTAAAAAAGATTTATTTATTTATGCATAAAAGAGCTGGGGCACAGGCCAGAGGTGCGGGGGGCGAGAGGACTCACCAGAGACAGAGTGGGGAACAGAACAGGCAGACTAACCTAAGTACACTGCTGAGGGGAGCTGCGGGCGAGACAGGAGAGGTCTGCCTTCCCATGTGGATTTCTTCCTGGCCTGCCAGGAATTGAACTCGTGCTGCAGAAGCTGTGAATTGCTTCATGGTGCGGTGCTTAACCCCTTGCACCACCAGGCCCTTCTCCCTCTTTTCAATGAGACTTCCTGAATAAGGATGGTGGGATGCATGCTGCTCAGCCCTGCGGCCCCCACGTCCCAAGTGGAATGGCTGCTGATCACACCTTCCTTTCCAGCACAGACACCCCCGCCCCCCCCAGCCGCTGTGGCGGCCGCGGTGACACCAGGTGAGAGTATAAGCCAGACCCTGGCCCAGCAGGTACCAAGAGAAGTTAATAGAGGGGAAGAAAGGATGAGGGCAAGATGATGGGGCATCGCCCACCGCTGCCCTTCTCCCCTCCCTCTTTGTCCTTGCGGGCCAGGTTCTGGCCTGCATGCGTGTGACGTGATATGGTTGCATGCATGTGGCATGTTAACAGTATGTGGGGTCTGTGTTAGGGATGGGTAAGGCCACCGCCACACGTCATGCCCCGTGTGTGCTGTGGATGTGCCTGTCACATGTTCCCTGCCTTCACTGAATCAGCAGCAGCAAAAAGGCTTGACACAGGGCCCCAAAGCCCACTGCCACCCATGTGGTGCCTGTGCATCCATGCCGCCTTCCACTAACCCTCACCTGCCCTTCTGACTGCCTCCGCCCCCCACAGTGCCCCAGTATACAAGAGTCTGCACTGAGGCCGAGTTTGCCTGCCACAGCCACAACGAGTGTGTGCCTCTGGAGTACCGCTGTGACCGGAGACCCGACTGCAGGGACATGTCCGATGAGCTCGATTGTGGTGAGGGGCTGCCTGGGGCACGATGCCTGTGGACTCCCAGGGAGGGCCAGGGGTCAGTCTGGGCTGTGAAGAACTGGAGGGAGGTGGGCAGGGACACAGAAAGAGTGATAACAGGGTTGGGAGCTGGGAGGCATGGAGGTACGGGGGTACAGGGAGGTACACGGAGTAAGGAACCACCCCCTGTACCAACGCCAAGCGGGCTCTGCCCACAGAGGAGCCCATCAGCTCCACGCCACCCCATCTGGTGGAGACATCACCTTTACCACCCCGGCCAGAGACAACCACATTGCAGCCACCAGTCACCCCCACCCCTCAGCAGCTGCTTCCCCATCTGCCCGGGACTCTGCACTGTGGGCCCCATGAGGCCATGTGCCACAGCGGGCACTGCATCCCCAAAGACTATGTCTGCGATGGGCAGGAGGACTGCAAGGATGGCAGTGATGAGCTGGACTGCGGTGAGGACCGGGCGGGGGTGTGGATCGGGGTGCAGGCCACCAGCCGGCGGGGGAGGGCTGCTGGCTGAACCCTGCCTGATCCACCCAGGCCCTGCCCCGCCCTGTGAGCCCAATGAATTTGCCTGTGGAAACGGGCACTGTGCCCTCAAGCTGTGGCACTGTGATGGCGACTACGACTGTGAGGACCGCACTGATGAGGCCAACTGCAGTGAGTGCCCTGGGTCCCCCTGGCGCCCCAACCTTCAGGCCTCCTTCCACTGCCTGTCCCTTCTTGGGCTGGTTTGTTTGCTCTCCCTGGCAGAGCAGTCCCTGGGGACAAGCTTTGCAGTGTATCTCTCTTGACATCAGCAAGAAGGGCTCCTGGGTTCTGAGCTCTCCTTGGTACCAAGCTGTGGCTAGAATGCCTGTGCTTATTTTTATTTCCTGTCTATGTTTTATTACCATTAATCTTCTCTTTGTTGTTTATGCTGGCATCTGGGTCAGGTGAGTGGCTAAGAGGTCTTGATATACTGGGGTTTGGTGGTGGTGTTTTGATGTCTGGGTGCATCACAGCCTTCCCTTTATGGACCTAGAGGTTTTTCATCTAGAGCTGGTGTGTTCTTCCATCTTGTCAGCTCTTCATCCATCTATCCATCTATCCATCCAGTCGTCCATTCAACCCCCTACCCGCCCTTCCATTGTGCATCTTTCCAGATCTCCATCCATCCATCCATCTGTCATCCATACATCCATCCATCCATCCATCCATCCATCCATCCATCCATCCATTTATCCATCCTTCCTTCCTTCCTTCCTTCCGTTGGTCCATCTTTCCTTCCATCCATCTATCCATCCATCCATCCATAGAACCAACATCCTTCCTCCTGCCAGTCCATCTAAACAACCATCCATCTACCCATTGCTCATCATCCATCTAGTCAGTTACGACAGTTAAATGGATGAGGCTGGAGAGCCAGAGACCATAGTCAGATAGCATCTTGCATGTCGTGTCCTGTGAGGTGAAGTCTGGGGCTTGTTACCTCAAAACTCAGGATCATCTTCAAACAGTTTCTCTGTGGGCCTGGGTCACGTGTCTGAGGGCATGTGGGCATGACTACTGTCTGTTGGTGCAGCCTCTCCTTGCCTTCCCTCACCTCCCCACTCCACAGCTGGAGAGAGGCAGTGTCTGCCGCAGGCTGGCGGAGTTGGTGACGCTTGCCCGGGGCTCTACATTTAGCTTGTCCCCTGTGAGTGAAAGTTCTGGGGACTGTGGTTGAGGAGCCCTTCTCAGAGGCCTCTGCTGGGGAGCAGCCAGGGAAGGCAAGCCCTTACTGACCGAGTATAGGAAAGAGAACGGGGCCTCTTGGCTTGGGGGCTCGTCGTATGTTGGGACAGAAGCTCCTGAGCGGGTCAGTAGATGGTGCCTTGCGGGCTCCTCTTGCTTCCTTCTCTGTACCCCTATTCCTGTCTGTGTGTCTGTCTCAAGTTCAGTCTCCCTGAGGAAGAACACAGTCCCTGCCTCCTACAGATGCCTAGCTGGGGCCCAGCCCAGGTGCCAGGCCAACTCCAGGTGCCAGTCCACAGGTCAGGTGCCACCTCTGGGCAGGACCAAACAAGGTCTGGGCTGTGCCAGGTGTGTGGTGAGGCCTTTCTGGTGGAGAGAACAGCACCGGGTATTACCTGGTGTCTGAAGATCCTGGCCACGTGGGCTGTGCCTTTGACAGGGGTCTTGTGCTTCTGAGGGTGGGAGGGCCTAAGTGACGATGGCATGCCAGGTATAACTGTTTTGGGGAGTGCAGATGAGTGGGTGGGGGGTGGGGTGATGTGACTAGCTGTAGGCTGGCCAACTGGTCACCCAGACATCGCAGACAGTATTGTGAGAAGGTGGATAGGGTGGGTTGTTGGAGGTAGGAGGGGAATAGGGGTGGCCTTCCCTGAGGGCGGTCCCCTCTGCCCATACCACCTGCCTCTGCCCCCAGCCGCCAAGCGCCCCGAGGATGTCTGTGGGCCCACCCAGTTCCGCTGCGTCTCCACAAGCACGTGCATCCCGGCCAGCTTCCACTGCGACGAGGAGAGTGACTGTCCCGATCGCAGTGACGAGATTGGCTGCAGTGAGCAGGGAGCTGGGGGCAAACTGGGGGTTGTGTTCTGGGTGCTCCTCTGCATTCTCAGCCCCCCTCCCCCCTGCTCCTCATACCCCTCACTCCTCCTCCCTTCTCCCCAGTGCCCCCTCAGGTGGTGACCCCTCCCCAGGAGTCCATCCAGGTTTCCCGGGGCCAGACGGTGACCTTCACCTGCGAGGCCATCGGGGTCCCTACCCCCATCATCAACTGGAGGCTCAACTGGGGCCACATCCCGTCTAATGCCAGGTGCGGCCTGGTGGGGGCTGAGGATGCAGGGAGGCTGGTCCAGGTGGTCCAGGCCTGATCCCACCTTTGTCTGGGGCCCGCAGGGTGACAATGACCAGCGAAAGAGGCCGTGGCACGCTGACCATCCGCGATGTGAAGGAGGCCGACCAGGGTGCCTACACCTGTGAGGCCATGAACGCCCGAGGCATGGTGTTCGGCATCCCTGACGGTGTCCTAGAGCTCATCCCACAGAGAGGTACAGCCGAGGGGCAGGGCAGGCCCCCGGCTGGGGTGAGTGGGCTGGTCTGCCCGTGCTCTGCTTCAACCCACCCCACTGCCACCCCTCAGGGCCCTGTCCTGAAGGACACTTCTACCTGGAAGACAGCGCCTCCTGCCTGCCCTGCTTCTGCTTTGGTGTCACCAGGGTGTGCCAGAGTAGCCGCCGCTTCCGAGACCAAATCCAACTGCGCTTTGACCAGCCTGACGACTTCAAGGGTGCGTGGGTGGGTGGCCCGGCGCGGGGGCAACTGCTGTGGGGGCAGAAGGCGCATCTGGAAAGTGGTAGAACCAGGTCTGGGCACCTGTTCATCAGCTTTGTGGCTCTCTACTGCCCCCTATGGGCTGTTCCAGCCCTGACAGTCCATGGATCTAATGGCAAGCAAAAGGCTCTGAGAAGTCCTGCAGCAAAGAAACTCTGTGAGCTTTCTTTGACCCTTTGGTTCCCAGATACTATTCTACAGCACTGGTTTCCCCCAGAGCACCCTTTGAGGAATATTTCAACACCTCCAGAACTAAAGATGAAATAAAGTACATTTGTTTTGTACTTTTATAAGAGAGATTAAAATTGTCTAAATAAAATTTCTCCCAGAACTTTCCCATCTTTTCTAGGTTACTGCTCCTCAGGGTGGGTGTCTCAGGTGTCTCTAGTACTTGCCACAACCCTCACCCCTCCTTCTCACTGCCCACAGGCGTGAACGTGACGATGCCCTCGCAGCCCGGCATGCCCCCCCTCTCTTCCACCCAGCTGCAGATTGACACTGCCAGGCAGGAGTTCCAGCTGGTCGACCTGTCTCGCCGCTTCCTGGTCCATGACTCCTTCTGGGCTCTGCCTGAGCAGTTCTTGGGCAACAAGGTAAGGGGCTGGGCTGCTGCCACCATGCCTCACATCCCCAGAAACTGCCGGGGTTTCACTCCCTCTGAAGCTAGTAGCCAGCAGGGCCAACTCAACTCTGGGGGAAAGGTGTTGTCACACCCCCATGCAGCCCCCTGTGGACAGGGCCCCTACACAGGGCTCTCAGGTGGAGAGGAATGCTGATTTGGCTTTTGGGAAGGGCCCTGGGTCACTCCCCTGCTGCTGGATAAGGTTTCGTGTCCTGCCTCTGGCCTCTTTTGCTTTTGCACAGCATTATCCTACTCCCCCTCAATCAGACTGAGCATGCCAAAGGCAGAGTCCAAGTTCCACCCATCTCTGCTTCCTGTGCCCAGCTCAGTGCCTGGCACACAGGAGCACTAGGTATACAGAGGGAGGGAGGAGAGGGCAGCTGGACACAGTAGGCATACAGCTTGCCCACAGCTGCCCTGCTATGACCTACCATGTCTTGGCCAGGTGGACTCTTACGGTGGCTCCCTGCGCTACAAGGTGCACTACGAGCTAGCACGTGGCACACTGGAGCCAGTGCAGCGGCCAGATGTAGTCCTCGTGGGTGCTGGGTATCGCCTTCTCTCCCGAGGCCACACGCCCACCCAACCCGGCACCCTGAACCAGCGCCAGGTCCAGTTCTCTGAGGTAGGTGGTGCCTACCTCCCCTCAGAAGGGGGTTCAGGCTGTGTGGGCGCTGATGTGTGACCCCTCCACCTTTGTCCATGTTCAGGAGCACTGGGTCCATGAGTCTGGTCGGCCAGTGCAGCGGGCGGAGATGCTGCAGGTGCTGCAGAGCCTGGAGGCCGTGCTCATCCAGACAGTGTACAACACCAAGATGGCTAGTGTGGGGCTCAGCGACATCATCATGGATACCACTGTCTCCCATGCTACCAGCCATGGCCGTGCCCACAGTGTGGAGGAATGCAGGTGCCTGACCCGACAGGGCAGGGGGCCACAAAGACCCCGGCCAAGATAGGAGAGAAATAGCAGACCCTCCTGGTTCCTGCAGCCCTGTCTTGATCCTGCCCCCACAGGTGCCCTGCTGGCTACACCGGCTTGTCCTGTGAGAGCTGTGATGCCCACTTCACCCGAGTGCCTGGTGGGCCCTACTTGGGCACCTGCTCTGGCTGTAACTGCAATGGCCATGCCAGCTCCTGTGATCCCGTGTATGGCCACTGCCTGGTAAGTAGTGTCCACTCACACTTGGACATTGATTGGGAACAGGGGCAGACCCCAGATTGAGGCTTCCTTATGTCTGTAAGCTAAGTACAAACCTCCAGAATGACTACCATGCTGCCGGTTATCATAATCTCTGGACATATTAACAAAGATAGCATATCGACTAAGGGAGGTGAAGATCTTAATTTTCATCTACCCTAGTCAAACCAATCCTGAGTACTTTGGAAAGCTTGGCCCTTACCAGGGCAGCTCTAAGTGGTAAGATCCTATAAATTATATATATTTCTTAGGAATAGAGGAGGGAGCTAGGATTGTAAAGCTGCTGGAAGGGAGGGCTCAAGCAGGGCAAACTATTATCTCTAAGTCCCTGAAAAACTATCAGGCGTAGAAGGAAAAGACTCCAGGAGAAAGAACTGGCGAGTGGGTGTAGATTAGAAAGTGATGCAGGTTTAGCTCAGGTTAAAGGAGGCAAGCTGTGATGGGAAAAGCTACCATGTGAGGTGAGGAACTCGCCATTGGAGGCAGCCGGCTGTTCCTCTCTCAGCAAAGCTGTGGAGTTATTCCAGTATGGTGGGGGAGGCTGAACCAGACAGTCCTAAAGGCCCATCCTCAAAGAGCCATCTGGCCCAGTGTGGCTGCACATTGGGGCCTGGGGACTGCTCTGCTAAACCTGAAGCTGTCCCTTCCCCCTTTCTCAGAATTGTCAACACAACACAGAGGGGCCACAGTGCAACAAATGCAAAGCTGGTTTCTTTGGGGATGCCACAAAGGCCACGGCCACTGCCTGCCGACCTTGCCCTTGTCCGTACATCGACACCTCCCGCAGGTCAGACCCGGCTTGGGGTGGGGCGGCTATGGCTGGGGGTGTGGGCCATGCAGCATGCTAGGGGCACACTCTGGGCAGGGAGCTGGGAGACCTTGGTTCAAATCGTGGACACTCAGTTGTTTTCTGCCCCTTGACCTGTTCAGGCCTCAGTTTCTTTTTCCATATAATGGACCCATGTGTCTTCTTAATGTTGCTCTGAGGCTGTAGATCAAGAGCAAGTGGACAAAGACATGACATCATACCTCACAACCTATTGTGTCCCTGTGGACAGCAGACATTTCACAGGGTGACAGCCTATGACCTCACCTGACCCACCACTGCAGCCCTGCCCCGTGTTATGTCCACTTGATACCCACAGATTCTCAGATACCTGCTTCCTGGACACAGATGGCCAAGCCACATGTGACGCATGTGCCCCAGGCTACACGGGCCGCCGCTGCGAGAGGTGAGGAATTGCTGGCAGGGCCTGGGAGAAGTAGGCTGTACTGGGGGACGGGGGGACATGGAAATGCCGCTGACCATCCTACCTCTCCCCCAGCTGTGCCCCCGGATATGTGGGCAACCCCATTCAGCCAGGCGGAAAGTGCAGGGCCACCAGTGAGTATTATAGCCACCATCTCTGGGGACCGATCTCCAGTCCTGGAGGCTAGTCCAAATCCCATGAACCTCTGGGAGCTGTCGCCCGCTATCCCTCATCTGCCCAGACTGTGTAGTCCGTTCCATCTGCCCTGCTGACACCCACTTTGTACCTGCAGCCCAGGAGATTGTGCGCTGTGATAATCGAGGCAGCATAGGGACCTCTGGGGAGACCTGCCTTTGTAAGGTACGTGTAGCCCCCTCGCCCCGGCCCCTCGGCCGTGGGTCCTGGCACAAAGCTGGAAGATGGGGCAAGGAGGCTTCTTCCTCTCTGTAGCTCCTTGGCTGGTGGGTGGTGACTGAGCCAGAGGTAGATGGACCTGGCTGGTTCGTCTTCCCCCTCCAAAAAGGTAGCCTGGCAAAGGGAAGGAGCTCTGGTTGGAGAGCGCTGGTTGGGGAGTCAGGTGGCCTGGGTCCAAGTCCCAGATCCCTTGCCAGTCTTCTTTGTGTAACTGTAGTGTCCGATTGTACCTTTGACCACACCTTAATCCTCGTGCTGACACAGTAATGCAGGTATTAGCATCCCCGATTTACAGATAAGGAAATGAAGGCTCAGAGGAGGGAAGTCATTTGCATTTAGAGTGGGAGAATCAAGTGTCAGTGGAAAAAAGAACTGACAGATTTTGAAATCAGGTATTCCTGATCTTAACTCTCAGGGTGGATTAATAAGCCAGGCGACCTCGTGTGAATCATTTCCCATCCCTGAGCCTCAGTTTCCTCGTGTGAAGCATGGAGATGCCACATACCTCTCCAGGGATCTAGAGGGCTTAAATGAGATAACTGAACAGAAACTAGCACAGTACATGAAACACTATATGAATAGTAGCAATCATTAATTTACCCAAGTGGCTATGTTTCACCTCTGAATTTATCTGTGAGCCCTCTAGCAACCAAAGAGAAAGGGGAAAAATGTCTGGTTGTATAAGCTCCCATTAATTGGGAATTGTTGACATGGTGGCAACCCCTCTACTTATGTTCTTTCCACGGCTCCCTTTGGCCTTGGGTCCCCATGTAGAATGTGAGCGAATTAGCCAGGAAGCTCCAGGAAGCCCCACCGTGGGCCACCCTGCAGCTCCCAGCTCTGTGCCTGCAGAACAACGTGGTGGGGCGCCTGTGCAACGAGTGTGTGGCTGGCTCTTTCCACCTGAGTAACCACAACCCCGATGGCTGCCTCAAGTGCTTCTGCATGGGTGTCAGTCGCCAGTGCACCAGCTCCTCCTGGAGCCGAGACCAGGTACTGATGCACGGCAGGAGGGCGGGCACACAGGTGGGACCACTGAGCCCCAGTCTCCCACCCCACAGCCCCCATCCTGGCTTATTCTCCCCTCCAGGTGCACGGGACCTCTGAGGAGCCCACTCAGTTCAGCCTGACCAACGCTGCAGGCACCCACACCACCAGCGAGGACATCTCATCCCCCTCACCCGGGGAACTGGTCTTTTCCTCCTTCCACAACCTCCTAACCGGACCCTACTTCTGGAGCCTCCCTTTGCGCTTCCGTGGGGACAAGGTAGGCAGCAGGTGGGAAGAGAAGGGGAATTCCAGGCAGCAGGACCAGTACAGCAAAGGCTTGGGAGCAGGAGAGGCCTGGTGCCTTGGGAGCCGAGAAGGGTGGCTGGAGCGCTGGCGGGGTGCAGCTGAGCACCGTCCACCCTGTGCCCCAGGTCACCTCCTATGGAGGAGAGTTGCGCTTCACGGTGACCCAGCGGCCCCACCCTGGCGCCCTGCCCCTACACCGGCAGCCCCTGGTGGTGCTCCAGGGCAACGGCATCGTCTTGGAGCATCACACCTCCCAGGACCTTATTCCTGGCCAACCCAGCACCTTCACCGTGCCGTTCCGGGAGGTGAGCATGCCACTCCCAGAACCTTCCATGGCTGGGGTGTGGGGCTGGGAGGGCCGGGGCTGTTAGGCCCCCTGCTCCTCACTCAAGGGTGTCAGTGTGCCAGGATGTCGGATTTGCAGCACTTGTATCATTTCCTTGGCAGCAAGCCTGGCAGCGGCCCGACGGGCAGCCGGCCACACGGGAGCACCTGTTGATGGCGCTGGCGGGTATTGATGCCCTCCTGATCCAGGCATCCTATACCCAGCGGCCAGCTGAGAGCAGGTGCCTGGGGCCCGGGCGGGAGGACAGAGGGGGCATGGCACTGTGGCTCCAGTTTAAGCGGGGTGATGCGGAAGAGCCAGGCTGCCAGCTCTGCCACACACTGGCCGCATGGCCCTCTTTTGCTTCCCTTTCCTCCTCTGTAAAATGGAGATGATAACAGTGCTTCCCTCACAGGGCTTGGCTTAGGTCAGGTTCCCTCAAAGCAAAGCAAGGTGAACCTTGGAGTGGGGAGAGGGAGAGGAAGAGGCCTCTAGCCTCAGCTTCACCCACGGAGCTCTGAGGGTCATCGTGCTTTGAGACAAAGGGGCTTTTGCACCCTGGGCAGTCTGTCATTGGTCACTCCAGGGAAGCAGGTAGTTCACCTACCTGGCAAGGAAGGCTCATTGCCCTGGGGAAAGCAGTTGTGTGAGCCATTCATGGAGCCCTGTCAGCAGCTGGGCAGTATGGGGCCCCAGTAGCACCAAGACAGGGCATTTGGGGATAAACAGAGGCCTGGCCCCAAGGAGTGCACATTCACAGGGGGCCTGTCACTCCAGGGTCTCTGGCATCACCATGGACGTGGCTGTGCCCGAGCACACGGGCCAGGATCCTGCCCTGGAGGTGGAGCAGTGTACCTGCCCACCTGGGTACCGCGGCCCCTCCTGCCAGGTGAGCCCTGACCCTGACCCATCCAGCCCGCTCCCTCCCTGGTACTCCCTGGCCCTGCCTTCTGTCACTCTCCCCACCGCCCTAGTCCCGCCCTGCCCGGCCACCCAGTGTCCCTGCCCCCTTCTGAGTCTGACAGGGAAGCCCCTCACTGTCATCTTCCTGCCCCCCAGGACTGTGACACCGGCTACACACGCATGCCCAGCGGCCTCTACCTGGGTACCTGTGAACGATGCAGCTGCCATGGTCACTCGGAGGCCTGTGAGCCCGAAACAGGAGCCTGCCAGGTGAGCCCCGCCGCCTTCCTTCCCACCCCAGGGATCTGTGGCCATTGGGAGCCTGGCCTTAACCCATCTCTACTCCTCCAGGGCTGCCAGCATCACACGGAGGGTCCTCGGTGTGAGCAGTGCCAGCCCGGGTACTACGGGGACGCCCAGAGGGGGACGCCGCTGGACTGCCAACCGTGCCCGTGCTATGGAGCCCCCGCCAGTGGCCAGTGCGTCCATCCCTGCCCTTTCCTGAGATGTCCACCTGCCCCTTTCCCGAATCTTCCTCCCAGCAGGCCCCTCTGAGAGGCAGTGGTTGAATCCTGCCCTTGCCCTTCCTCATGTGTAATTTGGCATGAGATGCACTTCCCTCCTGGCCTTGGCTTCCTCCTCTGTGATTTGGGGACAGAGATGCCCCACCCCAATGCCCCATCAATTGAGGTGATGGACATAAACTCAGGACAGAACTGGCATGGAGCTGGCACTCACATCACATAGTTCCCATGCCCACTCCCCACCTCCTGCCCTGGACGAAGGGCTGCCCCCCTTCTCACTGGAAATTTGCCCTCCACACCCTCAGGGCCACCCACACTTGCTTTCTGGACACAGACGGCCACCCCACCTGTGATGCGTGCTCCCCAGGCCACAGTGGGCGTCACTGTGAGAGGTGAGGTGCAGGGTGGGCAAAGTGGGGGGTCGTGCAGGAGGAACTATCTCTGGAGTCCTCAGGCTGGCCCCTGCCCTCCTGACCAGAGGGACCAGAGCCTCCGTCTCACCTCACACAGACCCCAGGAGATAATCAGCTCCTCTCCCTGAAAGCCTCCCCCCATAGCCCACATTCAAGGCCTTCAGATTCCAGTCTGCAGTCCACCGCCAACCCCCAGCACCCCTGCTCAGTGAGGGCAAAGTCTCCCCACAAAATCCCTCATTCTTGCTGGAGGTGCTAGGTTGGGGGCCCGGGGACCTGGGACATATCCCTGCCTTTTTCCCGCCTGTCCCCGGCTGTGATGGGGTGAGTCAGGCTGATTGTTGCTCCCAACCTGGGAGGTCACTGAGTTCAGTAGAGGCCGCCTGGCCCACTCCCGGTGCAGCAGGCTCCCCGCAAGTCTCTGCTTCTGCCCCCATTCATCAAATGCTTGCTCTCTTCCTAGGTGTGCCCCCGGTTACTATGGCAATCCCAGCCAAGGCCAGCCATGCAGAAGTGAGTAGGCTCCGGAGGCCCTTGGGGTGGGCTACCCAGTCTCCCCCCAGGGCTAAGCGAGGGCAGAGCCTTTGTTTTCCGCCAGCCTGGGCCAAGGGTCAGCCTGACCTGACCCTTCTGGGCCTCGGCTGCTTTGTCTGGGGAATGGGGTTAGTAATATGTCCGCCCACCCCAGAAGCCTGCTGTGAACATGCGGGGTGTTCAGAAATAAGCATTCCCTCTCAGTGGTGAGTCAGGTGACCAGAGGGCGGTGGGAAGGGGGTCTTGGGTGGTGGGCTTGGGATCCCAGCTGTGGCCTCCCTGTCTCAGGAGATGGCCAAATACCAGACCTGAACGGCTGTGGCTGCGACCCCCAGGGCAGCATCGGCAGCCAGTGTGACGCTGCTGGCCAGTGCCAGTGCAAGGTGAGTCCTGCGCTGGCCCCCTGCAGAGGCCCTAACTCCCCCTACGGCTATCTCTGCAAACCCCCACCTCCTTACCTAGAGGGCCCGTCTCTGCCCCATTGCTGGGTACCTGGTGGGAAGTCAGGCAACATCTGACAAGAACTGGGGTCCAGACATGGGGGCAACAGGTGTTCACCTTGACTACCAGCAATGTCTGCAAAGGCTGACCTCAGAAGCTGCTGTTAGGAGTGCAAGAGTCCCACCCTTCCTATCTCGCCCACCCAGGCCCAAGTAGAAGGCCTCACCTGTAGCCACTGTCGACCCCACCACTTCCACCTGAGTGCCAGGAACCCTGATGGCTGCCTGACCTGCTTCTGCATGGGCGTCACCCAGCAGTGCGCCAGCTCCTCTTACACCCGCCACCTGGTAAGAGCCTGTGAGTTGCCCCCACCCTGGGGCTGGCCCCTGCCTCCTCCTGACTTGCCCTCAGGGCAAGAAGCCTGACCCTGCATTGTCTCTATTGCCTATGAGGATACCCACTCCATGCCTCTATTATTCCCATGTGAGCACAGATCCTGGCAACCCTTGCCCCTACCCCAGTATCCTCTCCACAACCTCATTATCATTCTCAGCCCTGAGCCAGTCCCCCCCATTGTCCACCCTATTCCCCCATTATTTTTGTCCCAGTCCTGAGCTCAGCAACCCCCCTTACCCACTCTAATGCCCCCCCAAATGCCTGCCCCACTGCCCAAGATGACATCCCATTCTCCTTCTGCTGGCAGATCTCTACCCACTTTGCCCCCGGGGATTTCCAAGGCTTTGCTCTGGTGAACCCACAAAGGAACAGCCACCTGACGGGGGGTTTTACCGTGGAGCCCGTGCCCGAGGGGGCCCAGCTATCCTTCAGCAACTTCGCCCACCTCGGCCACGAGTCCTTCTACTGGCAGCTGCCAGAGACGTACCAGGGAGACAAGGTATGAAGCGCAGCAGGGGCTGACAGGCCACCCTCCTGCCAGCTCTGAGCCCAACTCAGACATGAGTTGACTTCAGAGGTGCCTCGGCCACGTTGTAGTTAGGCTTGTGACCTTTGGAGCCAGCTAGGCCTCAGTGTGAACCCAGCTCTGCCACTTCCCACTCGTTGTTTTTTGATAAACCTCAGCTCTGGGTGGCGGGAGGCCTGGGGCTCTTCACACCTGGCACATAAATGGTACTCACCCGCTAATGATTATTAGCTTTCAGGCAGTTGGTCAGCACGGGTCCCGGCTGAGGCCTTCCAAACACTAGGACAGATGAGACACAATTTCCGTTTCGTTCATTTTCTCGCTCAAAGTTCACTCGTCCGCTGGTTGGCACTGTGCAGCTGTTGGGTGTGCTAAGAACTCTTACTCTAGGTCAGGTACTCTGCGACAGGCACTTTCGCTGGAGACTGCTACTGTCCTATCCCACAGATGAGGAAACGCAGGGGAGGGAGGTTAGGGAACTTGCCTGAGCACCTGCAGCCAGTAGGTGGGTGTGCTGGGATCCCAGCCCAGGTCAGACTACCCTCAAAGACTATACTAGTCAGCAGTGAACTTGTCTCTTCCACTCCAGGGTCATGTGGGCAGGTAATGGTGATGGCAACATTGTGGGGGGCAGGGTCTAAGGGGCGGACTCCGGGGCAGCCTGCTCAAATGTGTACCTGGAGCAGGCACCCAGGGAAGGGGTTCTTAGTATAGGAGTCCCCTGCTAACTGAGGCCAGTGCTCAGGGCCAGGGTCCCAGGAAGGTCAGGGGCTCGGAGGAGGGGAGTCCTGAGGCCATGCTGTTGAGTGCTATGCACTGACCCAAGTATCCCAGCCCCCTTCCAGGCTGCCTGCCTTTTGGTGCCTTCTCCCTTCTTCCTCCTCCTGGTCTCTCTGCCTCCCTTCTGTGCTGCACTCTCAGACCTTTCTCTCTTATTCCATTTTCTGGTGTTCATGGTGCCCCACAGAGGGAGGCATATTTTGCTCGGATGCGCCGGGCTCACCAGGTAGGCCCAAGATATGAGGGGTGTGAAGTCTATCTGACGTGGGCATGGTGTGTGCTTAGATGCTCTCAGTCCTGCATGGGAGATGCCCCAGGTCCCAGTGGGTCTGCATGAACCCAGGCAGTGCCCAACAGCCTGTGAGAGCACTGTCATGCCTCAGACCTGCCTGGCCAGGACTCAGGGCCAGGAGGAGTGTGAGCTTATACGCCTCATGGACTGGTACTGGTACCAGCCAGCTGTGGGCAGTGGTGGCCAAAGTGGTGGGGAAACTAACTCGATGCTAAACCCATAACTCACCTGCCCCCCAGGTTACTCCAGCACTGCTTCCCAAGGAGCCTCCATCAACCCCCGTGTGCAAATGTCCCTCCAGCAGCCTGGAGTTAATCATGCTCTGACAGCCTAGAGAGGGAGCATGCGTTTTCTCTCCAGTCAGTGTGGGCCATTCTCACCACCATATGTACGGGGAGGGGGCACTCCCCAGGGCTCCAGCTCTGGATTCTGGGAGATCTGAGCCAGCCTGCACCCTCCACCTACCAGAACCACACATCCCTCTCAGAGGATCAGCTGCGGACAGCTATGACAGCTGGGAGGATCTCGGGGCCCCCAGAGGGCAGGGGCTGGGTGCAGAGGCTCTCACAGGTAACTCAGGGCCTGATTGGGACTGGCCATGTCTGGGCCCCTAGGGAGGAGGCCAGAGAGCGTAGTCCAAGCCGGAGCCTTGAACCGAGGCCCTGGCTTTTCTGGCTGTTATCCTGGCCACAGCCTGATGCCCAGTTCATTCCAGTGTTGCCTGTGAGAAACCTTGCACAGCCGTGAGTGGCTTGGGCATCATGGTCACACATAGAGAGGGGGTCTGAGGGACAGCGCTCCCACCACAACTGCCACTACAGCTGTCTGCCCCTCTCTTGCTGGGTACCCCATGGGGTTTCTCCCCATCATCATGGCTCACAGTCAGCTGGCCCATCCAGGATCATCCTGCCAGGGTCCCGAGAAGCAAGAGAGCATTATGGCACTGAAGCAGCTGGCTGGCTAGGGCTGGGTGAGGCCAGGGGGTGCAGAGGCTCACAGTGTCCTTGCTGTCCCTCCGCTCCCTCCTCCGTCCTTCCTCTCCTGGCCCCCCAGGTGGACGAGGCCCAGAGGCGGATAGATGCCAAGATCTGGCAGCTCCTCTCCAGCTTTGCTGCCCACCCCCACCCCACTCCCTGGGGACTTGTGCCCCATCCCCAGCCTGCAGCTGCTCTTCGAGCAGCCCCACTCTCTTCTTCCTCCTCCTCCTCAGCTACTCTGGCTTCCTCAGCAGGCTCCCAGGTATGTGAGGGCACCCTCCAAGGGGCCCCGCTCAGCATGTTTTCCCAGCTCCAGTTGTTTCTACACCAACTCCACAAATCCTGCCATTTCTGCAGTCTCCTGTGCACAGTTATGCTAGCTGTGTTTTTAACGTACACTAAAGTCACCCCTAAATCTAAAAATGTTTTCTGGCATGCAGCATAAGCCATCTTGGGGTTCACAAAAGGTACACACCAGATACAAGCAGACACCAACCCAAACCACAACCAGCGAGAGTAGGCGGGTATCTGAGTCAGATGAGGGAACAAGTCATCCAAACAGCAGGCTGGGACCTGAGTGTTGGGGGTCCCTCTTTCTGCCCTGCTCAATCCCCCTCCAGGGTTCATCCCGCCCTCGTCAGGACCATCTTCCCCTTGACCCCCACCTGCTCCCTCAGCACTCACAGCCTTTGCTTCTGTTCTAGTTCTCTCTCTCCTATGAAGGCTTCTCTCTGCTTCCTGGAAGCCTCTATTACTGGCAGCTGCCCAAAGCCTTCCTGGGGAACAAGGTAACAAGAAGTTGGGGGGGAGCAGGGTATCACAGAATCTGACCATGTCAGAGGGTCCTTTATGATACAAATGGGTTGACCCAGGCAGGGAAGGGTTTTGTTGGGGTCCCACATTAGGGCCAGAGAGGGTTGAAATTGAATCCTGTGAACCACCAGCCCCTCACAGAGGGACTGACTCACCTAACAGATCAGCACCCCTTCTTTGGGCTTCCTTTACTCTGTACCCAGTTCGCTGACCTAGCTCTTGGCACGACATCCATTCATTCACACACATTAAGTATGTACTCTCCATGGTATTGTGTGGAGGCAGAAGAGCCTGGCCTCCATATTGTTCCAAAAAACAATCTAGAATGCTCTTAATAATACACAGAACATGCAATAAAATATTCAAAGAAGCAGCCAGGTTGGAGGGAAGTGAAGACAGGAAAGCTCTACTGACGCTGAGAGCGGAGCTGGGTGTACTGGAGAGGAGGCTGGGTGAGGTCTCCGAGCTCAGGGGCAGTATTTATGTGCCCATGTAACTTGATCCTCAAGACACCCTTCAAGGTTGGCATAGTCTTACTTCCATTTTCATGGGAGGAAAGTAGTGTTCAGAGAGGTTAAGTAACTTGTCCAAGGCTTCCCAACCCTTAGAGCTGGATTTGAACCTTGGTCTGACTACAGAGTCTGCTCTCGTAGTCACCCTACAGACTGATCCTTGACATTGCTGTGAACTTGCTGGCATCTAAAGGTAATGGGAAGCCAGTTGTCCCATGGTTGTGTCGTTACCCCACCCCGAGCTTATGGAGAACATCCTCAGGGCCTATATAGCCCAAAGCCTGGCATGTAGTCAGTAGGTTTTTAATAAATGCTCATCAATGGAACAAACACACAGGGTAGATCTGACCCCGTGTGGTGACAGAGAAGAGAAAGAAAGCCCTGCTGGGGCCCCTGTGGCAAACATGGGGGCTTCTCCAATGTGAGCAACAAAAAACCCAAGTCCAGCGGTTTGTCTGCAACAAAGAATCTACTGGCTCATGTAACTGAGTATATTGGCTCATGTAAGCCAATACAAGCACAGTGGTTTCAGGCATGGTTGGCTCCAGGGGCTCATTAGTTCTTTGTCTCGGTTGGCATTCTCCAGCCTCCAATCTGACTAGTAAAGGGAGTTCCTCTGGTCCAGTAGAAGGAGCATCAGTACCAGGTCCATCCCTGGTGGGGCAGAGGGGAGCAGTGGAATATGCAGGTTGGCCAGGCCTGGCTGGGGACCAGGCCACAAACCACAAGGCCTGCACATAGGACAATTTCCTTGAAAGGAAGTCAGAGCTCATTTCATAGCTTCTGTTATCAAGTTAATCACTTCTCTTTGGATTTTTGTATTTAATGTAGTAATTACTTCAAAATTTTTTTAAAAAGTAAGGAATCAGGACTGCAGTTTTCAAAAGGAAGGGAAATGGCTTCTGAGTACAGCTGAGAACTTGAGACCCTTCGGCTCCTCCCCATGGTGGCCACTGTTCTTCCCCCTGTGAGCTTTATGGGCAGTTTCTTCCAATGGAAAGGGACTTGGAGCTGTTTGCTGGGATTGTCAAGGCAATGAGGAACACTCCCAAAACAGAAATGTGGCTACTTGGGGTCATTGCCCCCGGAAAGAACTGAGAGAAATCCTGTCTCCCAGGAGCCCACAGGCCATGCAACCAGCCTCTGGTTGGTGCACACAGTGAAAAAAGCTCCAGAGGCTCTGCCCCACCACCTGCACACATGTTCACCCCCTGCCCCCAGAGAAGGGCAAGGTCAGGCTGTGACTCCAGGGCTTGCCTTCTTGCAGGTAGCAGCTTATGGCGGGAGACTGCGCTACACCCTCTCCTACACAGCGGGGCCGCAGGGCAGCCAGCTCTCAGACCCTGACGTCCAGATCACGGTGAGCACGTAGACTACACCTAGGCAGGCAGAGTGGACGGTGGGAGCCAGGGGGCACTCTCACTGTTTCTGTCCTTCGAGGCCAGCCCACCGTCGGCCTGACATAGGCTGCCGGGTTGGTTGGATGCTACCTCGCTGCTGCCCACGGCCTGGTTGGATGCTACCCAGGCAAAGGCCCAGCTGCTGGCAGAGAGGGCAGCAGCATGTGCTTGATCCCTTTGGGCATAGAACTTGGAATATAGGATGGATGGAGGCTGGTGCAATAGGCTGGGACTGGCGGGGGAGCCCTCTGTGCCAAGAACCCCTCAGTTCTCCTAACCAGCTGCGGTTTCCCCAGGGCAACAACATCATGCTGGTGGCCTCCCAACCGGCACCGCAGGGCCCAGAGAGGAAGAGCTACGAGATCATGTTCCACGAGGTGAGCCTCTTGGCCACAATGTGCCCTGCTTTAACGCTAGCTGCCGTGCCTCTTGCTCCTCCAGCCTCACCCCAAAGTCCTGGGCCAGCACCCAGATGGCAGGAGTTGGGGTGAGGGTGGGCTGCAGAAGGGGTACACAAACCCTAACACCCCGTGCCCACACTTGCCATCATTCCCCTACCCTAGGAATTCTGGCAACGGCCTGACGGGCAGCCGGCCACACGCGAGCACCTCCTGATGGCGTTGGCTGACCTGGACGAGCTGCTGGTTCGGGCCACCTTCTCCTCCGTGCCGGTGGCGGCCAGCATCAGCGCCGTCAGCCTGGAGGTAGCCCAGCCTGGGCCCTCAAACGGACCCCGGGCCCTCGAGGTGGAGGAGTGCCGCTGCCCCCCGGGCTATGTCGGTCTGTCCTGCCAGGTGAGTGTGGCCGGCCCAGACACCGCTGCTCGGGCACAGTTCGGCAGTAACTGACCAACCTCCATTTCCATGGCCCATGACTGCTGTCGTAACTTTCACATACTCTGCATTACCTCATTTATTCCTCCCAACAGCCCTGAGGCTCTGTCAAGTGGGGAGTACCAGACTGTGAGGGGGTGCTGCAGGATGGCAGCTGGGACCCAGGACTGTTCCTCTGCCAGGCAATGGGGCAGAGACAGGAGCGGAAGAGTCCCATTTAGTGGCAGGGACATGGGGGAGGAGGGGAGCCAGGGCTGTCAGTTGAAGCATCTGAGAGCATCTGTAGGGTTTCACTGGAGACTTTGAAGTCCATGAGGGCAGGGCCTGAGCTGACTGCACCCGCCCCCCACCCCACCGCCCCAAATCCCAGGCTTATGATCCATCAGTGAGGAGCTGGGGAAGGAAGATCACAGAGTGCAGAGGGTGGGGCTGCTCAGCCAGGTGCTGGGCTTGAAGGTTGTGGAACATAAATGCCCCAACTCAGGGACTCCCCATGGGAAAACCACATCTCTGCAGCTTTGCTTCTGTGGCCGCAAGAGCCTTCAGGGCCAGAGAGCTGAACTTCACATCCTAGAAGTTATAAAATCTAACACATTTTAAAGGAGAACCTCTAGGGAAAGCAAAATCCTTGGTGCATGTTTTCTGCAGTAAAGCAAACCATTTATAAACATCCCTTTGAAATGGTAGGAGAGGGGAGGCCTGGAGAGATTTCAAAGGGCTGGTGAATAGAAATTCATTGTTCACAGAACCCATGGTGATTCATTCAGGATGTGCAAAGGCCTCGTTGACTGTGCCTGTGCTGCCCTTTTCACTTTATTTGGTGAATATCAGCAAGCTATAAAGATTGTTGCAGATCTAGGGCTCCTAAACCCTCTTTGTCCATCTAGGGGTTAAGTTTTCAGCACAGATTCTGCCAGAAGAATTTCCTGGACAACATCCTGGGGGTGGAGGAGTGTTCTCCATTAAGGATGATGTATTATTTCAGTAAATTCAGAGAGGCAGAAGATGCCAGGCAGGAGGGGGCCGGGAACTACCCCAGCTCTGGAGTGTCAATAAAATGAAGACAGTGATGGGAAGAGGGATGTTGAAAGGGAGGCTGGGGCGGAGGCTGTTGCCTCCAAGGGCCTATGGAGTCTGGATGGTGGGTTGGGGATGAAGGGAGAGGGGTCTGTTGGCTCTAGATGGGAACCTGTTGAGGATGGAGACCAATTCTCTCTGGCCCCCGCCCCCCAGGACTGTGCCTCGGGCTACACCCGCACGGGGAGTGGGCTCTACCTCGGCCAATGTGAGCTGTGTGAGTGCAATGGCCACTCGGACCTGTGCCACCCAGAGACCGGGGCCTGCTCGGTAAGATACAAGCAAGGCCGGGGCAGCCGGCCTGGGGCTGGTGGGGCGCCAGCACAGGCTGCCAGATAGGGAGGGGCTCTGTCAAGTAGACCTGGGTCTAGGGCAGGATCATAGGGCCTGGCCTGTGGGGTGATGCACCCTAGCGTCCGATCTCCAAGGGGCTGCAGGACTGGTGGGTTGCCAAGAACTATGGAATAAGATCCTTCTTTATAAAGGACGCATTGGTTGCTACTGTCTCTGATCCCCAAAGTAACACCTGTTCTTTGTAAAAGAGCCAGACTAGAGAGAGAACCCCAAAAGAAAAGAAAGTGAAAATTCCCTATAAGCCTCCCACCTAGAGGTAATCCCTGTCAAGGGTAGAATAGAGCTTTTGGCTTCTTTTTAGTGGCAAACATTTACACAGCTTCATATCCTTTCTGATTTACAAATGAACATGGGTAATCAACTTTTTTCACTTACAAATTCATGAACATCGTTCCATATCATTTACTATATTTTTACATCAGAACTTTTCTGAATAGTGTGTGTCCAGCCCTTCAGGGTATATGGTCAGGACCAGATGTTTGACAGAACCACAAACCACACACGGGCAAGGAATGTGCTGAGTTAATGAAACAAATGTGCATCTCCTTGGAGGAGAATGTAAAATCCACATGTTATGATGATGTAACAGTATTTTCAAAATTCTGCCCCCAAAGACCCGGAGAACACATCTTTACTTTCTTGTGATATTCTAGGGTTTTGTTTTTTTTTTTTTGGTGGGGCCCTCGCCGGTGGCCGGGGAATGAACCGGCGCTGCAGAGGCTGCAGGCAGCCTTGCAGCCCAGCGCTCAACCACTGCGCCACCAGGGGAGGTCCTATTCTAGGTATTTTTATAGGAAAATGTAAGAAATACAATGACCGTCATCTTTTTGATAGCTATTTGGGTGGATATTTTTTTAATATATCCAGTTCCCTGTTCATGGATATGAGGTTTGCTTCCAAGCTTTCACTTTTATAGACACCACCAAACTGAACATTCTACAGTGAAACCTTTATGCTCCTCTGTGATTATTTCTTTAAGATAAGCTCACAAGCTTGGGATTTCCAAGTCAAGGGAATGCAGAGTTGTAAGGCTTTTGGTAGGTGTTGCCAAGTGGCATGTGGCTGACATCCCCTCGCCTTGCAGCAGTGCCAGCACAACACCGCCGGGGAGTTCTGCCAGCTGTGTGCGCCTGGCTACTACGGAGATGCCACAGCCGGGACACCCGAGGACTGCCAGCCCTGTGCCTGCCCACTGACCAACCCAGAGAACATGTGGGTCTCCTGCTCAAGGCCCAGAGGAGAACGCCCACCTGGGCGTGGAGGGCACTGCATTGGCTTTCGGGGCAGAAGGGAGTAGGGTGGGGTATGGGCACCCCAGGATCTGACCTTTGCCACCTCTATCCCAGGTTCTCCCGCACCTGTGAGAGTCTGGAAGCTGGTGGGTACCGCTGCACGGCCTGTGAGCCTGGCTACACCGGCCAGTACTGCGAGCAGTAAGTTTGCAAATAGGAGGCAGTGGTGGTGGTGGGAGCGGGCATCTGATCCACTCCTGGGTGAAAGCCCCCGATGGAGTTGCTCAGGACCATGCCGCTCCCGTGCCCAAAACCCTTCCAAGGTGCCCCTTGTCCTTCCTTTAAGTCCAGGCACCTCAGGCAACCTTTTGCTTCTGTCCCGTTGCACTCTGGCACCCAACTCTGGACTCTCGCTGGGCTTGACTTCTTGATGTCCAGGTCTTGAAAGTGCTGTTCCCTCTGCACAGAACATTCTTCACCCCCAGACCTCCACTTCTTGTCTCACTCTGTTTAGTCTTCAAGGCTCAGCTTCATTCACTCATTCAGCAATTTTTTAAAAAGATTTATTTATTTATGCATACAAGAACTGGGGTGTAGGCCAGAGGTACAGGGGGTGAGAGGATTCACCAGAGACAGAGTGGGGAGCAGAACAGGCAGATCTACTGAAATACACTGCTGAGGGGAGCAGCGGGTGAGTCAGGAGAGGTCTGCTGTGCCATGTGGGTCAGCTTCCTGCCCGGGGATTGAACTCATGCTGCAGTGGCTGGCAATAGCTTAATAAAGCTGAGACTGTAACGCCTGCGTCACCAGTGAGGCCCTCATGCAGCAATTTTTTATTGAACGCCTACAGTGTGCCAGGCTGTTGGAGATGAAGTAGTGAACAAAGTCCATCTGGTCACAGCCTTTAGGGAGTAAACCACCTAAATGGGAGACAAGCCACCATGCAAATATGAAGTTATAAACCATGGTAGTTCTCTAAAGAGAAGTCTGTGCCACAGTAATATTCCAGCTCAGCAGTCCCCTTCCTTAGGAAGCCTCCTGATGCCCAGAGCTGTTAGTGCCTCCGTGCCCCATGCCTGCACCACCTCACATGTGTCCTCGCTCTCATAGTGAGTTCTTTGGGAGCAGGGACTCCATTGTGGTCACTGGCGTATTCCCATGACCTAGCAGAGCAATTGCTCAGTAAACATTTGTTGAAGGATTGTTTCCCTAGGGAATAAAGACCCACATTACCCAACCTGCTGACATTCTCTGATACACCCCTTGCTCAGGTCACTGAGACCTTGTCTTGGGCCTCTGTGTCTCTGAAGTCATTCCAGAGCTCTGAGACTCCTCCCCAACCCTGGCAGCAGGCTGACCTCTGACTCCCCAAGTCCCCTGGGTCCCTTGGCACTCACAGAGCTGGTTTTTGTTCTTCCTTACAGGTGTGCCCCAGGTTATGTGGGCAACCCCAATGTGCGGGGAAGCCGGTGTCTGCCACAGGGTAAGTAGGACTGTGGCCTTGGGTCAGGATGATGAGCAAGGCAGGGAGTCCAGGGAGTTTTGAGAAATACTAAGTCTGGAGAACAGCACCAGAGGGATGCAGGTGGGGGAAGGGCGGGGGCAGCACACCAGTGCTTAACAGGGCAGATTTCTGAGACAAGGCCGCGGTCTGGGGACCTCTGCCTGAATGGCCTCTCCTGTCCCTCCCCCAGCTGACCATGCCTCTCTGGTGGTCCGGGTCCATCCTCCTCGGAGCATAGTACCCCAAGGTGGCTCCCACTCCCTGCGGTGCCAGGTCAGCGGGACCCCACCCCACTACTTCTACTGGTCTCGTGAAGATGGACAGCCAGTGCCCAGCAGCACCCAACAGCGACATCAAGGTGATGCAAGCCACCCTGCAGTGGGAGGGGGAGTCCCTTCCCTACCAGGGTCACATCCCTACACACGGCAGGGGCAGGGGGTGCATCTGCACTGATGAGCTCCCATCCCCTCCCCACCAGGCTCCGAACTCCATTTCCCCAGCATCCAGCCCTCAGATGCGGGAGTCTACATTTGCACCTGCCGTAACCTCCATCTTGCCAATACCAGCCGGGCAGAGCTGCTGGTCACTGGTGAGTCCCTCCACCTCCTTCCCCAGGCCACCTGTCCTGGACTGGCTTCAGACCCAGCAGCTGGTGCGCTCATCTGCCAGAGGGAGGGTGGTTGCCTAGACCAGGGCACTGTCCGTGGAGATGGCCAGGCTGGTTTCTGAGGCAGAATTGACAGGACTTGATTGTGGACATTCAGGGAAAGAAAAGTTTAGGTGGATGCCCAGCGGGTCTGGTCCTAGCAGCTGGGCAAATGGGGTGCCGCTTACTTAGAGGAGAGAGGCCCCAATAGCAGTGTCTTCCTACGGGCTCTCCGAAGCAGAAGCTGAGACAAGATTGTGACAGTAGTTTGTCTGAGAGGTGAAGTGAGACTGGGAGAGATCGGGAGGCATCCAATAAAGCATGTGTTGTGGAGCTGGTTCCCCAGTGAGGACTTATTGCTTGATAAAGCCAAGGGAGGGCCTCCCTGGTGGCACAGACGGTTGAGCGCCACACTGTGAAGCTGTTCGTAGCCTCTGCAGCGCGGGTTTGATCCCGGCCAGCCGGCAAGAATCCAACATGGCGAAGCAGACCTCTCCTGTCTCGCCTGCTGCTCCCCTTGGCAGTATATTTCAGTCAGTCTGCCTGTTCTGTTCCCCACTCTGTCTCTGGTGGGTCCTCTTGCCCTCCCGCGCATCTGGCCGGTAGCCCAGCTCTTGTATAAAAATGGATAAATCTTAAAAAAAAAAAAAAAAAAGCCAAGGGAAACCCCAGAATAAAACAAGCCTTTTGGAGTCACCCTACCCCAGGGTCAAAAGAGGTGGGGTACACATATCCCCCAATGAGCCCTGCTGATCATTGACTGGGACCCCTGCTAGGAGCAACATCTTCGGTGAGGGAAGGGATAGAAACCAAACTGAAGTGAGGCAAAGAACAGGTGGAAAACATTTCTCAAGAGTCTTGGCTCTCAAGGGAGGTGAATAAATGGAGCAGTACCTGGGAGAACATGGGGCCAAGGTGCATTTTCCAGAGCTGGAATTCTAGAACACATTTGTCTGTGGAGCAGAATGATCCAGTGGGGAAGGGAGGAAAGAGACTGATGGAGCCAGAGAAGGAGGAAGTCCTGGGCAGGGAGATCCTGCACCTGCAACATAGAGTGTCTGGGGTGGGGAGAATCTTATCCCCGGGGACCAGGAAGGTGGAAGGTGGGTTCCTTTGGGAAGTTGGGCAAAATCCAGACTGGTAGTTTCAATTTTCTCAACAAGGGTGAGTTGAAGCCATTAACTGTAAAAGTGGAGGGGGTGTTGGGGAGGCAATGGGCGGAGGTGAATAGTTGTTTGGGAAGGCAGAAACTCGAACCAGACAGAGAAGCCCAGTTGGAGTGAAGTGTGAAGTGCTCAGAGCTCATTTGCGGTCTGTGGTCATGAAATGGAGCCAAGAGGCAGGGTGTGATGTTCTCCATCATTCCCTGGCTCTGCTGGCCTCTTGGTGCCAACAGGAAGAAAGTAGACATTGGGGAGCGTGGTGCCAGGGTGGGGGATGGAATCTAAATTCGCCTGGGACAGAGGTGATACCCAGGTGAACGGATGGAGAGAGAGTAGCCATAGACCAGGCCGGGCTAGCACCCCACTCACAGGAGCGGGGCTGCCATCCCCACAGAGGCCCCGAGCAAGCCCATCACAGTGACAGTGGAGGAGCAGCGGAGCCAGAGTGTTCGCCCCGGAGCTGACGTCACCTTCATCTGCACAGCCAAGAGCAAGGTGGGCAGGGGAGGGTCATCAGGGAGCACCTGTCTTCTGGGGTCTCCAAGTCTCCACGCTGATTCCCCACCACCTCGCCCTCCCTGCAGTCTCCAGCTTACACCCTGGTGTGGACCCGCCTGCACAATGGGAAACTGCCAGCCCGCGCCATGGACTTCAATGGCATCTTGACCATTCGCAATGTGCAGCCGAGCGACGCGGGCACCTACGTGTGCACCGGCTCCAACATGTTCGCCATGGACCAGGGCACAGCCACACTGCATGTGCAAGGTACGTTGGCTTATTCCCAGACCTGACCCACCGAGCCCAACCTTCCCCACACCCCACAAGACTCACAACCATTTTTTCATTCAACTGACACTTGGAGCATCTGCAGTATAGGAGCCAGGCCCTGGCCTAGACTCTGATACAATGCGGGAGATAAAGACAAACAACTTCTGCCCTCCCGCAATGCATGTACTCATAGGGAGACAGTAAGCATGGGAGCAAATGAAAAAAGCAACATGACTGCACCTGGCAATGAGTGCCAGGATAGGAAGAAATAGGAATGGGAGAGTAAGAAATGAGGGGAAGAAAATGAACTTCTACGTGGGGTTGTCAGGGAGGACCTCCAGGAGGAGGGGACATCTGTGCTGAGACCTGCGGGAGGAGGTATTGGACTGCTTAAAGAACTGGTAGAGGGGCCTCCCCTGGTGGTGCAGCGGTTGAGCGCTGGGCTGCAAGGCTACCCGCAGCCTCTGCAGCGCCGGTTCGTTCCCCGGCCGCCGGCGACGATCCCACAAAAAAAAAAAGAAAGAAAAAGAAAAAGAACTGGTAGAGGAAGTAGCATGTACACAGGCCCTGAGGTAGGAAGAACAGCAAGGCCAGCATGGCTGGAGCTCTGGAAGGGAGGGTGGGTGAGGAACTTGACTGTGTGGGCAGAGTTGAGTGCACGCAGAATGTGGTGGGCCACGGCAGGACTTTGGGTTTTATTCTAAAAGCTGTAGAGAGCCACAGACAGTTCTTAAGTGGAGAAGTAACAAGATCCCATGACTGTTTTAAGAGCTCCCTCTGGGTGCTCTATGGAAAATGGCCTGGAGGGCTAAGAATGGAAGCAGGAGGTTGCAGCCTTTGGTCAGGCAACACGCCCCTCGTATTCTTTCTCCTCAGCCTCGGGCACCCAGTCTGCCCCTGTGGTCTCCATCCACCCGCCGCAGCTCACGGTACAGCCCGGGCAGCTGGCTGAGTTCCGCTGCAGCGCCACAGGGCACCCCACGCCCACCATTGAGTGGTCAGGTGAGACCGCAGCAGGAATGACTCTGGGGCCCTGGCTGCCCTTGGCCTGGGAGGCCTGCACCAGGAATCTAGGCTGTGAGGTCTACAGCCCCTAGGGGCCCAAGAAGTGCCAGTCCCAGTGGGCGCTGACCCTGCTTCTCCACACCAGGGGGCCCTGGCGGCCAGCTCCCGCAGAAGGCACAAATCCACGGTGGCATCCTGCGCCTACCAGCCACTGAGCCCGCCGATCAGGCCCAGTACTTGTGCCGAGCCCACAGCAGTGCTGGGCAGCACATGGCCAGGGCCGTGCTCCACGTGCATGGTGAGAGGACAGGGCATGGGCGGGGTCTGGTGGGGACAGAGTGAGAGCACATGGGCAACCCAGACAGGGGTTCTCATGGGGCTCTGTCTGCAGGGGGCAGCGGGCCCAGGGTCCAGGTGAGCCCAGAGAGCACCCAGGTTCAGGAAGGCCACACTGTCAGGCTGTACTGCAGGGCCACGGGTGTCCCCAGTGCCACCATCACCTGGAGGAAGGAAGGAGGCAGCCTCCCTCTGCAGGTGAGGCAATATAGCCAGGCCACTCTGCCCATGGCCCCCGCCAATCCTCTTCTCCCTTCGCTTCTGTCACCAAGATGGCAGCCTGCTCAGACAGCCTGCGGTGCATCCTGCCTGCTCTCAGCTCCCTGCTCTGCTGCCTGGCATTGCCCTCCATGGTGCCTGGCCAGGGCCTGTGCTTGGTTGTACTCTTGACTCTGTGCCTGCCTGGCCCCTCACCTGCCCGCACTGGCAGCCCCTGCAGCCACCTCCATCCCCTTGATGGCTAACCCCTCTTGTGTGGTAGGCCCGGTCTGAAAGCAACGACATCGCCACGCTGCTCATCCCAGCCATCACGGCCGCCGACGCTGGCTTCTACCTCTGTGTGGCCACCAGCCCCGCGGGCACTGCCCAGGCCCGCATCGAAGTGATCGTCCTTGCAGGTGCGGGGGCCCCTGGGGGCTGAGGAAGTGGGAATAGCTATTCAGGGCTCCCCAGAGGCCTACTCACTGTTCTCCCACCGCAGCCTCCGGTTCCAGCTCCCACCCAGTCAGGATCGAGACTTCATCACCTTCTATGACTGAAGGGCAGACGCTGGACCTCAGCTGTGTGGTGGCAGGACAGACCCAGGCCCAGGTCACGTGGTACAAGCGAGAGGGCAGCCTGCCTCCCCGCACCCAGGTATGAGGGGCCCTGACCTGGGAGTGCCCTGGGCAGAGGCTGAGGTTCACATGGCCAGGCGGTGGCCCTGTCCCCCCATCCCCAGCTTTCATGGGGCAGCTCAGAGTGGAGCCTCTAGTGAGCGCAGTGACTCACTGAGGCCCAGAAGTGATGACAACATCATCATGCCTTTGTCCCCCTGCCCAGGTCCATGGCTCCCGCCTGCGACTCCCCCAGGTGTCGCCAGCTGATTCTGGGGAATACGTGTGCCGCGTGGAGAACGGGTCGGGACCCAAGGAGGCCTCCGTCATCATCTCTGTTCACGGCTCCCAGGAGCCAGGTGGGGCTGGGCAGGGCATCTCCCAGTGTCCCCAGGGAAGGGACCTGTGGTCTCTTCAGTGACATCAGGACAAGAGGGGACGCTAGGCAGGCTTTGGCCCTCTACTCCCGCTCAGAGTGGTACAGACTGAGCGTGTGGATGAGGTTTCCTGGGCCCCATGGTGAGCATTCTGTTTTCAGAATTCCTCAGGGAGCCACAGAGGCAGGGCTGAACACCGGGTTGGGAGTCAGGCTAATCTGGGTGACTCAGCCCCTCATCTGCCTGGAACTGCTTAATTTTCCTTTTGGGTCCTCAGTTTGCTCATCTGTGAAATGGAGTCAGTACCACCACCATGTGGTGTCAGCTCCTGGCACTCGCATTTTAGAGGGGATGGTAGGATATTGTCCGTATCCTGACACCAGCCTAGGCGCTAGAGGACTTTGGTTCCCTTAGGCCAGAGCACCTCGTTACAGAGCCAGAGGTCGTGGGTAGACAAAGGGACTCAAGCTCGCTTTTGGGGAAGAGTCTGACTGGCCATGTTGAGCATGGTCCCAGCCCCAGGAAGGACTCCCGCCAGCCTGCCCAGGAGGACCTGGTCATGTTCCAAGGCCTCCTGCCTCACAACTGCAGGGCTGGAGCGCAGAAGCCCAGGCCTTTGACCAGCCCCTCTGTACCCCATTTCCAGGCAACACCCAGCCCATCCGCATCGAGCCCTCCTCCTCCCACGTGGCCGAAGGGCAGACCCTGGATCTGAACTGCGTGGTGCCCGGGCAGGCCCACGCCCAGGTCACCTGGCACAGGCGTGGGGGCAGCCTCCCTGCCCGGCACCAGGTACAGCAGCCCCCAGGACCAGCCTGTGGAAGGGGTTGGAGAGGGCCACTCTGGCCCCTTCCTAACCCCCCTGTTCACACTCAGACCCATGGCTCGTTGCTGCGACTGTACCAGGTGTCCCCTGCTGACTCGGGCGAGTACTTCTGCCGAGTAGTCCTTGGCTCTCGGCCCCAGGAGACCTCTGTGCTAGTCTCCATTGAGCCTGCCGGCTCCCTCTCTGGTGAGTGACTGCCCATGGTGGGATGGAGCAGGGAGTCTTGCCAGGCGCTGAGGTCCTCGGGACTTCTCTTGCTGACGGGGGCGGAGGCGGGGAGGGGCAGGGGGGGACCAACCTTGGAGCTGGCCCAGGCCCAGCTGACTTCAGTGCTCTCAGCAATCCACCATCTTCCCATCACTTCTCTCTGGCCACACCACGGTTTTTTTTTTATTTTGTTTTGTCTTTGTGCTGCCTCCTCATCCTCTCTCTCTCTCGCAACCTCATATATCCTCTTCCCCTCTGTAAAACTTGCCTCCTGCCTGTCTCTCCTCTTCTGGCTTGCTCAGCTGAGGACCACCAGCTTACACCACCAGGCCCCAAAGAGTATAGGCCTGGCCTCAGAAGACAAGGCTGGGCTGGCTCCAGGGTGGACAGTTCTTGCCCTTTCTTAGGGGTACACCTATGATCTTTGCCTCTGTTCCCCAGCCCCAGGACCTGTCCCTCCCGTCAGGATTGAGTCTTCATCCCCCACTGTGGCCGAGGGGCAGACCCTGGACCTGAACTGTGTGGTAGCAGGGCAGGCCCACGCCCAGGTCACTTGGTACAAGCGCGGGGGCAGCCTCCCCGCCCGGCACCAGGTACACAGAGGCAAGGAGGTGGCAGGGGGCTACCCAGGGCTAAGCTATGGGCTGTGGGCCATGGGGTTCCCAGCCCCTCGGTGAGGGACTGGCAGTTCCCTGGACAGAGGAGCAGCATAGGGGCATTCCCTGGGCTCCATGCAACTCCCACTCAAACCCCTGCTTACGGCTGCCAGGTCCGTGGCTCCCGTCTGTACATCTTCCAAGCTTCACCAGCTGACGCGGGCGAGTACGTCTGCCGGGCCAGCAATGGTGTGGAGGCCTCCTTCAGGGTCACAGTAGCAGGGACCCAAGGGGCCAACTTCGCCTACCGTGAGTGGAGCCCCAGGCTGGGCTGGAACAGAGAAGGGGAGTAGGGTGACAGCTGCCAAGAGCTGCAATGACCAGTGACTCTAACCGTAGCTCCTGGTGGCTCCCAGCCCATCCGCATCGAGTCCTCCTCCTCCCATGTGGCAGAGGGGCAGACCCTGGACCTGAACTGCGTGGTGCCCGGGCAGGCCCATGCCCAGATCACATGGCACAAGCGTGGGGGCAGCCTCCCTGCCCGGCACCAGGTACAGTGAATGAGCCAAGAACAGGAGGGGGACACTGAGTGTTGGGAAAGGGTGTAGGTCAAGGATGGGGAGGACTAGAGGTTCCTCTGAGACAGGACACCTGGACCCCACTGCACAAGGTGTGTGCAGCTTCAGGACTGGCCAGCCTGGGTACGAATCCTGATTTTGCTGCTTGTTAGTCGTGCCCCTAAGCAAGTTACATTTTACAGCATCAGCATCTGTAAACTGGTAATAGGACCTGCCCTGTAGAATTCTTTTTGGTTAAAGTGAATTACATGTATGCAATGTGCTCAGAACTCTGACGCTTAGAAAGTGCTCTGAGCTGTAATTATTACCATAACCCCTTTACCTATTATTATTGTATATTATAGAATTTAGGATGCCACTGATTGCATGATTTTTCTGGGTCTCTAAGGGAAAAGCTGCCACTTGTAATTGTGGGATTATTCACTGTAATATGCATCTTGACTTCAGACACCTGAGAGAGTCTCTTAGAACTGGGGGAAAGTGGTATTAGTGCCTGCCCAGCTCCCTGTGGCTCTTCCTGTCTGCGCCCCCCTCCTGGAGCAAGACATTCATGTCCCCATCCCTGAGCAGGATCCTGCTCTGGTCAGGCCTGGGTGGGCCAGAGAGGGGCAGGTGCCAGAGTCTCACAGGGGCCCCCTCTGACCTCACCTCTCTTCTGGCCAGACCCACGGCTCACTGCTGAGGCTAAACCAGGTGACCCCGGCTGACTCAGGCGAGTATGTGTGCCGAGTAGTGGGGGGCTCTGTGCCCCTGGAGGCCTCCGTCCTAGTCTCCATCGAGCCTGCAAGCTCTGTGCCTGGTGAGTGGTGCTGGTGGAGGGAAGAGCAGTGGCCCAGCCAGGCTCTCCCTTCCAGCAGCGGCAGGATCCTATGAGATCAACAGCCCCTACCTCCACTAGGTCCCCTCCCAGCAGGGGGTTGACTCTGTGTCCTTTGTCCCCAGCACTGGGGGTCACCCCACCAGTCCGGATTGAGTCCTCCTCCTCACACGTGGCTGAAGGGCAGACTCTGGATCTCAACTGCCTAGTTTCTGGACAGGCCCATGCCCAAGTCACATGGCACAAGCGTGGTGGCAGCCTCCCTGCCCAGCACCAGGTAGGAGGCAGGAGCCAAAGCAGGAGGGCTGCTGGAAGACCCTTGTAACTGCAGAGAAAGTAGCAGGAGCTGTGAATTCCGGCATGTTCGAGTTAGAGGCCGTTCAGCTATTTGCCTGTTTCAGGCCTTCTTTGATGCTGTGTCCTCATCTGTCAAGTGGGCTCACACTGCTTGGTGGACAGGGTCTCCCACTTCTTCCCAGGGGAATTGAAAGATCATGAATGGTGGTTCTCCCAGAGATCTTCCACGAGAGCACCAGCTGGGCCAGCCTGGGAGGAGCCCAGGAAGAGAGCAGGGGTCTGCCACAAGCCCCAGTGCTGGCTCTGAGCCTGCACCCCCCAACCCTGCTTCTCCCAGGTGCATGGCTCCAGGCTCCGGCTACCCCAGGTGACCCCAGCAGACTCTGGGGAGTATGTATGTCGCGTGGTGAGCAGCTCAGGCATCCAGGAAGCCTCAGTCCTTGTCACCATCCAAAAGCGCCTTGGCCCCTCCCACAGTGAGTATCTGGGGTCATAGCAAATGAGAGGGGCTGTTAGTGGCCCAACTTCACCCTTAGCCACAAACACACCCTGCTCCTGCCTGCCTCTAGCCCAGAGCGTGGTGTACCCCGTCCGCATCGAGTCCTCCTCAGCGTCCCTAGCCAATGGACACATGCTGGAACTCAACTGCCTGGTGGCCAGTCAGGCCCCCCACACCATCACCTGGTACAAGCGTGGAGGCAGCCTGCCCAGCCGGCACCAGGTATGGAGACAGCAGGCAGGGAGAGCTAAAGCAGGGCACACCAGCCCTGACAGCAGTTGGGACTCAGCTCCACATTGCTCATTTAGTCACTCAGCAAACATTGACCTTCTTGCTGGATGTGCCTTGGACTCATGCTGAGGATACAGAGATAAGTCCCCCTGCCCTTAGTTGGACCCTATATTTTAACAGAGCATTCATTGATTTACTCACTCATTAAGTTTCCCTGAGAACCTACTCCAGGCCAAGATCCTGGCCTGGCACTGAGGATTCCAAATGAGTTGAGAAAGGTCCCTGCCCTGGGGGTGTTCGTGGACTAGAGGGTGAGACAGAAATGACGATGCAGATAGTATAATAGTAGCCACAGAGCACTGGAGAACCCAGGCAGGGCCCAGGGGGCTTTCTGCAGGGGTGACCGCAGTCCACCCCAGCCTGGAGCCTCAGGAAGGCCACTGAGGGAGTTCTGAAGGAGCTGGCAGCTGGCCCCAGGCAAGACAGGGAGGCACTGGAAATGTGGGTTGGGAGGCTGCTCAGTTCCAAGGCACAGAGGTGCTTCCCCCACCCACCGACACCCTCTCTCCCTCAGATCGTGGGCTCCCGGCTGCGGATCCCCCAGGTGACCCCTGCTGACTCGGGCGAGTATGTGTGTCATGTCAGTAACGGTGCCGGCTCCCAGGAGACCTCGCTCGTTGTCACCATCCAGGGCAGTGGCTCCTCCCACGGTGAGAGCAGTGCATAGAGCGGGGGGCTCGCACAAGTGGGTACAGGGGAGGCAGAGAGGTCCCTGCTCTGTGACACCCTTGTCTGACTCGGCCTGTGTGGTCTCTCTTACTGTCTCCCCAGTGCCCAGCGTCTCCCCACCAATGAGGATCGAGTCCTCATCCCCCACAGTGGTTGAAGGACAGAACTTGGAACTGAACTGCGTGGTCGCTGGGCAGCCCCAGGCCACCATCACATGGTACAAGCGTGGGGGAAGCCTTCCTTCCCGCCACCAGGTACAATGTGGTGCCCTCGCCCTGGGAATAGAGCTGCTGCTTCATGGGGTGGGCAGTGCTCAGGAAGCCCCGGGGCAAAAGTGCCTGAAGCCTTAACTGGAAATCCTGGGACATTCTTTTTCCCACTCTTGGGAGACAGACAGTAGCCTCCTGATCTGGTCTGATGAGGGAGACCAAAAAGGAGGCCTGAGCCAGCCAGTGACTGGCTGGCCTCTCTCCCCCTGCTGCTCCCAGGCCCATGGCTCCCGCCTGCGACTGTACCAGCTGTCCGTGGCTGACTCCGGCGAGTACGTGTGCCGAGCTAACAACAACATCGATGCCCAGGAGACCTCCATCATGGTTTCGGTCTCCCCCACTGCTGGCAGCCCCTCCAGTGAGTTTAACCAAGAACCAGGAGGGGGCAGGGAGACTCGCTGGGGAGAAAGAGCTCTGGAATCAGAGCCCACAGACGGCGCTGCAGAAGATGCCTGGGTTCAAGTCCTGCCTACACCACTAAGGAACTTGGAGTTACTCTCAGCTTCAGTTTCCTTAGCGAAATGGTGATATGAACCATTCCAGCCCTGTCAAGCTGTCAGTGTGGTGGCCACTAACCACCTATGGTACTTTAAATTATTTCAAATTTAACTGTTCACTTTTAAGCTGCACATGCTCACATTTCAATTGCTCGGTAGCCTCGTATAGCTGGTGGCCACTGTATTGGACAATGCAGATAATAGGACATTTCTGTTATGACACAAAGTTTACAGACTTTGTAATAATGAAATAAGGTAATATATATGACGTGCTTAGAACAGAACCCGGCAAGCTGCAACTGCCTAATAAGTGTTAACTTGTCAGCTCTTGCCAACTTTTGTTAATTATTGCCTTGAGGGATGGGGGTTTCTACTGTGGAGTCTCCCACCAACTCAGTTGTTCCCAAATCTGACTATAGTCAAAGCCCCAACTTGCTCTTTCTGTGCTCTCAGTCCCTGGCAGTGCCGTGCCCATCAGAATTGAGTCATCTTCTTCACATGTGGCTGAAGGGCAGACCCTGGATCTGAACTGTGTGGTTGCTGGACAGGCCCACGCCCAGGTCACTTGGCATAAGCGAGGGGGCAGCCTCCCTGCTCGCCACCAGGTACTGGCACTGGATGGGGGGAGGGAGGCTGGATATAGGCCCTGGCTAGGAATCTACCCTCAAGCTTTGCCCGGGAAGGAGGCTGGGAACCCTGTGGGGTGCATAGTGGTGAGATCCTGACTGCAGGCCTTCAAGGAGCCCATCTCACTCTGCTGCCCTGTCTCCCGTCCTGTCCCTGCTCAGGCGCATGGCTCGTTGCTGCGGCTGCACCAGGTGTCCCCAGCTGACTCGGGCGAGTACGTGTGCCGCGTGGTGGGTGGCTCCGGCTCTCTGGAGGCCTCTGTCCTGGTCACCATCGAGGCCTCTGGCTCTAGCGCTGTTCCTGCCCCTGGTGAGGGTCCCTGTGGTGGGACTGGGAGGCTGAGAGGGACACCAGTAGGCAGAGATGGGGAGCTAGGTCAAGTGGGGTTCATCTGTAGGGCCTGAGAGCATTGGCGTGGATGTCACCCTAGGGACATTGCCTCTCCCAGTTCCACTTTCCTCCTCTTACCACCATCCCATGAGTTCCCTACACCTGGAACTGCACTTCTGGGCAGATGTGAGGCTGGTGGTGCTCTGTTAAACATCATTTATATAGATAGTGGCATGTAAGGGGGAAAGCATAGCCACCCATCAAACTTGTGATGGCTTCATGGATATTGTTACCTGTACATGGGACCCAGTATTTAAGACTTTTTCAGTGGCTCAATTAAAAGGAAAACATAAAATGATTATCACAGGGAGCACACGGCTAAATCAGGGTAGCAGTGCGTGAATCAGTGACAGATGTGACTGATATAGCACTTGCTAGGAGCTGGGCCCTCTTGTGTTTTTGCCTGTCTGTTCATTTCCTCCTCTGAGATAAGTGTGAATGTGCTCTCCATTTTATAGGTGGGGACACTGAGGCCCAGAGCAGTGAAGTAGCTTTCTGAAGTCAGATAGTTAATAAGTGGCAGAGCTTGGTTTTGAACCCAGGTAGTCAGCCTGGAGTCTAGGTTCATAGCCCCACACTACTTGAGTCTGGGAAACATTAGTGATCTGTGCCCAGATACCTGGGCCCAAGCTGAGCTACCATTTTGCTGGGAGCACAGGAGAAGGAGGAGTTGGGGCCATTACCTGGGGTGGCTCCAGGAGAATGTGGTGCCTTTACCCACCAGGCTAGCCCACCTGCTCTGGGCCTCAGGGGCCTGGGAAGGGGGGCATTGAGGCCTCCTCTGCAGATGACCTCTGGTCTGAACATCTGGGAACGCAGGGGCAGGGCTGAGGGCACAGGAGTAGGAGTGCCAGCTCACTCACCGACCTCTCTGTGCCCCAGCCCCTGGCGGAGCCCCAGCCATCCACATCGAGACCTCCTCCTCCCACGTGGCTGAAGGGCAGACCCTGGACCTGAAGTGCGTGGTTCCCGGGCAGGCCCATGCCCAGATCACATGGCACAGGCGTGGAGACAACCTCCCTGCCCGGCACCAGGTATGAGGGCTACAGAAAGCAGAACGTGGGCAGTCCCGACCCCCTGTCCCAGCATCCCTGCCTGAATGTGAGAAGGTGGCCTCAATATCTGGAACTTCGGGGAAATTGTGTCAGGAGCTGACTTGGAGTCAGGAGGCCAAGAACAGGCTGGGCAAGGCAGGGCCACCCCTGGTGCCACCTTGGTGCCAATTAGGAAAGGACACCTTTTCCTCGAGATCCTGGACTTCCTCCTGCCAGAAAAAAAAAAGTCATAGTAAACATGGGTTACAGTGTTGAGGGGGTCACCTTGGACAGGATGCCTACATACGGGTACAGGACTGCCCTGGGGGCAAGGCCAGAGGGTCTGGGCATCTAAAGGCCCTGGCCAAGGGTCCCCCAGCTCACTCTCCCCACTCTCGTCTGCCAGGTCCACGGCCCCCTGCTGAGGCTGAACCAGGTGTCCCCGGCTGACTCTGGCGAGTACTCGTGCCAGGTGACTGGCAGCTCCCTGAAGGCTTCTGTCCTGGTCACCATCGAGGCCGCTAACCCAAGCCCCATTCCTGGTGAGTGACCGGCACTGGAGCATTGCTGGGGCCTGGCCTTGCTCCTCCCAGTTACCCCAGCAAGCTCTGGCTCTCCCCTCCAGGACCGGCCGCCAGCCCCTCCCCCACCCACTGGGGCTCACCAGCCTTGGGCTTTGGTATGGCTGGCACCTGGACGCCCAGGGAACACAGACCCTTCTTAGGTCTGTGGAGCATAGCCTTGTCCATCCTCTGAAACTGCTGCCCCTCCCAGAGGACCAGCTTGTACCTGCCCCCACCACAGAGTCCCTCTTCCAGCCCCAGGAGCCTTGCCTCCCTCTCTCACCCACCCTCTGCCCGCAGCCCCAGGACTGGCCCAGCCCATCTACATTGAGGGCACCTCCTCCCATGTGGCCGAGGGGCAGACTCTGGACCTGAACTGCGTGGTGCCTGGGCAGGCCCATGCCCAAGTCACATGGCTCAAGCGCGGGGGCAGCCTTCCCGCCCGGCACCAGGTACAACGTCCAGCAGTGGGAGGGGTCCAGGGCAGAGAGCCCACCTGCTCTCCCAAGTCTGCTCGGGGACCCCAGGGGATAAATAAAATACATTGGGGGGAAGCGCTCGCCAGCCTGGGAGTCAAGAGACCTGGCGCGTCTCTGCTGACTGCTGCTGACTTTCCTGACCCCTTTGCTCTATAAAGTGGGCGGGTGGGACTTCTAGGGCTCCAAAGATGAAGCTTCCTCCCCACCAGCTGGAGCCTGAGGCCCCGTGAGAACTCAGAGACGTGCCCTGTCCTGAGCGCTCCGGCCTGATGGCTGCCCCTCCCCACTCTGACAGGCCCACGGCTCCCGGCTGCGCATCCACCACGTGTCCCCCGCGGACTCCGGAGAATACGTGTGCCGCGTGGTCGGCAGCTCGGGGCCCGAGCAGGAGGCCTCCTTCACGGTCACCGTCCCGCCGAGTGCTGGGTCCTCCTACCGTGAGTGGCACATGTCACTCGGGGAGAAGAGGGGCTGGGGCCGGGGGCGGAGCCCACCCAGCCCTGCTGAGCCAGCCCTCTGTCCCCCACCCCAGGCCTCAGGAGCCCTGTCATCTCCATTGACCCACCCAGCAGCACTGTGCAGCAGGGCCAAGACGCCAGCTTCAAGTGCCTCATCCACGACGGGGCGGCCCCCATCAGCCTTGAATGGAAGACCCGGAACCAAGAGCTGGAGGGTGAGCGGCGGGATGGTGGGGCTGGAGGCATGAGTGCGTGGTGCTCCCCTCTGCGGGCAGGGCTAGGCCGCGATGGCACCAGGCTCACCCTGTGACCCTATGCAAGGCCCTTTCCCTCTGGGGCCTTGGTGTCTCCATCTGTGTGGTGAGGGGGCTAGACCCAGGAGTCTCCAAGGGCTCTTTCCTCTGTCACCTGTGGCTGAGCTGGACACACGCAGACTGGAGGTGTCAGGGGCAGGGCGTGGAAGGGCATCTGTTGATATCACCAACACATGAGGTCAACCCCCCTGACCATCAGCTCCCCCATGCCAATCCCACAGACAATGTCCACATCAGCCCCAACGGCTCCATCATCACCATCGTGGGCACCCGGCCCAGCAACCAGGGCACCTACCGTTGCGTGGCCTCCAATGCCTACGGCGTGGCCCAGAGCGTCGTGAGCCTCAGCGTGCACGGTGAGGGGCATCAGCCATGTGAGCTCTGCCTTCCCGATTCTGAGCTCAGAACCTCCAGTTTAAATTCTGCCCCCTGCATTGCTCCTCTCTTGTGCATTCTCCCTCTCTGAGCCTCAGTTTCCACATGGGTGCAGGGGGGAGACCAGTGCCCACCTGGCAGTTACTCAGGAGGGGGCTGCGACTGCCAGTGGCCATTGAGCCCTGCACATGCCTCAGTGGTGTTGTTCCTCTGGGCAGGACCCCCGGTGGTGTCTGTGCTCCCCGAGGGCCCTGTGCGGGTGAAAGTGGGCAAGGCTATCACCCTGGAGTGTGTCAGTGCTGGGGAACCCCGCTCTTCTGCTCGCTGGACCCGCATCGGCACCTCTGCCACCCTGGAACAGCAGACATACGGGCTCATGGACGGCCACACGATGCTGCAGGTGAGGCGGCTCCCCCCGGCCAGAAGCCAAGGCTGTTCTGTGGGTTTGACGCTGTCTCCAGGATCCATCCTTGACCAGATGCTTTCAGGAAAGAGTGGTGTGTGGGTGGGGGTGAGAATGGATGGAGAGAAAAGGGGGGATGGTCACGGTGGATGGTGAGAAATGGGTAGATGGGTGGTGGATAGGTGGTTAGGTGGGAGGTGGGTAGATGGCTGGCTGGGTGGGTGGATGGGACAGGTGGGTGAGATGATGAACAAGGGGACAGATGGTCTAATACGGTGTCTTATATGTGAGTTCTCTGGAAGCCAACCAAAGAAGAGAGCAAAAACAGGGAAGAAATAAAACCAAGCCAGAACTAGGGGCTGATGCCAAGCTCTGTTCCCCCTCCCCCACATAACCTGCCTCCTTGCTTTCTTCCAGATTTCATCAGCTAAACCATCAGATGCAGGCACCTACGTGTGCCTCGCTCAGAATGCACTGGGCACAGCCCAGAAGCGGGTAGAGGTGATTGTGGATACAGGTGCCGTGGCCCCAGGCGCCCCCCAGGTCCAGGTTGAAGAGGTTGAGCTGACCGTGGAGGCTGGACACACAGCTACCCTGCGCTGTTCAGCCACAGGTGTGGACTGGGTCTGGCACACAGGGCAAAGCAGGCGCCTTGGGACCTGAATTGTAAACATGAGAGAGCTGTGGAGGATAGGAGGATACAGGCTTAGGGAGGGGACTCTGTTTGGGCATCTCCCACCAATGCCTTAGTGCCCCCATGAAAGGGCAGGATCACCCGGGGTCCTTCCTTGCCACCCCCACCCCCAGCTGGTCCTGAGCATCCCAGCAACCTCTGTTGTCTTCCACTCCACAGGCAGCCCCACGCCCACCATCCACTGGTCCAAATTACGCTCCCCGCTGCCCTGGCAGCACCGGCTGGAAGGTGACACACTGATCATCCCCCGGGTGGCCCAGCAAGACTCGGGCCAGTACATCTGCAACGCCACCAGCCCTACCGGGCATGCTGAAGCCACCATCGCCCTGCACGTGGAGAGTAAGGACTCATTTTCCCTCCTTGGGCCCCATTCTCTGTACTGCATGGAGGTCTGAGCCCCCACTCCCCACCAGGCTCCACTTGGATAGAACATCAGGACACCCATCCAGAGCCCTGTGCATCTCTGGTCCCCAGAGCCTACCCTACCCCAACACCCACACCCCCTTCTAGCACCTCTGCTGCCCACATCCCCAATCCTATGGACTTACCGTTCAGCCTCTCTGGGCCTTTGGCAAGTCACCAGGGCTGGACACCTGCTCCCATCCTGACTTCTGCATCCCCCACCCCAGGTCCACCATATGCCACCACAATCCCAGAGCACATCTCAGTGCAGGCAGGGGAGATGGTGCAGCTCCACTGCGTGGCGCACGGGACACCCCCGCTCACCTTCCAGTGGAGCCGGGTGGGCGGCAGCCTCCCCGCAAGAGCCATCACCAGGAACGAGCTACTTCGCTTTGAGCCTGCGTCTCCTGAGGACTCAGGCCGCTACCGCTGCCAGGTCACCAATAGGGTGGGCACTGCCGAGGCCTTCGCCCAGGTGCTTGTCCAAGGTGAGCAGCTACAGGCATGTGGGGACCTGCACTTGGGGCAAAAATGCCCTCCTCTGTTACCCCACAATGCCCTCCTCTCCCCAGTTCCCCAAGGCCTGAGGTAGGCCTGCCTCCTCCAGGCCTGTGGTCTCCATACTGTTCTCAGCAACTCTTGCTCTCATTGCTGTACCCCTTCCCTTGACATTGACTTTGCATTGCCAGTGGCTGTTGTTGACCCTTGTGCCCCAGCCTGCCTCACCTGCCAGGCTGAAAATGCCCAAGGCAGAGCCCGGAGCCCGTCATCTCCAGCAGCCCCTTATCTTTCCACCACAGGACCCAGAACAGACGGGGGTGATTGGACAGTGGAGACAGTGAGTGTAGGGCAGGGCAGCACCCACCCCCGATGTCCCTGGGGATTTAGTGGACCAAAGAATCCAGCATCTCCATGGTCTCCTCTGTCAATGACACAAGGCCAAACGAGTGCTGTGGGGGCCCACATTCTAGAAGCAGAAAAAGCATGTAGCCCAGTGGCCAAGAGTCTGGGTTTAGTTCATGGCTTGGTCCTTGCTAGTTATGTGACCTGGGCCAAGTCAGTAACCCTCTCCAAGCCTTAGTTTCTTCACCTGTAAAGTGGGGAGAACAGGTCCGGCACGTAGACTGACTTAGATACATTTACATAAAGCCCGTGGCGATAGCAGGCCCCTCACACAGGGTAACATGCATCTGCGCCCAGCCCTTGCACACGCATGTGCCTTCATCACGGATCCTCTTATTTTAGGCTATAGCTGGACGCGTCCACTGCCCTTCCTTACAGTGTCTAAATCTTCCCAAGACCAGCCCCTCCCACTCTTGTTATAGGCTGCCCTCCCCTCCCAAAGGCCAGGATTTTGTGGGTGCACAGAACCTGGTGCTCCTCAGGCTCTTAGATGTCTTGGCTGAATGACTGTACAAGTGACCGGTCAGAGAGGCTGCCGGGAAATGGCCTTTGAATGTTTGGAAACTTCCTGGGTCCTGGGGACCTTAGGGATATCACAAATGTGCATGCAACACACACACACACAGACACACACACACACACACACACACACAACCTGAACGTGTTCCCACAGGCCCTTCCGGCTCCCATCCCGCCAGCCCAGCCGGGTCCACGGCCACCATTCAGATCACACCTCAGATAGAGACCAAGAGCATTGGGGCGAGTGTCGAGTTCCACTGTGCCGTGCCCAGTGACAGGGGCACCCAGCTCCGCTGGATCAAGGAAGGGGGTCAGTTGCCCCCTAACCACAGCGTGCAGGATGGAGTGCTCCGGTGAGTGGGGGTGGGGAGGGACTGTATGGGCACCCCAACCCAAGTTGCACAGGAGGGCTGAGGTAGACTAACTTTTAGGGTATCCTCGGGGAAGCTCTTCGCCTCCCCTGGGCCTCAGTGCTCTGAGCTGTGCAGTGGGCATAGAACACTGAAATGAGATTATCTGTCTCATACAACACAGGCTTAGCACAGGGGTGGCCTATGTAAACAGTGGCCCAAATGGATGTGATTACTGTTGTTGTGATTATTATTCAGAGGATAGAAGACAGGCTCTGAGGCCAGATAGATACAAACGACTCCATCTCAGCTCTGCTACTTGATAACTGTGATCTTGAGCTCTAGACCATAAGGCTTTGGCGGTGACATCCACCCGCCCTGTCCGTGTTGCCTGGCCCTTGGGGGACTAGTTTATGCGGCGCTGTCACCGCCCTCGAAATTGCAAAGCACTCTCATTAGTTATTTTTTCTCCCTACTGTCTTATTTTTTTCTCTACAGAATCCAGAACCTGGACCAGAGCTGCCAAGGGACGTATATTTGCCAGGCCCAAGGACCGTGGGGACGGGCCCAGGCCAGTGCCCAGTTGATTGTCCAAGGTAGGAGAGTGGCTGCAGGCCTCTGCTGAGACCAGGGGCCAGGAGAGGGGCCCCAGACCTGGACCCTAAAGAGAATTATCCAGTTCTATCTTGTGTCTAGCAGAGAGTCAGGGAGTTTGACATGGCAAGGGAGATGGGTGGAGTGAGTGGGTACGCAGACAAACCAGTGAGGGCTGACTCGGTGCATACACGAGCGAGTAAGCAAACGGAGTAAACACGTGAGGGTGTTAATAGGTGAATGTGTGAAAAAGAGAATGCAACAATGAGTGAACGCCTAGGCTCCAGGGCTCACCTTTTCTGGGGCGTCTGCAGTCTCCGTCTCTTGCTGGCCTCCGTCTCTCCTGCCTCGAGCTGGCCTCACTCTGCCTCTGCCTCCCTCCTCCCCCAGCCTTGCCCTCCGTGCTGATCAACATCCGGACCTCCGTGCACACTGTGGTGGTTGGACACGCGGTGGAGTTTGAGTGCCTGGCGCTGGGTGACCCCAAGCCTCAGGTGACATGGAGCAAAATTGGAGGGCGCCTGCGGCCTGGCATTGTACAGAACGGAGGCATCATCAGGATCGCCCAGGTGGAGCTGGCCGATGCGGGGCAGTACCGCTGTACCGCCACCAACCCCGCTGGGTCCACCCAGTCCCACGTGCTACTCCTGGTACAAGGTGAGGGCTGGTGGGGCTCTCGGAAGGAACCAGGAGTGCGGCGGGACTCCCCTGCTGCTGTCTCCTGCTTTGCCTGCTTTTTTCTTCCTTCCTGCTCCCCAGGGAATGTTCTATGTTGTACATTTAAAGGAGCAGGTTCATAATGAACGGTGTCTGCAGGAGATAAAAGTGTTACCCTAGGGCAGCTTGGAACTTGCAGGCAAAAGCAAGCCATGGGGGATCAGGAGGAAAGTGGATACGGCCTCACCTACAGGAGTGCCTGCTCTGCAGCCCCTCATTGGCAGAGACATCGACAGACATAAAACAGCTAGGAGTGAACACAAATCTGTGTTTTCTTTAGAGGCAATTCCTTTTTACCCCAAACATATGACTTGCTTCCAAGTCTACTGACCCACACCATCCTGGTACCATCCTAGGTCCCCAGAGGACTGCACAATTCCGCCCAGGTGTGTTGAAATTTCTCGAATGGTGCAGTCAAATGTTCCTGTCCCTGAGCCCTGACTGTCACTTCTCACCAGGACAGCCACCTTTCCCTCTAAGCCTCATCTGTGAAATGGGGACATGGGCACAGACCGGGCTCACACATGATGGCTGTCACCAGGTTGATGGCCTGTATCTCCTCCCCTTCCCACAGCCCTGCCCCTGATTTCCACGCCGCCAGAGGTCCGCGTGCCTGCTGGTTCTACCGCTGTCTTCCCCTGCATGGCCTCTGGCTATCCCACTCCTGATATCTCCTGGAGCAAGGTAAATACTAGCAGGGGCCAGCCTGAGGGGCAGGGGCCATGTCTTCACCATCTCAGGCCCCCAGGTCATCGCCCAAGCTTGGCCCAGAGCACTTGCTGAGCATTTGAGGGCAGCCCTGAGGTAGAGATGGGAGGAGGCCCCGTGGAGGTGCCAGGGTCCAAAGTATGGGTGTGTTTGCAGCTGGATGGTAACCTGCCACCTGACAGCCGCCTGGAGAAAAACATGCTAGTGCTGCCCTCGGTGCGACCCCAGGACGCAGGCACCTACGTCTGTACTGCCACAAACCGCCAGGGCAAGGTCAAAGCCTTCGCCCACTTGCAGGTGCCAGGTGAGACAGTAACCACCACCCCTCCAGAACTGTCAGTGCCCACTCCCTGCTGGGCATCGTCTAACTGTGCTCTCTGCTGCAGAGCGGGTGGTGCCCTACTTCACACAGACCCCCCGCTCCTTCCTGCCACTGCCCACCATCAAGGATGCCTACAGGAAGTTTGAGATCAAGATCACTTTCCGGCCTGACTCAGCTGATGGTGAGCAGGGAGAGATGCTGATTTGGAGGGGCTCAGGGCAGGGGATGGCCTGGAGTAACTGCCCTCACAATGAGCCCTGGCTGCCCCAGTCTCACCACCTCCCGTGGCCCTCCCTGTCCCAGGGCCCCCAGGCTGCTGGGCAGTCGCTCTGGGCCATCTCTCATGCCTCCCACACCCCCCCCCCATACTCCCCTCTTGAGCTTCCCCATGGTCCCCCTGGCCTGGGAGCATCAGCACCCAGTCCCGCCCCTTCTCCCCACCCTGGCTCTGTTCTTTCCACCCCCTCCATGTCCTCCCATCCCTCCCCCTCTCCTCTCTTTGTCTCATCTGTTTCTCTGTCTCTTCCGTCTCTTCCGGGTCTCTGACTTTCACTGTCCAGGCCTCCTCCTCTTCTCGGGTGAGTCTGCCTCCCTCTGCTCCTTCAGGTAGACCCCGCGGTGTGACTGGGGCAGATTCCATTTCTCTCCAGGGGCTCTAGGCGAGGCCCTTCTCCTCGGGGCACCATCCTGGGCCACGGCGGGGCTTCCCTGACTGCCCCCGGCCCTCGCTGTGCCGGGTGATGGGCAGGAGCCGAGGGCTGGAAAGGCTCACTAGCTGGGGTGGCTCTTCTTGGGGCAGGAGGGACAGGAAGCCTGTGGTGGCTGGGGGGCCTCACACCACCTTGCCCACCCAGGGATGCTGCTGTACAATGGGCAGAAGCGGATCCCAGGGAGCCCCACCAGCCTGGCCAACAGGCAGCCTGACTTCATTTCATTCGGCCTTGTGGGCGGAAGGCCCGAGTTCCGGTGAGAACCTCAGCCTCCCCATTCACGGAGAGGGGGCCGGATGGGGGGAGCTTTAGACAGGCATGTCCCACCCTGGGTTGAGTTGTGCAAAGACCTGGGCTGGGGTGCTGCTCTGAACAAGCCCCAGGGCAGGGGTGCACAGAAAGAGAAGGCCTGGAGGGGCAGGGAAGGGGCAGGTATTAGGTGAGAAGGAAGCAGGGCAGGGACTACAGAAAATGCCCAGGCTGGCCCCTTACTCAACCCCTATCTACGCTTTCCTGCCCTCCCCCATCCCACGGAGCAGGTTTGATGCAGGCTCAGGCATGGCTACCATCCGCCACCCCACTCCGCTGGCGCTGGGCCAATTCCACACTGTGACCCTGCTGCGAAGCCTCACCCACGGCTCCCTGATTGTGGGCAACCTGGCCCCTGTCAACGGGACCTCCCAGGTAAGAGCAGGCCCATCCCCTATTTCCAGCCCCCTCACCTGAACCTCTGCCTGCCATTCCTGACCCCCCCCCACTCCCCAGGGCAAGTTCCAGGGCCTGGACCTGAATGAGGAACTCTACCTGGGGGGCTACCCCGACTACAGAGCCATCCCCAAGGTGGGGCTGAGCAGCGGCTTTGTAGGTGAGCGCCCTTCCGCCCTCCAGCCCTGGCCATGCCTCACCTGACTGGCTGGCAGAGCCCTTGGGAGCTGGGGAGGTACTGCCAGGTGTGGGCTGGGGCTGGGCAGGCCGCCCAGGGCCCCATCCTTGCTCATCCTGCACCCCCGGCCCAGGTTGTGTCCGGGAGCTGCGCATCCAGGGTGAAGAGATCGTCTTCCACGACCTCAACCTCACAGCGCACGGCATTTCCCACTGCCCCACCTGTCGGGATCGGCCCTGCCAGGTAACCCCACACTGCCCACATCACCTGGCTGCCCCTGGTCACTGGCCTTACCCTGGCTGGCTTCATGGGAGTGTGGGAGGCCAGAGCATTCTGGGCCCGACTTTGGGGGGCTGCCTTGCAGAACGGCGGCCAGTGCCAGGACTCAGAGAGCAGCAGCTACGTGTGCATCTGCCAGGCCGGCTTCACTGGCAGCCGCTGTGAGCACTCGCAGGCCCTGCACTGCCACCCAGGTGTGTGCCCTGTCCCCATCCCTGCCACCCCAGGACCTGCCTCTGTCATTTGCTGCCCCTTCATATTCACCCACACCCCAGCTGCAACTGGTGCTCACCCCAATCCCTGCCACCCCATATGCTGTCCAGATGGTCTTTCAAGAGCACCCCACGGGGTCACCTGTTCCCTTCCCCCCATGCCCTCCTCTTCCCTAGCCTCCACTTTTGCTCTAGTCCACCTGCCACTTCAGTCTTCTGGACAGCCCAAGGCTCCACCCAGCCACCTCCCCACCCTCCCTGACTAGCCAAGCCCCCAGGGTGTGATGAGCAGGGTCCCACCTTCTCCTGAGTCATCTCCATGCCTCCCCTGCCTCTTGTGACCCCCCAGAGGCCTGTGGACCCGACGCCACCTGTGTAAACCGACCTGACGGCCAAGGCTACACCTGCCGCTGTCACCTGGGCCGTTCGGGGTTGAGGTGTGAGGAAGGTAAGTGGAGCCAGGCCTGAACCCCTGGGAGCCCAGACAGGCAGGCGGGGTAGCTGGGCAGCGCCGCTCTGGGCATGATGTGCCCTATGGATGGTAAAACTGTTCAGATCTAGAGGGCCTCAAAGTCAGCTGCTCGAGCTATGCCTGAACTCTTCACATGAAGATCCACAAAGGGCGCCCCGTGTTACTGGGCCCCTCCAAGGCTAGTGGGCAGGGCCGGGGCCTGGGACTTCTGCCTGCTGCTGCTGTTGCTCAGCTTGTCCTGCACCTCTGGGAGGGACAGCGGGGTGGTCAGGGGTTGCGGTATCCCCGCTGACCAGCTGAGCTGTGGCTGCTACAGGTGTGACAGTGACCACCCCCTCCATGTCGGGCACTGGCTCCTACCTGACGCTGCCTGCTCTCACCAACACGCACCACGAGCTGCACCTGGATGTGGAGTTCAAGCCACTGGCCCCAGATGGGCTCCTGCTGTTCAGTGGGGGGAAGAGTGGGCCCGTGGAGGACTTCGTGTCCCTGGCGCTGGTGGACAGCCACCTGGAGTTCCGCTACGAGCTGGGGTCAGGTGAGCACCAGGCACCAAATGCCCATGGTTCTGGGTGTCAAGCTTTGTGCCTCCCTCGGCTCCATGTCTGACGAAGGCTTACAGGAATAAATTCGGAAGTCAGCCCCCCAAGTGCCCCCTGTTCCTTCTCGTCCTTCTCTCATGGTGTGACGGAAGATAAGTCCCTAGACCTGCAACACCGGGACACAGTAGAAAGTCCTCTGTCTGCTCAGCACTCAAGGGCGGGGCAGGGCAGGGTGATCTGCGTGCCCAGCCCAACCCATTTTCCTCCCCAGGGCTGGCCATCCTGCGGAGCCCCGAGCCGCTGGCCCTGGGCCGCTGGCACCGCGTGTTTGCCGAGCGCCTCAACAAGGATGGGAAACTGCAGGTGAACGGCGGCCGCCCCGTGCTGCGCTCCTCTCCGGGCAAGAGCCAGGGCCTCAACCTGCACACCTTCCTCTACCTGGGTGGCGTGGAGCCCTCCGTGCAGCTGCCCCCAGCTGCCAACGTCAGCACTCACTTCCGGGGCTGTGTGGGCGAGGTGAGGAACAGTCTCGGGAGCATGGGTGGGTGAGAGGGTACTGACTGGGCCCCTCCACCCACAGCCAGCTCAGGGTCCTGGGGATCAGACCCCTCACCCTGAGCCTCTGTTTCTTCCTCTATAAAAAGGGGGCTACCAATACCTGCTTGGAAAGGTTGTACTGAGGATTGACTGCACTGATGGATGGTGCCGGCACACAGCAGGGATGTGTGTCATGTCCCCCCTCCCCTGCCCTAGAATCTCAACCAGTTCCAACTTGGGTTCCCAGCTGCTCTGTGCTGCCTCCTCCCCGCTGGCCTAGCTGTGCCTTTGCCTCCTGCAGCCCTTGAGTCCCGCAATGTCACTGTGCCCACAGGTGTCAGTGAATGGAAAGCGGCTGGACCTCACCTACAGCTTCCTGGGCAGCCGGGGCATCGGGCAGTGCTATGACAGCTCCCCGTGCGAGCGCCAGCCCTGCCAGCACGGCGCCACGTGCATGCCCGCCGGAGAGTACGAGTTCCAGTGCCTGTGTCGAGATGGCTACAAAGGTGTGTGCCGGCCTGGGTCCTCAGAGGACCTCCCTGGGAGGGAGTGGTACCGGGGGTCAGCGCCCCTCCAGCCCGCTCCCTCATTCCTGCGCTGGCCCACAGGAGACCTCTGTGAGCACGAAGAGAACCCCTGCCGACTCCGTGAACCCTGCCTGCATGGGGGCACCTGCCAGGGCACCCGCTGCCTCTGTCCCCCCGGCTTCTCTGGCCTACGCTGCCAACAAGGTAACACCCCTCGCTTCTCTTCACTGCCCTCTTGGGGCCCTGGACCCGGTACTCATGGGTATCTGTGCCCACCAACTGAACCCTGTCTTCCCCATAGGCCCTGGACATGGCAGAGAGTCCGACTGGCATCTCGAAGGCAGCGGGGGCAACGGTACGTACTTGCTCTAGCAGCCAGAGAGGCCGAGTGGGCTGTCTCCTCCCTGGCTTCGGGCTTTCCGCCCCCTCTCCCACTACAACGGGCCCAAGTGGGAATCTGCTGGGCACAGATTGGCAAAATAAAGGAGCTGGGTCCTGCCTGTCCATACTGGCTAGGCCACCTTGGGCAGCCCCTTGAACCACTCTGACTGGTCTCCTCCTCTGCCTTCATGCTTTCCATCAGCAAACATCTGTGTGCCCATCCTCGCCCTGAGAGCAGTAAGACTGTAGAACCTGTGAGAATGAGGGTCCTGCCTTATTTACCTTATACTTACATTTGCCAACTGTGTGACTTTTGATCAGTCACTTAACCTCTCTGTTCATTGCTTTTCTCATGTATAAAATAGAAAGAAATAACATCCTTCCACAATATTTTACATAAAATGTTATGTGAGAGAAAAATCTATTTAGTATATTTAAATGCTTAGAAAAATATCTAGTGGGTAGAGATTGGGTATAGAATGTTAGCTCTTGTTAACAGTATATCTAAGTCATGGGATTATTATACGGATTCAGTTAAATGAAATGGTGTTTGTACCCTGCACAGTTTCTAGCATGCAGTAGGAGCTTGGGAAATGTTAGCTGTTACCCCTGCCCCTGTAGCTACCAGGCCCACAGTAGCCAGCACTGGCCTTGGATGGGTATGAGCAGATGGGACATGAAGGCCCAGGTTGCCATCCAGGCTCCTGACCTCCTGGGCAAGTCCTTCACCCCCTGAACCTAGTCTCTCTCTGGGTGATGGAGGAAGCACAAGGGCTCTGGACCTCTTATGCGTATAGGCCTAGGTGGCCAGCTCTCCTAGTTTGCTCAGGCCTGATGGGTTTCTCCAGATGTGGCACTTTCAGAGCTAAACCCAGGGTCAAACTTGGTAAATGGGGGTTGCCCTACCTGGACCCTACTCACTTCATAAATTAAAATATATAGGATTCCAAGGGGGCCAATTATACTTAAATAAAAATAAAGGTACATCATTAATACAAATAAATAAATAAATAAAGTATGCTTCCATAAGGTCATCAAAATACTTAAATGTTTCTGATTTGCAATATGTGCTGCTTTATTATCATATTAAATAATAAGATCCAATGAGAGGCCTAACAGCTACCAATTAGCGTCAACAAGCATGAACATTGTTTTAAAATATTTGCACCTGCTAACGTGATACAGCATCACCTGCTAGTGACAAAGCCACAGTTTTGCTGCTGCCCCTTGGTTCACTGGCTCCCAACATCACTGGGGACAGCTCAATTTCAGTGAGTTGTGATGTTTTTCCATCCAAGTTCACAGCCCTCCCGGGTATCCAGGGACTGTGGGTCATCGCCCTCTTGGAGGTACACGTCAGGCTAGAGGTGGGGGTCGGGGGAACCGAGGTGAGATGGATGCTCAATACAGGCGAGCAGGTGTCTCACCGTCCCGTTCCCCTGCAGATGCCCCTGGGCAGTATGGAGCCTATTTCCATGATGACGGCTTCCTAGCCCTCCCCAACAGCGTCTTCTCCAGGAGGTGAGAAAGGTGTTGGAAGGGCTTGTGGATTGCAGGGGAGGAGGGTGGCAGGTTAGGTGCTCACCTGCTGCTCCCCCACAGCCTGCCCGAGGTGCCCGAGACCATCGAGCTGGAGGTTCGGAGCAGCACGCCCAGCGGCCTCCTGCTCTGGCAGGGCGTGGTAAGTGTGGACATCCAGCCCAGTACCTCACGCTTCCAGCCTCCTGGTGGCCAGGGCAGTGGGAAAGAAGAAGGCTGTGACCACAGCCACTGGGGACCTCAGTTCTCCAGGCTGAGCACCCCAAAAACCCTGTGCTACCCTGGCAGGAGCTGGGAGAGGTTGGCCGAGGCCAGGACTTCATCAGTCTCGGGCTTCAGGATGGGCACCTTGTCTTCAGGTGGGTCCTGGCACCTGACCCTTCCCTGGCACCCCCTCAGCCACCTTTACTCAGTCCCCTGGCTCCTCTATGGGAAGCTATAGCTCCCAGTGTCCCAGTCACACACCACCACAGCCTTCCCACCCGTGCTGCAGTCCTGCCCCAGCTCATACTTTCTGGGCCTATGTGACTGCAGCTACCAGCTGGGCAGTGGGGAGGCGCATCTTGTCTCTGAGGACCCCATCAATGACGGCGAGTGGCATCGGGTGACGGCACTGCGGTAAGGGAACCCACCCAGGCACTGCGGAGAGGGGCCCAGCATTCTAGAGGGGGACTGCAGAGAGGCGGGCATGAGCTCTGGGAAATAAGAACTTGAAGCCAGGGTCCGGGAGAGCCCACCAGGCAGAGCATAGACCCCCCCCCCCGGGGCAGCACAGCAGTCAAGTCCTTCCCTCACCCCCCCTGCCCCCGCCCGGGACCATCACTCCATGGGGGGGAGGCGAGTGAGCAACTCGGGGATGGAAGAAACCTGGGAGGGGGACCTGGAAGCAGCATTTGTGGAGCCAGCTCACGCCAGTGGAGGGAGAAAAGATCTCAGGGGTCAGTGGGGCCGACTTCTCCGTCTGGAGTCAGTGGTGGAGGGAAGGGACCGACACAGGAGGGTAGGGGTAGGTGCTCAGACACCTGACCCCATTCCACCGCAGCAAGGGCCGGAGAGGCTCCATCCAGGTGGACGGCGAGGAGCTGGTCACCGGCCAGTCCCCGGGCCCCAACGTGGCGGTCAACACCAAGGGCAGCATCTACATCGGTAAGTTCTGGGCTCAGGCCTTGTGCAGGCATCAGGCCCCTCCTGGGGCCAGGAGGGAAGCGGGACTCCTGCAGAGCTACAGCACATGGCCCTGGTGCCTCACACGGGACCCCTGGAGCTGATGGGCCGGTCCTCTCCCTTCCCCACAGGTGGAGCCCCCAATGTGGCCACACTGACCGGGGGCAGGTTCACCTCGGGCATCACGGGCTGTATCAAGAACCTGGTGCTGCACTGTGCCCGGCCCGGCGCCCCGCCCCCACAGCCACTGGACCTACAGCACAGCGCCCGGGAGGGGGCCAACACACGCCCCTGCCCCTCGTAGGCACTGGCCTGACCCACATGGACTCCCGGGCAGCGCCCCAGCCCCACAATGTCGAGTATATTATTATTAATATTATTATGAATATTTTGTAAGAAACTGAGGCAATGCCACGCTTGCTGCTACTGCCCTGGGCTGGACTGAGGGGTGGGTCACCCCCACTCACATCCCTGGGCAAGCCACAGGCCGGCAGGCAAGGCAGTTGGATGGAAGCGAGTGCCTCAGAGGGCCGCCCGGACTTAGGCTCAGGCATGGTGGCTGAGTGGGCTCAGAACTGCGCCACTGTCCCTCCATGGAGCCCCCAAGGTAGAGCCGGGCCACCCACTCTGCAGCTCTTGAGCAGCCCTTGTTCCTACAAGAGCCACCCTCTGCGTCCAGCCTGGAGCAGGGCATGGCAGGGCCTTTGCCACCCTCTTCTGGGTTGGGAAAGCTCTTCAGTGCCAGCTGTGGAGCAAAAGTCAGCTCACCCATGAGCAGGCAGCCCCCACCCAGCCCATGTCCCAGCTGCCCCCTCCTGCCAAATCTTCCTGGCCTGCATCGTCCCATCCCACCCCACCCCCATGGCCACCTAGGACCCCTGCCCTCTGGGGCTGCTAGGGAAACCACCCCCACCCTTACCAGGAGCTGCTACAGGCAGAGCCCAGCACTGAGAGGGCCCCCGCCCACACCAGGCCATATCCCCCCACTGATCTGGAAGTGAAGGCCCAGGGGACATGGGGGGAGGGAGTGTTGGTGATCAAAAAAGTTAGTGCCTTGAGTAGGGGATGCGGGGACTCGTGACTGGGAGGAGCCGGAAGGGGCCATGACAGACCTGCCCCATCTGTGGGAGCCCGAGGGCCCAACTGGAGACAGCGCCCTCCCCACCAGCAGCCCCAGACTGTGGGGTCAGGACACCTGGCCTCTTGTGTGCTAGAAGGGACCCTCCTGTGGTCTTTGTCTTGATCTTTCTTAATAAACGGTGCTATCCCCGCCAGGGCCGTCTCCTGGGTCTAGGGCTTGGTTGGGCGGGACCTGAGGATGAACAGGGATGGGGCAAAACTGGGCCGGTTCGGTCTGGAAGTGAGCGAGGACCCCACTCCCTGCTCTTGGCCCATCTAGCAGAGGGCCAGCCCTCATGCCAGCTGCGGTCAGGTCCTCACCTCCTGTGACCATCACATCACCCTGTGAGGCAGGAGCCCCCACTCTCCAGGAGAGCAGACGAGTCAGGCCCAAAAGCCGACGGCCTTGGGTGGGGTGGGGGTCTGTCTGACCCCAGAGCCCACCCTTCTGCCTCTAATGCCTGCAGCCTCTCTAGAGATGGCCTTCCTGACCCTGGGAGGCTGGCCCACGCGGCCGCAGCCCTCCTGGAGCCACGCGACCAGGACTCAGGTAACAGATGGTACAGCCAAGACTGAGGCCACGGGCACCAGCCCAGCAGGCCAGCCGACTGGAGGAGCAGCAGCACCAGAGGAGGCCCACGAGGAGGCCGGTGGAGGCCAGGATCAGCAAGGAGGCCAGCACCACCCCCTGCAGTCGGGGACCTGTAGAAGGAAAGGGAGAGAGCACTGGAGTCTGGCCTGGGCTCGTGTCCTCTGGAGAGGGGACTGCGTGATCTTGGTGGAAGGAGGGGAAGCAAGTGCCACTGACCTTCCCGAGTTATGCCTGGTTGTTTGGGGTCCGGGTCTGCAATGGGACTCCTGTCGGCCACAGTGTGGAGGGTGCCTGCAGACCCCAGAGCTGGTGGGAGAGTCGGGAGCGTGGCGGCATCACCGTGCATACTCCCTGCTTGACTGGGCACCAGAGAGGGGCCTGTAGTGGAGACGAGAGCCCACATGCTGACGTTACCCCTTCTCGGGCGTGACTAGGCCCAGTTTAACCGTCCCCAGACCTCTCTGAATATCAGTGGTTCCACTTTACAGATAAGGGGAGAGAGACACAGCGAGGTTAAGTCACTTGCCCAGGTTCCAGAACAGGGAGTGCTGGGGGGCCCTGCACACAGCTGCCTGCTCCAGGCCTGTGTCTGTGAAGGCCTGGGAAAGGGAGAGCTCTCGGGCCTCGCCTGGGCTCACATCCTCTGGAGAGGGACCACGTGATCTTGGCGGAAGAAAGGAAAGCAAGTGCCACTGACCTTCCCAAGTTGTGCCTGGTTGTTTGGGGTCCAGGTCTGTGATGGGACTCCTGTTGGCCGCAGTGCGGAGGGTGCCCGCAGACCCCAGAGCTGGGGGGAGAGTCAGGAGTGTGGGAGGACTTCTCTGTGTACCGAGCACCACGCTAGGGCCAGCCCTTATGGCGATTCACTTAAGGTTTCTGACAACTCGGGCCTCCCCGATGGCGCAGGCAGGTGAGCTCCGCACTGGGAAGCTGTCCGCAGCCTCTGCAGCGCCATTTCGATCCCGGCCAAGCGGCGAGGGTCCCACATGGTGCAGCAGACCTCTCCTGTCGCACCCGCTGCTCCCCTCAGCAGTGTATTTCATCAGTCTGCCTGTTCTGTTCCCCACTCTGTCTCTAGTGAATCCTCTCACTCTCCCGCGCCTCTGGCCTGTACCCCGGTTCTTGTATAAATGAATAAATCTTAAAAAGAAAAAGTTTCTGACAACTCTGAAAGCTTGGGTTTATCACCCCACCTTACAGACAAGGAGACAGACATGGAGAGGTCCATTCATCCACTCACTTGACCAGTATTTCTGCAACTACTCTACCCCAGGCATTGCTCTAGGAACTGGGAAATGTGACCATGAGCTAAATACACAAAAATGTCATCTCTGGAATTGGCATTTTAGGGTGGGAAGTTCACAATACAGAAAGCTCAGGTCAAATGGAGACAGGTGCTATGGAGAAAAATTAAGCAGGGTAAAGGGGTAGAGCGTTGGGCTAGGGGCGGGGTTGCTGGTTTTCTTTCTATTTTTTAAATTTTTTTAAAGATTTATTTATACATATAAGAACTGGGGTACAGGCCAGAGGTGCAGGGGGGTGAGAGGATTCACCAGAGACAGAGTGGGGAGCAGAACAGGCAGACTAACTGAAATACACTGCTGAGGGGAGCAGCGGGTGAGACAGGAGAGGTCTGCTGCACCATGTGGGCTGCTCCCTGGCTGGCGGGGGATCCAACTCATGTTGCAGAGGCTGCAGATTGCTTCACAGTGCTGTGCTTAACCCTTTGCACCACCAGGGAGGCCCTGGTTTTTTTCTATTATAGTAAAATATACCAAACAAAATTTACCATCTTAACTTTTTTAAGTGGACAGTCAGCGGCATAAACTATATTCCTATTGTACAGTCATCGCCGGAATTATTTTCATCTTGCAAAACTAAAACTCACCCATTGAACCTCTCCCATCGCTCCTCCATACAGCCCCTGGCAGCATCCTACTTTCTGCCTCTGACTGTTCTAGGCACCTGAGAAAAGTGAAATCATGCAGACTGCCCTGTTGGTGACCCTTATTTCACCCAGCATAATGTCCTCCAGGTCCACCCACATAATAATGTGTGTCAGAATTCCCTTCCTTTTTAGGACCGAATAATATTCCATCGTGTGTACATGTGCATTTTGTTGGTTCATGTGTGGGTGGACACAGGACTCCTGTTTTTCAATGAGCACTCTCTGTGGGTGAGTGTTGAGCGGAGACCTGCAGGGGACAAAGGAACCCGCATGGAAATCGCTGAGAGCCTTCCAGGCGGAGCCCAGAGCAGCACAAGAGCCGAGGGAGTGAGCAGGCAGCGTGGGCGGTGACATGGGCGGTGACTCCAGGCCTGTGGGCCCTGCAGGCTGTGCTTTTGCTGAGTGAGACAAGGCCTCTGGAGGGTGCTGAGCAGGAGTCATGATGTCACTTAGAGTTTAAAAGCCTCCCTGCTCCACCATAAGTGTGGGCTGCACCTAATGACTTCCTTCCAAAGGCAACGGTGTGGAAGGAGGAGGCAGAGAGAGTAACAGTGGAGAAACCTAACAAACATGACCTCACCCCCGAGGCCAAGGCTAGCATCAGCGGTCACGGATCACGATCACGGTGACTGCCTTGGTTGGGTGTGATGCGGTGGGATGGCCCTTGACCTCTGCAGTCTGACCCACAGCCCTGGTCTTAGGAAAAAAACATCAGGGAAATGCTGATGGTGCAGGTGACTCAACAGCTTGGAAGAAGGGGAAGCTGGTGAGGAGCAGGATTGGGGGCTGGGGCTGCGGATCAGGAGTTCAGTTGGGGGCGAGTCAGGTGGGAGAGGCTGCCTGCACATCCGTGTGATGCCAAGGAGGGAGGCAGTTATGCAACAGGAGTTCAAAGACAGTCCAGCTGGCGAGAGAAAGGACACCACTGAGCATGTGGGCGGAAGGGGATGGAAGAGAGGATGGAGGAGCCGTGTTCACAGCACAAAGTGTCAGGGAGAGAACAAGGAGCCTCCGACAAAGGATTCTGAGGTGTGGCTTGAGAGGTAAGGGTGTGGCGTGCTCCGAAGCTGGATTCACTACTCAGCCAGGTGCTTTTTTTACCTTAAATAACCTGTTCATCGTACATGGCAGCCCTGATCAGGAGGTGGGCATTTCCATATCTCCAGGAAGGATCTTCCTGGGTGACCTGGTCCCCCATCCATAACCAAGAATGCTCATAGTTTGGCCACTCATAAGCTATGACCTGGGGCAAGTCATTTCTCCTCCCAAGGCCTCAGTTTCCCTGTCTATAAAATGTGGAAGTCCAACTAGATCAAGGGCTTTCAAGGTTAGTGGAGGGTCAAGTTCAGGTTCCTTGGTGGAACATCAACACCCCCAAGTTCACTTAAATAAAACATCTCTCCTTTTAAGGAGAGATGCAAAGTTCCATTTAGGAAAAGTTTCCACCACTTAAGTATCATTTGGAAGCAGCTGGCGTAGATGTCTCTAGCATCGTTCCTGCTCTAAATTGCTCTGATCCTCAGGTAGTCTGGTCTAAATCCATTCCCCCGTGTGCTTCCCCGGATTCTCTGCTATCCCTGCCTCCAGCTTTCCCACAGGAGCCCTGACCCAGGGAAGGGAAATTAGAGCCGGACTTCCCTCCTCACGGCTCAGCAGGGCACAGAGCGTGCCCACCACTGACCTCTGCAGCTGGCTGGCGGCCAGGAAGCCTGGTCACTGCCATCGCCACAGTTGTCCATGTCCCAGGGGTCACACACCAGGCTCGGGGGAATGCACACGCCGTTCTGACACTGGAAGTAGGCACCGCAGGATCCTGGGACGGAGAGGGGACACATGAGGTGAGTATGTTGGGTCTCCCATGACACAGAAGGCCCTGCAATGAGCAAATGTGGGAGGTGTGAGCAAAGAGGGCTGTTTCCAGGTGCGTGTGGATGGCAGTGTGGATGAGCTTTTCATGGGAGAGAAGTATGTGATCACGAGTGTGATGATATTGGTGGTGGTGGTGGTGGTGATGACAGTTTTTGAGTCCCTATTCCATGCCAGGCGCCCTTGTAAACACTTCATTCACATCTCAGCTCATTAAGTTCTCACAATAGTCCTGGGGGATAAATGTTGCTATTAGCCCTACTTTTTAGAAATGAGAAGGAGAAGGCACAGGAAGGTTGGGTCCCTTGATCAAGACTACACAGCTTGAATCTAAGCAGCAGAGAGGGAATTCAGTCCCCCCACACCTCTGGCCTATACCCCAAATCTTCTAATAAATATAAAAAAAATTCACACTATGCACAACCCCAGGGTAGAAGAAAGAAAAGTGGGACTTGACTGAAGAGACACCTGGGGACATTTTCCAACTCAGTGTTAAAGGACTGTCCAGGACCTGGAGGGCAAGGGCTAGTTCTTGGTGTACCTGTGCTGGATCTCGGAGACCTCCGTGTTCTTGTCCTGAAGTTCCACGATCCCATGTTTAATTGTCTAGTCTGGATATTTTAAGGGGCTATAAAGCTTCTCCAAGGTTTTGGAGTCTCCTGGGCTTGGGCAGCTCATCTGTTCTCCATCACTGGACACAGCCTCTGCTGTGACATCAGCGGGTTGTGTCTAATCCTTGAGGGACTGACTGTGCTGAGGCCTTGAACTCGGCTTGAGGGACGCCAGCAGTTACAGGCCAGCTCTTTCACGTCAGAGTAGGGAGGCCTTGGGCACTTAATCTCCCCAAGGCTGTTTCCCATCTGTGAATAGGAGGGTAAGAGTCTCAGCAGAGGAGAGTTTGTGAGGAATGGATGAAATCAGCCATGCAAAAGCCGAAGGCACTGTTTCCCACGTGGTTATTAACATCAGTTCCTTTCCTTGCTTAAGTGGGTCTCTGTCACAATCACCAGAGCCCTAATTAGTCAAACATCAGAAGGGCTGGCCCAGGACAGAGGTGCCAGAGTGAGAACATTAGATGAGTTGTGTGGAAGTGTGCAAGGTGGCACTGTGTGTGTGATGTTAGCTGTGCATGTGTGCGGCGTGACACGTATGTATGGGCTGTGTGTTGTAGAGTGTAAGGCGTCTAAATATGCTCGGTTGTGGGCTGTGTGTATGTGACGAACACGTGCAGTGTGTGGAGTTCGAGTGTGAGGTGTGTAAGTACATGGGAGTGGGAATTGTGAGTGCAGGCTGAGTGAGGGTCAGGTGCTGGCAGGTGTCTGCTGTCCACATCCACGGAACACATAGTGGAATTGGTTCTTTGGGTCTGGAATGTCCCGTCCTGCGACGCCCTAAGGCAGGAATCAGCCACCACCTGCTCACCCTCTTAGGACCCAGCCCCCTCCATCTTCTGCTGTTCCAAGAGCCCCCGTGGTGGCTCCAGGGAGCAGCTACCCCAGCCTAGAGGACCCAGTCTTGGACAACAGCCCCAACCCACCCAAACGGAAAGAGGTGACTTCTCCCACGAAGTCCACGCGGGGCTGGCGGCCTCTGGTGACCAGGCGCAGGCCCAGGAAGGGTCCGGAGGACGCCACCGGGGCGGGGATGGTCAGGCCGCAGAGCGGGTCCCCCAGGGGTCGGGGCGCCCCCGAAGGGCCCTCGTAGAACTGCAGGTAGGAGCCCGGGAAGCACGGTCGGGCGGCTCCGGGGAAGACGCGCTGGCGTTGGCCGCCGGGGGCGCCCGGGGCGCGGGGGGCGCGGGGGGCGCGGGGGTCAGGCTGTACACCAGGAAGAAGCGGAACTGGAAGCGGATGCTGTCGTCGGGGGCCGCCGCGCGTACCCAGAGCGCGCAGTCGGTGTCGGGGGCCACGAAGTAGAACCTGCGGGATGCGGAGTGCGAGCGCAGCAGCAGCCCGGGCCCCTGCCGCGTCTGCCCGCAGAGGTCCACCAGGTCGGCTGCGCGAAAAGCACGGACCCTGGAACCACGCGTCCAGGTTCCCAGCCTGGCCCTGCCCCTGCTCGCTGTGTGACCCCAAGTAAGTCACTCGCCTTCTCGGAGCCTCAGTTGCCTCATGGGTAAAATGGGGGTGATTAAGCAATGTCAAAATTTTGTGAGGATTAAATAATGTAAGTTCTCGGTTCTCCCTGGTGGCGCAAGGGGTTAAGCACGGCACAATGAAGCAATCCACAGCCTCTGCAGCTCCGGTTCGATTCCCGGGCGACCAGGGAGAAACCCACATGGCGAGGCAGACCTCTCCTGACTCACCCGCTGCTCCCCTCAGCAGTGTACTTTGGTCACTCTGCCTGTTCTGTTCCCCACTCTGTCTCTGGTGGATCCTCTCTCTCTCGCTCTCTCTCTCACACACACACACACACACACACACACCCCAAAACGATAAGATGTGCTTCAGAATTTTCCAGATTTTAGAAAGATAATATGATGTATGTAAGGTTTTTTATGTTGCACCCCAAATGGCTTCTGCAGCAGCCCTCTTATTTTCGAGGGCAAATAATGACATGAACAGCACCCTGTCAGTTCAGGTCAGGTGCTGCCAGTAAATTATTTTTTTTTATAAGTTTTTTTTTTTTTTAATAGAGGCATGCTTTATTTATTTATTTATTTGTTTCTTTGTTTGTTTGTTTGGTTATACATGCACTGGGTACAGTCAGAAGCGCGGGAGGGGGAGAGAATTCACCAGAGCCAGAGCAGGGAGCAGAGCAGGCAGAAGGACCGAGGTACACTGCTGAGGGGAGCAGCGGGCGGTCTGCCCGCCATGTGGGACCCTCCTCCGGTGGCCGGGGAGCAGCCGGGGATCGAACCGGCGCCGCAGAGGCTGCGGGCAGCCTCGCAACCCAGCGCTCAACTGCTGCGCCACCAGGGAGGCCTCACTGCCAGTAAATTATTGAAGAGCAAATTTGCTTTGCAGAAGCGTTTGTATTCTGGACTTGAAACTAAAGGATTGTGGACATGTGTTCATGTCCTGACAGTGCCTGGAGGTGAATGAGTGTTAGAGAGTATGAGAATGGAGGAGGGCAGGGGGTGTGGATTAACACCCACCCATCCAGCAGCCATTCCCTGTGTCTCCTTGCTAAATGAACCCTGATTTCCTTCAGCTGTCAAGGACCAGCATGTCAGCACCCCACGTGACGGGCCTAAACCAAGCCTTGTAATTCTCACTCACTTCACCAGTTTTAGGGATTGGCTTGGGACCTGGTTCAGGCCAGTGCGATTTAAGGAGAAGTTTGCTGGAGGATCCTGGGATTAGAGGTTCCTGGTTGTTTTATTTATTTGTTTGTTTGTTTGTTTAAAGAGGGAGAACTGTGTGGTAAGAAGGTTCTTCCTGCCCTTTTTTTTTTTTTAAAGATTTATTTATTTATACAAGCACTGGGTACAGTCAGAAGCGCGGGAAGGTGAGAGAATTCACCAGAGCCAGAGCAGGGAACAGAACAGGCAGACTGATGAAGTACACTGCTGAGGGGAACAGCGGGCACGGCAGGAAAGGTCTGTCGCACTATGTGGGACCCTCACCAGCGGCCAGGGATCGAACCGGCTCTGCAGAGGCTGCGGGCAGCTTTGCAGCCCAGCGCTCAACTGCTGCGCCACCAGGGGAGGCCCTCTTCCTGCTTTTGAAAGCTGTTCTGTGGATGTGATGCCCAGGGCCTTAGCAACCATTCTGCCAGGATGAGGTCATGAGCATGATGGGGAAGCTCCAACTCAAACTACTGAATGAACATCTCTGACTCAACCTGTGCCCACTCTTGTTTTGTTTTTTAAAGATTTATTTATGCATACAAAAGCTGGGGTGTAGGGCAGAAAGGCGGGGGCGGGGGGGTTTGTTGAGAGGATTCACCAGAGACAGAGTGGGGAACAGAACAGGCAGCTTGACTGAAATACCTGCTGAGGGAAGCAGTGGGTGAGACAGGAGAGGTCTGTCATGCCATGTGGGTAGCTCCATGGCTGGGGATTGAACTCGTGCTGCAGTGGCTGGCAACAGCTTGACAGTGCTGAGACTTAACCCCTGTGCCACCAGGGAGGCCCATGCTCGAAGAGCTCTTCTTAAGTGAAATAAGTGTCCTATGGTTAGAGGGAGAAGAGTAGGTGACTTTTTTGGTGTGTGATAGGTGCCTGAGGACCAGCCTGGGTGTGAAGCTTCAGGGAAGAAATTTTCCATCAGGACTCAGAATGTGAGAGCACTTTCCTGCATCTGTGTGGGCCTATGAAAGTCAGAGTCAGGTGCCTCCCTAGTGGTGCAAGGGGTTAAGATGCAGCACTATGGAGCTATCAGCAGCTACTACAGGCATGAATTAGATCCCCAGTCAGGGAGGTGACCCACATGGCGCAGCAGACCTCTCCCATCTCGCCCGCTGCTCCCCTCAACAGTGTATTTCGGTCAATGTGCCTGTACTGTTCCCCACTCTGTCTCTGGTGACTCCTCTCACCACCATCCCCCCCCCCACACACACACATCTGTCCTGTATCCCAGTTCTTGTATGCATAAATCTTTATTTTTATTTTTATTTAATTTTTTTTTTTTTAAAGTTTGACCTACTTTTTTTTTTTTTTTTTTTTAAAGATTTATTTATTTATTTATTTATACAAGCACTGGGTACAGTCAGAAGTGCGGGAGGGTGAGAGAATTCACCAGAGCCAGGGCCGGGAGCAGAGCAGGCAGAGCAGGCAGAAGGACCGAAGTACACTGCTGAGGGGAGCAGCGGGCGGCAGGAGAGGTCTGTGCGCCTTGTGGGACCCTCCTCTGGTGGCCGGGGAGCAGCCGGGGATCGAACCGGCACCGCAGAGGCCCGCGGGCAGCTTCGCAACCCAGCACTCAACTGCTGCACCACTGGGGAGGCCCTATGCATAAATCTTTAAAAAAAAAGTCAGAGTCAGCCCTGGCATACAGATGGGGGGAGGTCAGAGAGTGGGTAAAGGTAGTGCCTTCTGTGTGCCCGGCACTAAGTGTCTTGCAAGATCTTCATATGCACAATAATAATCTCTTACAGAGCAACGGCTTGTTGTTATTCCCATTTTACTGTTGAAGACACTAAGGCTCAGGGAGTTGAAGCAATGATCTCGAGTAGAAAGAAATGGTGTGAGTGATTCTGACTCCAAAGCCCATGATATTTTCCATTGCCAAACCTCAAAAACTGTCCCTTACACTGCCAGGTCCCTGTTTCTGGGTCACCTCAAGCCTTCCAGAGGGGCTTGAGGTGAACTTAGGGGGTGCCTGGCAAGATAAAGCAAAAGGTTTCCCCACCTCCCCCAACTCAAGGGATCCCAGCCCATATAGGTGAGGACTGATTGGGGAAATCCAGCCTCTAAGGGTGGTGGGGCCCAAACTTCCCGCCCACCCCAATGGACCCCCCTCATACTCACCTGTGTCCAGAGCAGACACAATCAGAACAGCGGCCCCCAACAGGAGCAGCCTGAGGGGCAACTGTAGCAGACAAGCCTCCATCCAGGTCCTGCTATGCCCAGTAACGAGGCAGACCTGTGGACTCTTCACCTGGGGTCTTGGGGGAGACCAGGATGCGGGGACCTGCGAGTTAGCCAAGAGGCCAGCAGGTCACCAGGAACAAGGGGAGGCAGGTCCCCCAGCTCCTGGGTGTCTTTACACTGATGTATGTGCTCTCAGTTGCAGATCCTCCTTCAGATCAGGATTGTGTCCAGGGTTGCCTGGGAGATTTGGGGCCTGGGCTGGAGCTTGGAGAGATGATGGGGGAGGTTGTCTGCTCACTCCTTGGGGAAAAGGAACCAGGAAACTCAGATCCTGTTCAGCAGCAGGGCTGTTGGGGAGAGGGGGAGCACGGCTTCAGAGAGCTGCTACCTTCCTGGGTAAGTGGGCATCGTAGGACGTAAAGGAGGCCCAGGACTCCAAGGAGCCTCTGTGAGGGCCTACAGAAGCAGCACATGGTGAAAGAATTCTGGACCAGCCTTTGGCTCTATTAGCAACAAAGTGTTCCTGCCTCAGGGCCTTTGCACTCCCAGCTCGCTCCCAGTGCTCTCCCATACCCCTCCTTCCATGGCTGCCTTCTTCAGGTCTTTCTGGTCTCAGCTTACAAGTCGCTTCTCAAATCGCACTTGCTGATTACCTAGTCTGGGTCAGCACTTTCCCTCCCTCTCACTCAATCACATCTCCCCAAATGATCCCAACACTCAGTTGAGCGTTAAGCTATGAAGCTGTCCGCAGCCTCTACAGCACCTGTTCAATCCCGGCTGGCCGGCGAGGGTCCCACAGGGCACGGCAGACCTCTCCTGTGCAAATGACAGGTTTTGAAACTTCAGCTTCCTGAGCTCCATGGCAGATCTTTTAGACCATGTGTCCTCATGGAGCCCCCCAGGCCTAGCCTTGGACCTCACATGCATAGGATGTCAAGGGAGCGGCAAATGTCAGTCCTAGAAGAGAACCTTTAGATAGCAATGGGGTTTAACCTTCCCATAGGGTCCCAGACTGTGAGGTGGTGTCTTACGGGTTGCTGGGGCCTTCTGGAAACATGGTTACCTCAAGGTACACAATGATGACATCCATAGCTTCATCCAGCATAACGTGCACTGGGCAGACAGGATTCCAAGTACCCGCATTATATTAAGTTATTAATCCTTACAAAATACCTGTGAGGTTGAAACTCTTTTTTTTTTTTTTAAGATTTATTCTAATTTATACAAGAACCGGGGTACAAGCCAGATGCGCGGGAGGGTGAGAGGATCCACCAGGGACAGAGTGGGGAACAGAACCGGCAGAACAACCGATATACACTGCTGAGGGGAGCAGCAGGCGAGACAGGAGAGGTCTGCCCCGCCATGTGGGTTGCTCCATGGCCAGCGGGGATCGAACCAGCACTGCAGAGGCTGCGGACAGCTTCACAGCACTGTGCTCAACCACCTGCACCACCAGGGAGGCCCGAGGTTGAAACTCTTATTTTCCTATATTATAGAAGAAAGAACTGAGGCTTGAAAATTTTTAGTTTTATAGGTGAAGGCGCCAGTAGCAAGTTTTGAAAAAGGCTGAGATGGTCCAGGGCCTTTCTTTTACACATAGGGAAATAAAGAAAAAAGATTATTGGCTCAACATCACACTTTCATTCTTAGCTTTTGGATGCCTGCTCTGGGCCAGGCACTGTGCTATGATTTAGGGGTTCAGAGATCAACAGGTCATTCATGGAACTCAATTTTAGCAGGGGCCAATGGACCATATATACAATAAGAAACAAATTAACAAAAATAATTCCACTGATGCAACCTATGAAGCTATCTGCAGCCTCTGCAACATGAGTTCAATCCCCGGCCAGGGAGCAACCCACATGGCGCAGCAAACCTCTCCTGCCTTACCCGCTGCTCCCCTCAGCAGTACATTTCATCAGTCTACCTGTTCTGCTCCCCGCTCCCCACTCTGTCTCTGGTGGATCCTCTCACCCTCCCTTGCATCTGGCCTGTACCCTGGTTCTTGTGTAAAATAAATCAATCTTTAAGAAAAATAAATCTTAAAAAAAAAGATTTATTTATGCATATAAGAACTGGGGTACATACAGGCCAGAGGTGCAGGGGGTGGGAAGATTCACCAGAGACAGAGTGGGGAGCAGGACAGGCGGATCTACTGAAATACACTGCTGAGGGGAGCAGCAGGCGAGTCAGGAGAGGTCTGCTGCACATGTGGGTCAGCACCTTGGCTGGGGGTCGAACTCATACTGCAGTGGCTGGCTTGATAGCACTATGACTTAACCTCTGTGCCACCAGGGAGGTCCTGGTTTTCTTGTTCATCTGTCTAATGTTCATTTGATTGTTTGCTAGAAGAACCCAGAGGGGTAGAAGACTTTCCCTGGCACCCCTATAATGACAAGTAGTGTTTGGATCTCCAGGTCTGCCCGGGGGGGGGGGGGGGGGGGGGGGAAGCACGGACTGGGGGTTTAATTGTTGGGAGTAGTCAGCGCATGGGTGGTATGTAAAGTTATAAGACAGGTGAGACTGCCAGGGAGTGAACATGAAAGAGGACCATGGCTGGCTTTCTGCCGCTGCGGAGGTGAGGCTCCGTGTACGGTGGGCAGTGGAGGTTTGCCCTCGGGATTTGGGTTCTGGTAGCCGAGCGGCGGGTACCCGCGGTGATGACTTTCTACACCACGCATTAGACTGCTGATGAGGGTGATGTGAGCTGGAGTCTGAGCAAAAAAAAAAAAAGAGAGAGAGAGAGAGAGAGAGAGAGAGAGAGAGGACCACAGGCTTACACAGCGTCCTAACCCCCTCCTGGGGAATTCCGCGGGCCCTCTCCGTTCTGGAGAAAAGCCTGTCCCTAGGGGGCAGTCAAGGTCAACTCCAGGGGAGGCTCCTTGCTCTGCAGTAACTGAAAGTGGGCGGCTGCGCTCAGTAAGCCAAACTCTGTGACCCGCTTTTGCAAGTGTGGAAAGCACTTATCGGGAGGCCAAGCAAGAGTAGGAGTGTATTCAGGTCTGTCTGCCTGTCCTGTTACGGGGCTCAGGTTTTTTTTTTTTTTTTAAATAGAGGCATGTTTTATTTATTTATTTGTTTGTTTGTTTGTTTGTTTGTTTATACATGCACTGGGTACAGTCAGAAGCGCGGGAGGGTGAGAGAATTCACCAGAGCCAGAGCGGGGAGCAGAGCAGGCAGAAGGACCGAAGTACACTGCTGAGGGGAGCAGCGGGCGGCAGGAGAGGTCTGCGCGCCATGTGGGACCCTCCTCCGGTGGCCGGGGAGCAGCCGGGGATCGAACCTGCGTCGCAGAGGGCGCGGGCAGCTTCGCAACCAAGCGCTCAACCGCTGCGCCACCGGGGATGCCCTCAGGTTTTTAAAAGTAGATGGAAGGCAGGGAGAAATAATGGTAGGTCAAGGGAAAAGGGAAACAGAAAGTTCATGGTTGGCAAGCGCGCAGGCTGATCGTGTGCTTCTGGGGGTGAGGGCATGGGGATGGTTAACATTTATCCTTGGGGGATTTGGAAGGTTCAGACATCACAGGGTCACTCTAGCGCAGTGTCCTTGGCGCTTGTGCTTGTGCCCAGAAGCCCACTTTCAAAAGTAGGTTCATTCCTATTCCAACTGGTTTTCTCTGGTCAAGCCTGCTGCGTCTGTAAGATAAGTGGGAGGGGTTTCCACAAAAGCAAAATGGGAGTCAGGAGGCAAATCTTTTGCAAAAAAGTTTTGACCACCTTTTGCAAAACAAGCCCCAACTGGGGTTTCGCAACTGGGGTTTCGCTGCATTGTTGAAACAGTTGCTGCTGCGAGGCTACAGGACACCCCTTCGCTTACAGGCCCGGGGTGGTGGCAGCTCGCTAAGAAGAAAGGGCTTAGTATCTCAAGGTTTCTTCCCCAAGTTAAGTTGACTAGGGACGGAAAGGACAATTGTCCCACCCAATGAATGTGCCTTATTCTGTACAGTGGGGTCATCCCTAAGGGAATTTCCTCTCCATCCCCCTTGAGTCTTGGATATGGGCTCATACATTTCATCTGTCACATTCTTTTATGCAATTTAGAGTTTGATCAGCTATTAGTAAATACTCATTGATGCCAATTCCAGGCCCAGAGCTTGGACTGCAAGCCCCGAGGCAAGTGTAACCATCTCCTTTCCTGAAGGCGGAAGTCAAAGTCCAGACTGATTTGGGCCTCCCCTGGTGGTGCAGCGGTTGAGCACTGGACTGCCAGGCTGCCCGCAGCCTCTACAGCGCCGGTTCGTTCCCCAGCCACCGGCGAGGGTCCCACAAAAAAAAAAAAAAAAAAAAAAAAAGGCCAGACTGATTTTGGGATTCAGATTTGTTCAAAGGAGCCCAGGAATTGGGAGACACAGCTAGAACTGGCTGCCTATCAGAGTCCAGGAGCTTAGAGTCTGAGGCGCTTTGGATCCCATTTTTATTACATCATCCCACTTTGACCTTAGTTCTAGTTCTAAAGTGCCTGGGCCTGCACTAGGAGCTGGGGGGGGGGGGCGGGAGGTAGCAGTAAGGACATGTCTGTCCTTAAGCAGCTCAGAGCCTAGAAGACAAGCAAAACAAAAGTACAAGTCTGCGTTGCAAGAGCCAGAGCCGTGGGAACAGAGCATGGGAACCCGCCTCTTCTGGAGCAGAGATGCCAAGAGAGAAATCTAATTAACAAGTATTAGTGAAATGAGTAATAATTGTTAACAACATTTAGTATTCAAGTCTCCCTCATCAAGGAAAAAAAACTACTTGAAACTGAAACATGATTTTTTTTTTCAAAGATTTATTGATGTATGCATACAAGAACTGGGGTGTAGGCCAGAGGTGCGGGGGTGAGAGGAGTCACCAGAGACAGAGTGGGGACCAGAACAGGCAGACTGATTGAAGTATACTGCTGAGGGGAGCAGGGGGTGAGTCAGGAGAGGTCTGCTGCGCCATGTGGGTTACTCCCTGGCAGGCCGGGAATCGAATTCGTGCTGCAGAGGTTGCAGACAGCTTCATAGGTTGCATCTTAACGCCTTGCACCACCAGGGAGGCCCAGGACTATCTATTCTTTTTTTTTTTTTTTTTTTTTTTTTATAGAGGCATGTTTTTATTTATTTATTTATTATATTTGTTTGTTTTGTTTATACATGCACTGGGTACAGTCAGAAGCGCGGGAGGGTGAGAGAATTCACCAGAGCCAGAGCGGGGAGCAGAGCAGGCAGAAGGACTGAAGTACACTGCTGAGGGGAGCAGCGGGTGGCAGGAGAGGTCTGCGCACCATGTGGGATCCTCCTCCGGTGGCCGGGGGGCGGGGATCGAACCGGCGCCGCAGAGGCCGCGGGCAGCTTCGCAACCCAGCGCTCAACCGCTGCGCCACCGGGGAGGCCCAGGACTATCTATTCTTAACAGGCTGATCAGTGCCGGAGGCCTGTTCCAGTGAACAGGGTTGAGGAGAGGAATCTGAAAGAACTGAGAAACAAAGAAATAACAGACACAAAATAGGGTTTAAGAGAAGCAGGACCCAGGGGACACAAGGCTTCGCAGTCCAAGCTCAAGCGCCCCAAGTGCCAGTGCAACTCATTTTTATTGAGACAAAATGCCCCCCTCCCCTTTAGGTTAGTTACAAGACAATGATTTTTTTCTCTTGGTATTGAGCATTAATCTGGCACACATTCACCACCAAGGTTCTGCGTTATCAGGTTGTTGTATTCCCACACCTGTTTCTCCTTTAAACTTAGCTTTGCTGATACAAGGAAGGACATCACAGTCTGGACACGGGCCAGTCTTCCCAGCCCATGTTGACCAGACTTCCAGTCATGACCTTCAGACTTTCCTTGCTTCAGCACTTTACACCTTAGGGGTCTCCAGCAGGTCTGGGAGGCCTTCTCTGTGGAGGTGACATTTCAGCTGAAAGTTAAGAGCAAGGAAGGAACATTACAGGCAGAGGCCCTGGGCAGGAGAGTACTCGGATACTGAGGGCTAAAGCACAGTGAATGAAGACAAAACCAGAAGTTGGAGTTAGAAGTAGTCAGGTGATGAAGGGCCTGTGTATTTGTTTCTGACACAGATAGTGTTACAGATATGCCTCTGTCAAGGGGAGGTGCCATTTTCCCTGCCCCTACTTATGTGCAGCTCCTTGGACTAAAAGTGGCAGTATGCCATGAACTGGACTTTCCTGCTGGGGGAGCTACTGGGAATGAGGGGTGGCCAGATGGACCTACATAACGCGGAAGGCAGGCAAGTCTGCTTTCTTGCTTCTGTAGCTCTACTTGCACCCTTATAGTGCTGGGAAGGAAACTTGGAGAAGACACCTGGAGGAGAGGCATGTAGAAACACTTGGAAGAGGTACTTGGGAGAGACACGTGAGAGGCTGTCCTTGGCAGAGACAATGGTGGCCATTCTCTTGATTTTTACTCTATTTTGAAATTTGAGCCTGTCCTGTTCCAGCTCTCTTGTACCTGCCTAACACCTTTCTTGGGGTTCCCCACCAGATGTTACTGTAGAATTATGGAAAGCTTTTGGGCCTCTGTGGTCCCGCTCTGGACCAACCCTATTTGACTGGGCATTTGCCCAAAAGGGGATGAGTTGTTTTGGGGTTTTATTGGGAAACTATTAGTAGGAATATTCTTTCTTCTCTTTCTTTTTTTTTTTTAAGGATTTATTTATTTATGCACACAAGAACTGGGGTAAAGGCCAGAGGTGTGGGGGTGAGAGGACTCACCAGAGACAGAGTGGGGAACAGAACAGGCAGATTGACTGAAATGCACTGCTGAGGGGAGCAGTGGGCAAGTCAGGAGAGGTCTGCTGCACCATGTGGGTAACTCCCTGTCTAGGAATCAAACTCATGCTGCAGTGGCTGTGGACAGCTTCATAGGTTGCATCTTAACCCCTTGCGCCACCAGGGAGGCCCCCTTTTTCTTCTCTTTCTATGCACACTAAACTAAAGATCTTTCACTCTAAGGGTCTGCTTCCTTTGCTTTTCTGTAGCAGATGGCTGGACCCCTTTTAGTGCGTGTACCCCTTAACAGTTTGGTGTCCTGGGAGACCACTTGGTCATACACTAACAATAGCTCCGAATTGACTTTATAAAATGAAGGGATCATTTTGAAGTTATGAGTTATGCTTCTCTTTTATCATTAACTAAGAAAATTAGAAGTCAACCTTTCGTTAACAGAAAATGTTAGAAATTAACTAGATGCCTTCTTTTTTTTTTTTTTTTTGAAACTACAGAGTTTTTTTTTTTTTTTAAGATATATTTATTTTTATACAAGAGCTGGGCTACAGGCCAGAGGCATGGGTGAGAGGATTCACCAGAGACAGGGTGGGGAACAGAACAGGCAGACTGACCGAAACACACTGCTGAGGGTAGCAGCGGGCACGACAGGAGAGGTCTGCCACGCCATGTGGGAATCTCCCTGGCCAGCCGGGAATCGAACCTGTGCTGCAGAAGCTGTGGACAGCTTCACAGCTCTCAACACACTGCGCCACTGGGGAGGCCCCTTAACTAGATGCCTTCTAAAGAACAATTACATATTCTTTCTGTACAAATAACTTTAAATTGAGACAAAGCTGAGTGCAGGTCAGTGACTCAGAAAAATCTGTTGACTGTCCCCAAGTCTGGGTCCTCCTGGGCTCTGAACAACCTCTTTAATGAACTTTAAAAATTTTTTTTAAAGATTTATTTATTTATGCATGCAAGAACTGGGGTGTAAGCCAGAGGTGTGGGGCGTGAGAGGATTCACTAGAGAGAGTGG